CCATCATCAAGCAATTGCGTGAGGAGAGCCAATATTCTTACTCCGATGCATGTGTTATCACCTCAAATCATGTTATCAGCCCAAAAGGTCGTCAATGAGGGGCCCCCGCCCCCCCTCCTCTCCCAAATATTTGTGGATAAAAACTAGGGTCGGAACAGTAGGACAGGCGTATTTACGCATGCAAGGGGGTTTGCGGAGACGTCGCCTTCGCGATAACTAAGGAATGCAGGCTAGCCAACAAAGGGTGTACCACAGCCAGGGTGGCCCGCCGAAGTCGTGCCTCTATTCAACAAGTCTCCAAGGTCCCGGCGGGGCCTCGTGGCAAGCAGCTGTTAGGGGATGATAGGGTGTGTAATTCCCAACCCAGCAATAACATTTGATATAAGTACCTGACGGCGCTGGTAATATTGGTATTAGAGCTTGTCAGATCTGCGAGATCTTGTGAAAAGCCGAGGACTTCCGCGGATTCTTAGCTGTGTCCTTGTCGACAAACACTGTTGGGTAGCCGTCTATACACAGCCATTTTCATTCTAAAGAAACCTTGTCTGGAGACACTTTGGTGATTAACTCCGATGGAAGCCGTCTCAAAAGGTTCCGGCTTCGTTAAAAGGCGTGGTTGACAATTTCAAAATAACAAACGCTCTGAGGGACGAGAGAAGGAAAAACAAACTATCTTCCCCACACGCTATTCCGCGAGCTGGGGAGGTGATGCGTGCTGCCAGCGGAGCTATATGGGACATGTGAGTAAGGGTCAAAAAGCGAAACGAATATGAACGTTACAAACGTTATTAACCGGCTGATAGAAGACCACAGGCGAGACGGGAGATATGGAGTTCCAGGTGAAAGAAAATCTGATTTATTTTCTGGAATATGGCAGCCCTAGATAAAGCCATGATCATCCATGGCGATATACCAATTATCCCATGCCCATAGGAGGCTCCATGACTTAAGTCAGAAGTTGACTGGATGCTTTGGGGCCGTTGATGGCAAAGGATCCTTTCAATATTTGGGAGCTTGGCGGCATCGCCCGTGCTCAATGGTAATGTTTGTCTACTGGGAAAGGGTCCATGAGGAGATTAGCTATTCAGCTTGAAGTTAATCTATTCCCTTAGAGCGCCTGGTGAACAATGAACAAAAAGATTTGTTGGAATTCAACTGCAAATGCTAGATACGAGAGACAGATACTCAAAACAGGGTCAAAATGGATGTTAAGCACTAAGGTAATGAAGAGCAGCGTCTGTATCATTCAAGTTCGTAAGAACATGTTGCGGGACTAATGCGTCAGAACAAATACACCAAAATATAAAAAAAAAACCAAAACAGTGCATACAAATTACCCATCATCCGGACGAAAAAAGTGAGATCCATCAGAATAGGTGAGACAAATTCGGATTCGGCGCATTGAAAGTAGCTAATCATCCCGCAGCGAGATGGGGCTCTTATAGAAGGACGCTCTAAAGCTTGTCAAGTTTTTTCAGAAACTTGCCCACACCTTTTCCCAGGGAACTTGATGACTGTCTTTGCCCCTGTTTTATGTAGTTCGCGTTGCCTTCGACTTCCGTTGGCCGATAGACCTGGTGGTGAACATCATATATATTCCCACCAGGGGGCTGTTGATGTGACTGGCCGTAGGAGTAGCTCGAGTATCCGCTCATTGGAGCTTGTGGAGGCTGAGGAGCTTGGCCAGGACGGTAATCCGCATAACCGCCCTGGTAATGTTGATGTGCTGAGCTGTGAGGCGATGCGGGTGGCGGTCCAAAACTCTGCTGTCTGAACAAGTGTGTATTTGGGTCTTGTGGGGGTGGTGTATACGGTACCGCGCCTGGAACCCCTGGAACTGATGGTGGTGCCTGTACGGCGGTAGGAGGTGGCGCAAACGACATGCTGCCAGACTGGTTGTGGTTTTGTCCCGAAGAGTGAGAAGTAAAAGAGGACGTGTGGACCAAACCGGCTGTTGGAGGGGGGGATGCATACTGTCCTCCATATCCCGGAGCCTGATTGGGTGGGGGAGGGGGAAACCCGGGAGACATTGGCGGGGGGGCGAATGCTTGCCCACTGTCCGATACGGCGGCTGCGGCAAGCCCTGTTCCTGTTACCCCATCTGGCGGTGGCGGCGTTTGCTCGCGTGGTTTAATGGGCTCTGGCGCCGCAGGGGCAGATGGATTGTACGCAATGGGAGTGTAGTTAATCTGTGCTTCCTCTTGTTTGGAAACAGGCTGGGCGCTGGGCGCCTCTAAGGGACTGACGGGCTCCGATATCGCTGATTGGGCAGGCGGAGGCGGAAAATTCTGGATTGCCAGCTGTGGTTGTGGCTGTTGTATTGGGACAGTCTCAGTGCGAGAGTCTCTCGTCTGACCGTTGTGGTAAGCCGGGTCGGTTATCGCTACATTTTCCAGCTTCTGGACTACGGAGCTCATCGCAACTTCATGCGCCTGGGGTTGCTGAGACGCAGGTATAATATCGAGTTGCGCAGGAGCTAGGAGTTTACGAGCATTTTGTAAAAATAGGGTTGCGTCGCCCGAAGTCCAGAAATAGAGATCTAGGGTATGAAGTCGAAGAAAAGCCCTGCTTTCATCACGAGGGTCGATGTTGAGCAGCAACCACTCATTCTGGTCAACGATTGAAGGCATTGATGGCCCCGATGTACTCTGGCGATGAGTATCTACAATTAAAGTGCAGAGAGTGGGGAATTTATCCGAAATGCGTAGATGAACAGCTCCCAATGCTAAGTTAACCCCACGCTCGTTAGCATTGGGGGATATATATTCGACCCTGGACACTTTCAAAATCCTGACATACAGCCACAGAAAGCATCCTGCTCGGGCATTCCTGGGTGGTTTGCGATCTCCATTCTTGCCTTGTTCTGCGCGGCGTCATGATAGACGTAGAGATACGAGCCTTTATCGAAGCGGTGGTGCAATGGGCGTGGCGTGGGAGCCGAAAAGTAGTAGTGAACGTCAACAAAGCTTATATTTTATCAGTCATATATAACTTATCCAGTCGTATAGGGTGATGGTATGATCTTACACTGTGAGCAAACACACTTCACTGGGGAGGGGAGGCATGGTATGTGACTATCTCGGATGTGACCAAGGGCAGGTAAAACAGGCGATAATGGAGGGGAGTAAATACGAGATCCGCGCTCTGAACGCTTGACAAACAGGAGGAGAGGACAAGAAGTCCGAGAAGGACGACGACGAACTTATATTGCGGGCATTCTGGGAGGGACAGCTAGCCGCCGTCATGGTGCCAGCCATGCACCGGTTGCATGCTTGAAAATCGCAGTCGAACCCCGCGCTTAAGCACGACGGGGCTGTCGAGAATAGCGTCACATGATAAATCACGTGGAGAGGGCTCGCAAATTTATCCGACGAATTTACCTCCAGAAGCTAGGAGGTACGAGAATTCAATGCATTTGAACAAATATCTGCCTGATTGTATCAGTAAGTGTCTCGTTGAAACCAATTACATCCTCTAACCCCGTCCGTCACTGTCTCTGTATACAACTAACCCCCCTTCCTCAGTGGAAAACCCCCAGTAGCACTTGAACAAAAAGCTCTCCTTCCAAGCAGCAGCCAGCGATAGGAGCACCCAACCCAAATCGAGGCCAATACCTCTTCTCCCTCTGCCATGCACACATAGGCAAATCTAACAGATAAAAACCATCCATCACAATGTCCCTCTCCAACCTCGCCAACGTCTGCTCCTCCATCACAAACGCCTCCAAGGCCCGGCTCGCCATCACCTCCATTCCAAACACGAAGCTACACCTCCGCCTTGCCCTCGCCCTGCGGGACGCCGGCTTCATCTCCACCGTCGTGCTCGCCGGCCGCACCCCGCCGCCCCAACACATCCTCCTCAAGATCCCGGCCGCCAACGACGAGCTCGAACCCATCGAGCCCGTCACGCGGGAAAACGTCGCATCGCGCCGCCTCTGGCTGGGGCTGAAGTACTGGCAGAGCGACCCGGTCCTCAGCAAGATGTCGATGGTCAGCAAGCCGACGCGGCGGCTGACGCTGGATGTGCCCAAGTTGAGAGATATTGTGCGCGGCAATAAGCGGGAGACGGTCGAGGGGCTGCGGTTGCCGGGGGAGTGTCTGTTTTTGTCGACTAATCAGGGGATTTTGGAGGCAAGGGAGTGCGTGGAGAAGATGACCGGGGGACTCGCGTTGTGTAGAGCGGTTTGAATGACGCTTTGTGGAGCGTTTTTTGGTAGTTTTCCATTTTCCTTCCTTCCTTTATGCTTTTTGTCGCATCGGAATGGAGTTTTCATTTTTTTTTTTTTTTTTTTTTTTTTTTTTTTTTTTTTTTTTGTTTGGTTTGCGGCAAGGGTATGCATGGGGCATTGGATCGAGTAGTCGGCCGGCAACCGGTGTCTGCAGATGTATCTTCATGCTTGTATGTACTGTATATTACATGATAGGTCGACGAGTTTCCCTGTCTCTCTTCTACCTTCGATAGATGGCTAGAATCATCACGTATAAAACCAAGGATTTTTTGAAAGATCTACGCTGTCTGATGTTCCATCTTGCAATGCAATATCGACGACAATATATCGAGCAAGGAAATTGCCCAAGTTATTTATTGATTCAGTTTATTTGGGGAAGTCAACCCCACAATCCGAATGTTTGAAAGCGAAACAAAAACTTGATTGATCATGCCAGCAACCCGCCACCAACTGGAATCACAGAAAATGTTCACATCCAAAAAAAAAAAAAAAAAAAAAAAAAAATTCAAAAATTGAGAAGAGGGAAGGTGAAAAACATATCACCAATGTCAGGGTCTTGCCGCGACTCGAACGCGGGGCCTCTCGCAAACAAGATGCTTTAGGGTGAACCCTAAGCGAGAATCATACCACTAGACCACAAGACCTGAGAAGTCATGTTCATGTTCTGGTGGGAGTCTGTTTTTCCTGGTTGCGAGTTTATGGAGCTCTCTTTGAGGGGGATTTTAACTGAAAAGGCGTTGCTGTGTTGTTATCAGGGTTGTTGTCTGGTGTATTATGTGTGTGCATTTACTTCACCTCCTGCTCTATCTTTGTGGCAACACATTAAATATTACCACGCTTCACAGCATTTCCAGCGACCACACTTTGATTAGTTCTGGATTTTAATTGATTGCATAATAGAGAGGGATATAATATATATAATCAAGGAGGAAGCATAGCAATGAGCTGAGGATGAATAGCTAATACAACAACGGCTGAGGGAAAAACAAAAAGCAAAACAAACCAACAAACCAACCTACAAAAAAAGAAAAAGCGATCCATGGACGACCAAAGGAAACAATGGGAAAGAGAGGAGAAGCTACTGGAAGGGGAGATAATAACAACAATGAAAAAGGGGAGAATGGCAAAATATCCCATAGTAAAACATAACACCACGTCATTGATTCGCCAATCTAAACGTCCATATCTTTGGCTTATCCAGACACATATATGTAATGGAAATGGAAACGGAAGGGGCGCTAGGAGACGAAGTTTTGCTGAAGCGGAAGAAAACCGAAGTGTGGGCGGAGATGGAGAGGGAAATGCCGCCCGGTGGGAGGGCACGTGTTGCCTGTAGATATCGCTACCTAGGTACCGTCCACCTCCTTTTTCCGATTTTTTTTTGTCGATCTCCTTGTCCACCTTCGATCATACATTTCTCAGCAATAGCCCAACTAACGGTCATTGCTCATTCCATTTTGTATTGTGTAGCCGTATGGCGGTGTTCCAAGGAGAGCGTAGAAGAGTGGAATCTCGGTTGGTTGGCTGGCTTTTCGATGCGCCTCAAGTTGCCTTGTGGGTAGGCGAGGCGAGCTTCCCGCCATTCGCATCGTTTCCCTCTCCCCCTTTCTTCCTACCCCACAAAATTTTGTAATCGGTGTTTCCCCACATCTGCATTCTTGCACGAGATTTCATGGCATCCAATGCATGTCCACATACATGGAAAGGAAATCCATCACGCTCACCTTCCCCAAAATCAAAAACAGAAAAGCAAGAAAATAAAAGAACTCCCATCTCAAAGGAGAAAGTAAAAAAGAAAAAAGTGAGCAAAAACACACACGTCTTTTAAACTCAACGTCTCCTCTCAAAATACCCGCTGGAGCCAAAGACTGCCACGCTCTGATCCATCACCCACTCGCCTATCCCCAAGTAACTATCCACCCATTTATTCACTTGCGGATTATCCGATATCTTTTGGGAATTGAGGCTGGGGCTGAGAGAAATGGTGTTCATCCAGCGACCCCACTTGACCCAGCGACACGGACCGGGAGGGGTGGGCAGTTGCGGTGGCGGTTGCGGTTGCGGTATGGTATGGTGTTGCAGGAGAGCGGGAAGCTGGTCCTCCTCGCGTTGGTGGGATAGTTGGTAGGTGGGGAAACAGCGTCTGCGGAATTCTTGTTGTGCTTGTCGTATCGAAAGGGAGATGTGTCGGAAGAGGGAGTGAGGAATCTGAGGCTGCAGAAGCTCCCGCTTACATGCGTACCATACCGCCGCGGCAATATTCGGCCCGCGCCACCCCTGCCCGTCGTGTGTGGGAGTGGGGGGGAGAGGTGAGTAGATGTTAGCCTATGTACATGCGTCGGATGTAGTTAGGAAGGTTGGGGAGGAAGGTGCGTGGAATGGGTATTTACGTTAGTCCTGTTGACCGCTTGATACCAGCTAGAAATGCGGAGACTATGGGGAGTGTTTATTTTGGTGAGCTGATGTTCCCAAATTGTATTGGTTTGCTTAGATTGTTCTAGACGCGGGGAAAGGGGTTGAATTTCAGTCACTAGGGAAAGATACGTACGCAGAACGGCGTCGAAGGCATAGTGAGTTATTCGCCCGAGCTAGAGGAAACATGTCAGTAAAAGTGTGGCGAGAGATAAGGGATAAGATAGGACTGGGCGAGGCAGGACGAACAACCATGGTGAGAGATGGGTGAATATAGGGGTTAGAGAGTAGCGCTTCTTGTTTGGTTTATCAGATATGCCCAGCCTCGAGAGCATAAGTAAATAGAGAACAGCCAGCGGAGGATATCGTGATGGCTGGAGATGAGGTCGTAGAGTGTTTGGATCCTGTTAAATTAACTAACTAACTAGTGGCTATTCGGTTGCCTAGATAATGAGGTAAGCAAAAGTCATGTGGTTTGATATCCCGTAAGAACATAAATCCGACAATCAGTGGGTGCAAATTAGAGAGGGAGGCTGAATGAAGAGTCGGCCCAACTTTTAACCCATCTAAAACACACCTACACAGGATGCTGCATGTATGGATTAATAATGTTCTATTGTTAAACCACGCTGGAATCTTATTTAAAGCAATGTCGCAACACGGATCTGTTGATCTTCGTCCGCTCGTCTCCCAATTCCCCCAATGTTGCTTCTCATAATAAGAATAGGACAACATATATACAAGTTAGGGTAAACGCCCACTGGCAACTCACTGGTCTGTGCACGATCTGCCTACATCAACGGACAACCTCCCGCCCATCCCGTTAGCTTCAAACTAACTATCCAAAGCTAACTCAAAAAAATATTAGTAGGCCAAAAAAAAGCCATCCAGTGAGCTCTCTTCGCCAAATCCTAGTGCAAGCATTCTTTGTTCTGGCTGGTTGAAATGCCCTGCTTGGTGCTGACTTGCAGCGCCAACACATTTAGGCCTTGTTGGGATCAACCACCAAGATCACCAGCAACCAAAGCACCACTGGGACGCAGGATTACTACCTGTAGCTTGCTGAGGGATCCCCACGTCTCTCTGCTCGGTAGCTTTCGCCTCTCTTGTTTCTTTTTCCTTCTTCCTCTTCTTCTTTTCCCACCGGTTCTTTCTCACCTCCCGCAACCGTGGCCTCCCTACAAGGTCAACAGAAACAATCCGCCACCACAATGGCGAACTCCCTCGATCACCTCACCAGCAGAAGTAAGCTAGAATGGATGTCCAAGCTCCAGTGCGATTACAAGCCGCTGCGGGGAGAGAATATCGCCAACTATGCAAACTTCCGCCGAACCTCCATTATCGGTACCATTGGTGCGTTGGCTCTCCTTATCGTCTCTCTTGACACCCCGCGCTCAGTTAGCCTGAATACATACTTTTCTTTTGCTCTTTCTTTTTTTCATTTTTTTTTTTTTTCATTCCTTATGCCGAAATTTCCCTGTTTGTTCAGTGCAAAACTAGAATGGGCCTAAGCTAATACTAGAATTCGTTTCTTCCTGCTGATAAGGTCCCAAAACTAATTCTGTTGAGAAGATCAACATCCTTCGCAACGGTGCGCTTGCCACCACACCTAGCCCGGGGATGTTTGGATGTATTTAATGCGGGATTGACTTTTATATGTCTCACCTCCAGCCGGCCTCAATGTTGTTCGCATGAACTTTTCCCATGGCGATTACGAGGTAAAGAAAGACATAGCTCTATTATGCCTTTACTTTGGATACTGTGCGAACAGCTGACTGATTGTCTGCCTCCTGTCTAGTACCATCAATCCGTCGTCGATAATGCCAGACGGGCTGAGAAAATACAGGAAGGACGTCCTCTTGCCATTGCGTTGGATACTGTAAGCAAATGACCGCTGCTATAAACCATGTTCACAACAGCTAGAGCGAGCTCGGGAGTTGACGGCTATTTTCACTCCACAATTGAATAGAAAGGACCTGAGATTCGAACCGGCAAAACGGTCGGTGGCAAGGATATCAAAATAACTGAAGGGACCGAGTTGGTTATTACGTCTCATGACGACTATGCTGAGAAGAGTGATCTCCATTACCTGTTGGTTTTCTCCTGCCCTTGCTATGATGATCTGAACTTGCAAGGACGATGCTAATCCCCATTAATAGATACGTCGACTACAAGAACATCACCAAAGTGATCCAGAAGGGCAAGCTTATATATGTGGACGATGGTATTTTATCATTCGAAGTTCTCGAAATCATAGACGACAGCTCCCTGCGTGCCAGGTGTCTGAACAATGGCGTCATCTCCTCCAAAAAGGGTGTTAACCTGCCCGGCACCGACATCGACCTCCCCGCTCTCTCCGAGAAGGACAAGCAAGACCTCCGCTTCGGGGTGAAGAACAAAGTCGACATGATATTCGCCTCCTTCATTCGCCGCGCCTCCGACATCCGCGACATCCGCGCAGTCCTGGGCGAAGAAGGCAAGGAAATCCAGATCATCGCCAAGATCGAGAATGAGCAGGGAGTCAACAACTTCGACGAGATCCTCGAGGAGACCGACGGTGTCATGGTCGCGCGTGGCGATTTGGGTATCGAAATCCCCGCCGCCAAGGTTTTCATTGCGCAGAAGATGATGATTGCCAAGTGCAATATTAAGGGCAAGCCTGTCATTTGCGCGACCCAGATGCTCGAGTCCATGACGTATAATCCACGCCCAACGCGTGCTGAGGTCTCGGACGTCGCCAATGCGGTGCAAGATGGCGCGGACTGTGTCATGTTGTCTGGCGAGACGGCAAAAGGTGATTACCCCAAGGAGGCTGTCACAATGATGCATGAGACGTGCCTGATTGCGGAGGTTGCCATTCCTTATGTCAATGTTTTTGATGAGTTGCGGAACCTGGCGCCGCGGCCTATGGATACCGTTGAGTCCATTGCTATGGCGGCGGTCTCTGCCAGTTTGGAATTGAACGCGGGTGCTATCTTGGTCCTGACGACTAGGTAAGTTAAGGGGGGAATTCCATATCCTCATAAAAATTAATTTCAATAATTGAATCTATTCGCATGCTCACAACACCCTTTTCCAGCGGCCACTCCGCCCGCCTCCTTTCCAAATACCGACCCATCTGCCCCATCATAATGGTAACCCGAAACGGAATAGCAGCTCGTGTAAGTTTTGTTCTTCATTCCCCTAACCTTCCCAGAAAATACACTTTTATATTTAGCCCCTTAAATTTAATATATTTACTTAAAAAAAACCCAACATCAGTACTCCCACCTCTACCGCGGCGTGTACCCGTTCATCTTCCCAGAAAAGAAGCCCGATTTCAACCAGAAGAACTGGCAAGAGGACGTCGACAACCGGCTCAAGTTCGGTATCGCGAAGGCCATCGAGCACCAGGTGCTGTCCCACGGCGACTCAGTCGTCTGCGTGCAAGGGTGGCGCGGCGGTATGGGCCATACCAACACCATCCGCGTTGTGCTGGCGGATCCGATGAATTTGGGGCTTGCGCAGGTGTGAGCGTTGTTCGTGCCGGAGCGGAGGGAGGCAATTAGATCGTTGGGGTTGGGTTTAGCGGGTTGCGAAAGCAAAAAAAGGGGGGGTTTTATTAAAAATAACAAGAGAAAAAGATTGTTTCTTCTTTCCTCCTCCGCCCCTACTCCCCCCTTTCTGTGCTGGAGATTATTGTTTCGTTTGTCGTGGTGGGTGGATTTCTAGATTTATTGATTGAACGAGGGGACCTCCCTACCTGAGAAATAGTGACGTTTTGTGGAGAGCCAAGGATAGTAGTGGTTTTTCTTTTTCTATTTTCCTTCATCCTTCATTTTTTATTGACAAAAAAAAAAAAAAAAAATAAACGAAAAACAATATACATAGTAATTAATAAAAATTTGGTTCTTGGGCGATGACGATGCCACTAACTTTTTTTTTTCTACTTTCAATGTTTATACGGTTGTTAACTCGTTGAAGTCAGGAAATTTTCGTATGGAAGCAGAATGAGGAGAATTGCCCTGCACACATGGCTCGGAGAAAACTTTCTTCGTTGGATGCCCCATCCATATAAGTTAATTCAGTAACATGCCATCAATTGCTTGGTTTTGTGTGTTTGTGGATCTTGAATATGTATTTATTACTCTTTGGATACAATGAGCTGAGCAAAAAAAAAACAAAAAAAAATATAAAGCTTGACTTTGTGAGCTGGAAAATTGTACATGGTTTATATAATAAACAGAACTTTCCCGAGTGTATTTGTGTTGGTACGGCATGGTAAAACAACGTACTTCTTGCAAATAAGGGAGATGTAGAGTTACGGGAGGAGGGGAAAGGTGGGAGAAGGAGTAATTCATAGATCTAACAGGAATATTAATAACTATCACTAAGAAATACAGTTGGAAGGAAGGCGGAGGTAGAAAATGGGGGAAAATGAAAGCTGACAAAAAGGAACTAAGTGAAAAAGTGTGTCTAACACCAGGTGGACATAGAAAAAGTGTGCTGGGAACATGCAAGATGCCAGCATGGATTGTCGTAGCTTCCAAGTTTCCTGTCTTTAGTTTCTTTTTTATCTTATTAACCCTCCTCTCTGCAAGTTTCTCGTGGACAGGATAGGTGCGTGGCGTTCGGATTATTCATGAATTCGTGTTGTCTAAATATATAAAAATGCATTCAAACTGGCTCATAGTTTGATTCAATTCAACATAATTTCATATTCTCGTGAGTCGGGGTCATCGAAGTCGTAGGCCGGGCGTAAGTATAAACACTTATCTTTTTTTTCTTCTTGGTTAGAAGAAATATAATTTCACGGGGGCTGTGGATAGGGGTAAAAGGAGAAAAGGAAAGAAAAGGTGAGCTGCGGTTGAAGATATCTGTAGTCTGAAGGAACTATTGGGTGGGTATGAGATGTGTGCAATCTAAGATGTGCCACCACCTGATTCGGCATTTTCTTCCCTGCCGGCTTCACAGGTATCTCGCTCCCGTTTGCATTCACGCTCAGAGCTCTTTAGTCTCACGTTGCGTCGATCCACGTACGTGGTGTGGAATTGGTGCCAAGAACTAGGCGTGGTTTTCGTTTCGTTAGTAACCTTCGACTCACATAAGATCTCTCCACCTTGACGGCGGTTGAAAGTTCTGGAATGTATACTCACTTTGGAGCATGCAACACGTATCTCGCCATCGCCTCCCGGAAACGACTCTTGTACTCCTTCGGACTGGTGACGGTCGGTCTATTCTTCCCACCGCCAGCAAATCCGCGATCCTTAATCCATGACTCTAATTTCTTATCCCAAGTATATGTACGGATACAATCGATGATCCCGACGACGAGTTCCTGGCGATTTTCATCAATCGCAATCATAAGAGAGTAGTCCATGACGTTCTGTCGGGCGAGGAATAATGTGTCATTCCATACGCTCTGGCTTAGTAGTTTCTTGGAGTGTTCCCGAGTGAACAAAGGGCTCTCGTAGATGAATTCAACCATGTTTTCATCGAGGAGGACTTCGTTGCGCTCGCCTGTGCTTTGTACTTTGCGATTACGCATTGAGCCCTTTAGATCGAAGATCCGTGTTGGATTCCTGTCATAGAATAGGTTCTCCATGAGAAGCAGGAACCAATTAAATTCGACACCTGTGACGGGGTTCTTGATGATAACTTGATAGAAGCCGAACATCTTTGCGATGGCTGAGGGTAGTTCGTGAAATAGAGCTTCTGACATAATTTGAAAGTAAGCTGGAGCGAATTTTAAAAAGGCTTGGGTCTCGATGGTTGAGAGAGATTTGAGGATGAACCGATCATCTAATGTTTTGAGGAAGAGTGACTTGGTTTTCCCGCCTCTGGAATCCCATTTCATGCAGCGGGACAGTGATCCCACTATCCGTTCTGAGACACCGCATTTTCTTCGGAGTGCATCGAATTGCTCAGCATAAAAAACTTTACAAAGCATCTTGGTCTGGCCTTCTTGGAACTGGTATTTGAGATGTGTTCCCGTCTCTCTCAGCAGCGAATGCTCAACTTCTGGCTCACGACGTCCATCATTGGGTTTGGCTTCTATTATTTCGTCATGCTCTTGAATGCTCCAAAGTTTATTCTTGTAGTCCTCAGAGTCCAGAGCAAAAGCAATCAGGGAGCTTGGTTCATCCTCTCGAACAATGATATCGCAATCAGCGAAAACGTGATCGGAATCACTGAGAGGGTATTCGAGTGGCGCCCACCCACTGGCGGAGCGTTCGGCCCAGAAATTTGTCAACACTTTAAGCAGTGAAGTCCGTTCATACTTCGGCAACTCCTTGAGATAAAGTTCGTCAGGTGACAACTTATTCGTCTCTTCCGGGGAATCAACAATCTGAAGTTCGTCCAGCAGACTTCTTTCAGCGTCACTATGCTCTTCTTCTTCCTCCTCCTCCTCTTCTTCTCCTCTGCCTTCTTCGCCCTCTGCCTCTGGGAAAACTTGACTGGCTTTTTGTACGCTTTCTTTTGATTTACTAGAGACTCTATCCCGTTGTTCCTCCGCCGCCTCTGACATCTCTTCTGGCTGAGTAGGGCCCACCATTTCGCTCATCAACGTGGTTGATTCCTTTGAAGTAGCGGCAGAGGGCTGATTTGACAGGAAGTCCTCATCTGATGGATCCCGTTCTTCTACTGCATCCCTAACGTTCTTATAAACTTCTACAATCGGATTTGAAGAAGCCATGGGGTATGCGCGAGAGTTTTTTCTCTGCAATGCTCGCTGTTCCCGTTCCTTTAAACGCTCCTTTTCAAATTCGCGACTGAGCTGTTCAAAATGTCTTGCGAGATTTGAAACCCTCGAGGTTCTGGATTGTACAGAGCGGGGTATCAGGGAATGGTGACCAGAAGTAAGTTTACTGGGTTTTAAGGACGATAGGCCTAAGCGATCCGAGAACCTCTTTTCATTCCCTTTTAATTTTGAGTCACTACTTTGTCCTGTCTGCTTCTCAGCCATTTTAGGGCTCGAGCCACCAGTTGATGACCTTTGCGGGACTTGTATTCCAGTCGCACTGCTGTTGTCATTTGAAACATAGCTTGGTTGTGACTGTGCTCTTAGCAATGGTGGAGATGATCCATTCGGGTCTTTTCGAGCCGATCTCTCTGTCGGTCTGGGAATACCGGAGGGCCTGGGTGTTTGAGGTGCGCGTATAGCAGGCTGCTCCGTACTATCTTCGCTGCGTTGTTTCTCTTCAGGTTCGGTCTGGGCCTCATTTGAGGCGTCCGACAAGAGTAATTCGGGAGCAGATTGAGAATTGCTATCAGATGCAGGGTGAGCTTCGGCAGTAGTCTCAGCTGAATGAGAGGGAAGGCGCTCGGGCTGAGGAGGGTTAGGATTTTTCGTTTCATTCTGAGGAGATATGACTAAGTCTAAGTGTTGAATATCTTCCTCAGAAGCCATTGGCGTCGCTGGCAGTTTTACAGCTTCACGTTTTTCCACTTTTGGGAGGGTGGGAGAATGAAGCTGCTCGGGACTTTCATCGTCCCTATTAAGCTTACCTGAATGCTCTTCCACTACGGAAGCGAGAACATTCTTAGCCTCTTGAGGAGATAATGTCATCCTTCTCGCCAATTTCGGGCTTTCTACCAATGGCGAAGTGGTTGTCCCATCGGTCTCCTCTGTCTCAGTAGGCGTTATCGTTGACATCTCGTCAGTGGAAGTGAAGGATGCGACAGAGCCCTCCTTATCGAGGAATATCCTTTTGAGTTGTAATGTTGCCAATCGTCGAATATCTTTTTCGGAAGGAAAGAAATTCCGTTCAAATTCTGCGAACGTCGCATCCCACTCCACAGCTTTTTCCTGGGTCGCATGAATCACCCTATTCAGCGGGACTATTTCCCAGTATCGAGAATTCATGTACAGTTCTTGGTGTTGTTTAATGAGGGCTAGATGATCATCATTCGCCCGTTTCGTGAGCGCCTCAATTTCCTGCTTGCAGCTCTCAGCCATTTCTGGCATGACGCTGTCGACATTAATACTTTTTAACCTGGACTTAACGGATAACATGAATCGATTCAAGCGCTTCTCGGCTTGCGTGTAGATTTCATTCCGGAGCCTGAGATCTTTATCAACTTTCCACGTAACGCGGGGCCGCGGCACAATTATTTCCAGCAAATTAATTGGATCATAATGAATGCGAATAGCCACATCTCTGAAACCAAAATATCGAAGGTGGTCGCGATGCAAGTCATGAGGACAGACGCCCGCACGTGCGTGTAAATTCCCGCACCAAAATGATAATTCAAGATATTTTCCAAAAGAATACCTCCAAGTGCTTTCTGACATGGGGATAGCTGGTGTTTCATTACCACAGATCTTGCAACAGCTCCACATTAAAATCACATCCTGCAATCCGCGAAGCTTGGATGGATATGTCTGCACAATGACAGTAACCTGGGCTTCGCCATGTACGTACTGCCGGTGATGGCTAAACATCCGTTCCTCACAACCATTCACGTCACAGACGTCGTTAGCGCTCAGGCAAAGTTCTTCGACATACTGACCAAGAGTAAAATCGGCTTCGAATATCCTGTCCGATTCATGCTCATTGTAAAATTCGAGAGCAAATATCTCCGGTCCAGCACACGGAACGGATGTTGTCGTACAGACAAGGCTGTGGAGCACAACAATATTTTGATGTGCAAAGGGATCAAAGAGATTGTCATTTCCGGAGATAGAGGCCTCCCACTGTCTTTTTTGTGTTTGGTAATTGTGCAGCGCTCTATCATATTCTGCATCATGAACGGCATGAAGAACTTCCTTTACTTTAGCTGGGGCACCGGAGAGGGATTCATGGATCATCTCGGGAGTAATGAGAACAAATTTTTGAGCTCTAGATTTATCATCGCTTAGGTGCTCGGTCGAGAAGTCCTGATCACGTAGCCGTTTGAGATATGCAAGCTGTCGCTCCAGCTCTCTCGCCCGCATGAGAAGGTAGGGAGGCATGAATTTCACAAATGGAGATGCGGAAAGAATTTTTGTTTGATGCTTCTCGACCATATCCTCGTAGAAAGCAGGCTCAGTAGTAGAATTGGCGTTATTATTTTCAATAGAAGCGCTCGTAGCAGTGTCGCTAACAGAAATTGAACCTTGGGATGTCGTCAGCTCTGTTCCAGGTTTTGCTCCGTCCGTGATACCTGACTGAGAGCTGGTTGGATCGCGTGTTGTGGTGCTCAGATCGTCCGTGATGCTAGAGGAAGCACTTGTTTTAGCGGTCGATGTTGTGTTTGGGGCCGAGGAGGGTATTTTCGCGAACTCGTCTCTCATGAGACAGGTTTCCAACTTCAAATTGTATACAACATAGACCATGAATTCCGTGATCCGTTTAATTTTCATGAGAAGGTCATTTTCAGCACCACGTAAGACGATTGTGCATCCCAATTCCTTCAGACAGCCAGATATATACATATATGTCTTTTTACGGTTTTTGTGGACATATGTTTTCAGATCAAAGCTTCCACATTGGCCGGTGTACGATGGATTGGTGGCTAGCCTGTCCATGGACGTAATAATTCTAGTCTGAGTGCACCTAGACACAGCCTCAATTACCGAAGGTTTGACATTGTACGCAGTGGCGATATTTGCCTTTTCCAATAACTGAAGTGCTAATCCAGAAACATTCTTTTCGACAAGAAGCAGATTAGGCTTCAACGAGGATATTCTGTTGACCAGATTCTCAAGGAATTCGCGTTCTTGACGAATGACAGGCTCCAGACTCATGAAATGCTGCTGGTGGCGTGCGTATTCAAGTGGAAATGTAATGATAAGAATGTTTGGTTGGGGAATAGTTCGCGGCATACTTTTCAAGGCTAAATTTTTCGTAAAGACCAAGCCAGATACATATGATGTATCCCCGGGGCGGCCCCCTGGTATCTTTTTCAGTTTCACATAGTGGCGTATATCCATCGCGTCACCTTGTTGGACATTAGGTTCTACATCGTCCGTGGCTTTAAGGAGAATTGGCAATAGAGCAGTTTCCCAAGAGTGAGAGTGGGAAATATGTGCATCTTTGAGAAGTTGTCGGAGGAGTTTGCGAACATGATCCAAACTAGCTCGATTGAGTTCAACTACCGGCGCGCCGGCCCCTCTCATGGAAGAGCTTCTAGTCATTTTGAATCCAGCGGAGGCTGACGGACCTTGTATAGATTGGGGTGGTGCAGGTTGATCCTGGTGGAAGTAAATGTGCTGACTATCTTTTGAAGGGCGCGGTGATACGCGCTGGTGGATGCTGCTTGCAACACTCAAATTACGTCGGCGCCCAGAACGAGGTAGGTTCACTGCCCTCGAGCTGCTTACGCTCGTGTCATCACCATCACGGGAGGGGTACAACCCTGGGATTCCGGGTCTGTCGCCAAAACGAGAACGACTTTTTCTGACAGCTGCAAGAAGGCCACCGAAAGATGCTTTCTCACTGTCGCCAACGCTTTTAGAGAGAGAACCATCTGAAACAACCGCGAATAAGTTTGATTGCTCATCTCCGCTTGAGGCATCATCTGACAGGTACTGGGCTAGATCTGGATCAATAATGTTATCCCTGTGGAAGGCCGGAAGCAGGGACTTCCCGCTCATATCCTCTGCAGCACGGCGCTGGAATGGAGCTCTATCCTCATGGTAGGCTTTAAAACTGCGAATATATTGATGCCGAGAATGATGGCGTTTATGGCCAATGGAATGTTGCCTCCCGTTTATTGACGATTTTAGAGACCTTGACGAAGAGGGCCTCGCAAGCTGGCGATCGGAATCGAATTCGAGGATGGCAGAGCGCCGATTATTCCCATCACCAGTACGTCGAGTTGCAGGAATGGCCATGGTGGGGGTCTTCAGCACATGATCAACCGATTGGGACACAACAGATGAAGCGTCGTCATCGGCCACGCTCAAGCGAGATATATTCCCGTTAGACATGGTGTCAGGACTTCGGGTATTTATAACAATAGGGCTCATGTCATCTCCAGATAAATCTGAAGAATCATCTTGATAAGCGATAATTTTGCTCTCACAAGGCCTGCAAACTCGTATTGAACCGGAATGTCCGAAATCAGCGCCCGGTATTAAAGAGGTGCATTTTGCATCGAAAATTTGGCCACACGTGCGACAGTGATGTTTCCTTCGGAACGTGGAAAACGGTTCGCCGCAGTGAAAACAATCCTTTGCATTTTCGTCACGCATCCAAAACTCCTTGCCAAGCAGCCTACTTCGGAAAGGGGGCACCTCCTGTCGAGATCGGGCAGGGTGGTATTTTGGTTCCTGGGTAGTAAGACCAGAATTATCAACGCGGAACGAAACATGGGGAGGAGTTAATGTGAACTGATGCTGTCCATTTGACTCTGAGGATGGCATCCTCGAGGGTCCAAAACCAGGCAGGCGTGATTGGCTGATTTTGGGGGTGACTTTTGGGCGCTCCTTGAATGAGACCTTCGATGAGTGCGTGGATGATTGCTCCTTGTCTGTCATGGTGAGCGATGTTGCTAGTGTTGTAGGTGTTTTGCCTTCGTGGATGGAACTATCCGTTGTTGAGAGTTTTGAAACGCTGTTAGTGATGGAAGTTGGAGCTGGTGAATAATCATTCGAGATGGATTTGTTAGCGTTTCCAGGTTGGCTGTCTCTACGAGAAGGATGTATATCGTTCGTTCCATCAATCGATGTTTTCCAAGCAGATCTTGAGAAAGATGTATCCAGTTCAGCTAAGGCATGCCGATCTTCTATGGCAGACTGCAGTTTTGGAGACGCTGCGCGTTCCATGGGAACACTTTCCGGCAAGCGAGTCTCTCGAAAAGATTCACTGTTGTTATGTCTTGCTATTAAAACTGGCGAATACGACTGCCTACTCGGTGCTGACTCCTGTTGTGACTGTGACTGGCTCGTCGTAGTATGAAGCGAACTATCCCGTCTCTCTGAACTGACAGAGTCGACATTCTGCATAATACTAGATGCGATGCTTCCTGAGCCCCTTCTACTGTGAAACGGAATATCCTTCATGGCGTTCACGTTTATTTCAGTCACCGTCGGGTCGGCCATCCCTGACGTGGTCTTGGTTAGAGGGGCAATTGGAGATTTCAACGGTCCGCCAATCTGTCCCGATGCTTTTGACGATACACTGCCAGCCTTAGAGGACAATCGTGACGGCTTCCCTGTATACTGATTTGTCGTTCCTTCTTGTATTGGAGGGAAGGTGCCCAGAACTGGAGATTGTGATTTGGATGCATGGGCCGAGTTCGCAAGCGATGGTTGCGAATCTGTCGATCCTGGCTGCCCTGATAGATTTGAAGGAAATGAAGACGTGTTAGGGCTCCTAAACACAGGTGTTTCTGCTGGTGTTATATCAAGCTGTCTTGAAGAACCCCCAACCATATCTTTGACACCGCCTACGGAAGCTCGAAATCGATTGTATAGACCGCTAAGGCCGCCTTGCAAATCTCCAACCAAACTCTTGTTGTCCGTTGCGGGAGAGGTAGTAGGAAGACCAGTAAGCTCATAGAAAACGGTGAGCTCATCTGATTGACAAGCAGCATTGTGTATCTGGTTCAACGCTTCATTTCGATGTTCCCGCTCTGCTTGCGAGCTCATAGACCCAAGAGAACCCCGTCTTGAAGGTCGGCCAAGTGGTAGAAATATTGAGGACGCGGAGGGGCTAGAGTTCCCCTGTGACTTTTGAGAGGCCATATCTGTATTCAACACGCCAACATTAGTAACCTACAATATAAAATAAATCAATAAATCAATAAAAAAGACTAAAACCTTCTTGATCTGATCAAAGCAAGGCTCTCCTCGTACATGGCAGGTGACTTTAACGCTTCGTGAGAAAGCTATTCCATCTTCTTTTGGTTTACCTCAGAAGGGAAAACGCGACTCCGGTGAGAATGGCGCAGAGATGGCAACCATGTGCAAGACACGCAGAAGCAGCGAAATCGAGGTGGGATAATCGATGGCCGTGGTCATCGCTGCCGCCTGGCTGCCTACTTGACGTGGATCATCAAGAGACGTCACGAACATGTTGAAGGTCCAATGGGAGAGCGCCGTTGTTGCTAAGTCAGCAATTACAGGTTGGCCTAGGCTATTCTGCCAAAGCGGTGAGGGACGGAGGGAGCAAATCACGGGTCATTTACCCCAGTTGGGAATCTTCAAAGATCCGTGATTCACGGGTCTAGGGAACTACCAAAGTGGAATATTTCAAGTTACATCTGTCCATCTTGAGTATACTGGCCATGTTGGGCTTTTCTTAGCGCGTTTACGATCTATGAAGTGGCAGGGATCAAGGACAAGTTATGTCCTACGACGATTTCCAGCTCCATCATGGAGATAATGAGAAAGTGGATTGCGCCTCTTGTCGAAGCCGCGCTATGCTCTTACTTGGGGGAGCCCTTCCCAGACGAAGCGGCCTTACGGAACTCATTGAAGCTGGTAGAAGATGATAACACCCTTCGAGTCCGCGTGGGAGATCAGAAACTCGTGCAGGTGGCTCAGGTATGCATGCGAATTTTATACAGAGGTGGCGTGGGATTGGCGGCGCTGACGTATCTCATGATAGTGGTCTCCCGATCCAGAACCCATCCGGGGTACTCTATCTGATTCTGTAACCACCATCTCGAGCGTTTTTTCCAGAGAGTCTACGGAGATCTTCTTGAAAAAGGCCAGGAAGCGACTTACCAACAATACCCGGGGCGCAATCATCAAGATCAACGAATTCGATATTGTTATTAGCTATGCGAGAGCTCATTCGCCTGAGATCAGTCTCTTTATCCTGGACTTCCGCGTTGAGGGATGTGAGGGAAGCAGTATATTTGGCAGCCCAGTTGATGTCAGTGGAAATTCCAGGTTATCAAGCTTGGCTAGGAAGTGTTCGAGAAAGTGTATTACTCAAAGAAATGGCCGTGCTTCCCCCAATGGGGAAGGGCGGGTAGCGAATGTGGCCACAAATTCAGATTCGGATTCAGACTCAGATGCGTCATCTCTGAGATCCCAGGCCTATGACTCCACTGCACCGCTTTCCCAAGAGCAATTTATATCGCAAGCTCCATGTCGGCGATTAGAGAACCACCAAGTATCTGCCAGAAAGGACGTTGTCCTACCTAAGAAGAGGAATGCGACGTTGATACTTTCTGCTCTTACTTCGAAATCAAGACTAACAGAACCAATCTCAACCATTCCAAAAGAGAAACCGTGTCAAACGGGGAAAAGCAACAGGCCACTCTCTCCTGAATTTGATGCGGATATAGACCAAATTCAATTAGTCCCGTCTATTGAGAAAACGTCCCCTATTCATGAGGAAATAAACTCCAATGGTTCTTGTGACGCCGAATCGTTATCTCCATGTAGGAACCCGGTTGCAAGTACATCCCTCTCGCACACCTCTGATACTAGATCCCCAAGAGTTAACAAGAGCCGTAATAAAAATAATGTGGCAAGTCAAACCCGTCGCGACAAGTCAACCGATAACACAGATCCCAACACATCCCCAAAAGCGCTTAAACCAACGGTTCAGAAAGAGATGACCACTAACAACAACCCGAAGGCAAACGTGCAAACAGCCCGAGATGACCCCTGGAAGAACATGACGCGAATCCGCCACCGGGATGTTACAATTCACAGAGACCAAGAAGATATAATCCAGATGAAGGAGTCCTGGGTTCCTCCAGAACCGGGGAAGCAGGCGCCACAAGCCCACGTCCCAATACGTCTTTTGCAGGAATGGAACGATATGCACTGTCGCAGGCCATCAAGAGAAAATATGAACGGATGCGCGGCTTCTCAGTCCACAAATGAGGAGGACGACCTTGACTCTGAATTGCTGAAATCTTCGTCACAAGGCGAAGTACTGGACTCGGAATGGGCTGCCACTCCCCAATCAACATCCTCTTCTCATCTTGTTCCGCAAGACAGCAGCCCGCTCGCTATGAGCGACATACGTCCATCACTCCTTTATCCCTCACGCAATGTGTCGGTTCGTAATAATGACATTCTAACCCGTGACAATGTGGACGAGTTGAAAGATGGACCCGACATCCCTGTCAAGTCACAAAAAGCATCCGCTTTTGATACCACTCCACCCATTGAAGATGACGACGATTATTCTGAGATGGGAATGGCAGTTCCGAACGGTTTGGGAAATGTGAGCCAAACTAATGAAGACTCTGGGGATGAGGAGATCCCAAGGTCTGGAGCTTTAATCGAACAGACCCCTTATGTCCAAGCAGTTAAACGGAAAATGGCAACAACCATTCACAGCCCGAGGAACACTGATGAAGATTCTGGCCAAAGCTATAACAAGACATCATCGGACCCTCTTATTCCTTCAACCTACGATTCCCGTTGTTTAAATGTTCACCCAGAGTCCTCTATGTCCACTCGCGGAAAAGCCACTCGCAATTCCGTAAAACACACTAGTCCTGCACCCACGGAGAGATTTAACCTGCTGGATTGCGGTTCGATGGATGGTGATGATGAATCTATGGCAGAAAGACAACTAGTGTCCGATTTGGATGAATATATGCAAAGCACCCGTGATGAGTATCTGGAAGTATCTGCTACAATCCAAGCTCCAGGGACCGCGGAAGACGCTACTAAACCATCTAGTCCCTCCGTTAATATACATGCATCTCAGACTGAAATGAACTCCCCCCCGCTGATTATCGGAAAGCGGAAACGGAATGAGATATCTCCCAAGAATAGCAATCCGTCTAAAGAGCCAAAGATTTTTAGGTCACAAGCATCCCGCCACAACAAACTCTCCAGCACGATAAAACCCACGGAATGTCGGCAAATTGGTTTTGAACATCGATCTTGTTTCGGCAATGGCATATTGCCATCAAAAACAGAAGGCATATATAATAGGTTCAAGGCAGCCTATCCACACTATGCTGGTAGCATTGACGATTTCAGGAAGGCATGCGATGAACTACAGCACCAGCGGGAACAAAATTTTATGAAGCGATCATTTCTGTGGGACGATTTCGTTGTGCGATATCCGTCATATGTCCTACAGTATTGTGACGATGGGGAATCTTCTCACATTGCTCCCTACGTGGATTATTTTCAAGGGGAAGTCAAAAAGCCATCCTGCCGAAAGCGAAATCTCACAGCCCGCGACCTGGACATTGTCTTGGCTGACAGGGTAAATGAGAATGAAGCCAAAGAAACTTCCTTTATGGAGAATCACAGCAGAAGGTCTTCTTGGGCCAGTGTCCTAGTTAACGAACAAGAGCCCCAAACTCAAAACAATAAAGTGGTACATGTATCGTCATCAGACGAAGAAGCGGATAATGGTCAAGTACCGAGCATCCCAGAGTCCAATCATGAAGATTTACTGGTCAGTTTCGAGATTGACCCGGATAAATCTCTTTCTAAATCAAGTGATGAGCTGGATGTTCAGGAAACTGCTAGTGTCGAACTTGGAGATCTGAACCCTTTTTTTCCTCTTTCTGATTCTGAGAAAGAGAATGCCACTGCCTATGAAGATATTATTAACGTTGAAACCGAAATCAACCTCATGTCGGATGGAATTTCTGAGTCAGTGGAAGAGCATTATTGCTCTCCTCTTGCTCCAACGACCACAATGCGGGCCCCCTGCAGGAACCTCGAGATTGACTCCGACGATGATAGCGTAATGCTTGATAATTCCTCTTCGAACTCCAGCCTATATGAAAGTAATCAAGAAGAGAACCATGATGCCAAGAATGGCCCTGAAAAAGTAGACAGGGCTGATCTACCGAATGAACGCAGCCAAGTCTCTCTTAGAAGCCAAGCGAGACAAATTTCATCTCCACAACAGTCTCGAAAGCAATACCGCCGCTTTTTCCACCCACCGCCTGAGTCTCCTCAAGACCCTTTGTGGGATTTATACAATAAAGCGAACCAACCAAGTGACGTGAATGATCCAGATGATCCGAAGCAGTGGCATAAGTCTCCAAATACCCCATTTAAGATCTATGCCCGCAATGTGGCAAAGCTCCAGGCAGACTACGGGTTTCGGCAGGATGGATCCAAAGCGGATCCAATTCGTGTGGATGAAGACGGCGTTGTTCGTCCCCCGCCGATGGGGGATCCACAAGGTATGGGCTCGATCGGGTGGAGTCTTTGATAGACAAAATTTGTAAAATTTTCGCCAAAATATTTTTTAATTCATTTAATCACAATGTATATATCCCAGATGGAACAAAATTATTTGCTCTTTATCGAATTAGATCAGAGGGAAAAAATGTTTAAGAGGAACGCATGTTCTAGTGACTGTATTGTTAATGATGAAAAGGTTTATTATTCCTCTCTGAGCAGATTTTTCTCTCCCACTTCTTATCTTGTTCTCTTTCAAAATCGGAGCTTGTTATCTTTATGTCCTCATCTATTAAGTCTTTTTATTCTTCGCTGTTGGATTGAGAGTTTGCGGTTTGCCTGAGGCCCTTCCAACGATTTGATGTGATTATTTAGGACTCACATTGTTGTCACTGACTAACAGTGGTTTTCCCGATTCCTTTCCTCAAGATGGTCGTGATATGTCTACCCACGTCCTTGTCTTGTACAGTACATTGTATTGCTACAAACACTATCAAAACTTGGTTCATCTGAGCCTATTAGGTCACCATGCTTCAACAGATTTTCAGAAGAGGCAGAAGGGGTATCTCCATTCTAGAGAGACTCTAATAGGGGCAAGAATACACAGTATACACAGTGAAGCAAGAGGCGTCCATCAAAGCCAACCACCGGTCTAGATAATTACTTAGGAGAAGATATGTATTAATTATTATGTTTACAACAACCCTAGAGACTGTTGCAACCAGCAAAATCTCATCACCCATTCACAATACCATAAGTCCCCGAGAAAATCATGACACATAATTAACCGTAGCACATTATAACGTACCCTGGCAAACAAGACTTCTCAGGTTAAAAGACTACGCTGGATCCTTACCCTCTTCTGTACGCAGAAGCTCAGCCACCCGTCCATGGCCTTCATTTATCGCCCAGTTTAGCGGTGTCAGCAGCCCATCATTGTCCTTTACGTTGACATCCAATGTCGTAGCCAAGAGCAGTTTAACAATTGCCTCATGTCCATTGCCTGCTGCAAAAGACAGTAGGTTCCTGCCATTCGCGGCTGTCCAGGTCCTGTTCACATAAACATTGTCAAGGAATAGTTCCACCACCATCTCCCTTCCCTGACGAACAGCGTGGGACAGGGGAGTGTCTCCACCCTTGTCTTCAGTGTCCATGTCCCACCCTTCCATTTCGAGGAGTAATTCAACCGCCTTCCGCCGTCCACTTAGCGATGCCCAGGACAGTGCTGTTCTTCCGGATTCATCCTTCAGGTGCACATCTATCTCATTCGTTGCCAGCAGCAGCTGAACAACTTCGTCGTGTCCAAGTTCTGCTGCGTAAGAGAGCGCCGTTCGTCCTTTGTTGTCCATTGAATTTACGTTGACTCCTTCCTTTTCCAGCAACAGCTCAGCCATCTTTTGGTGGCCATTAATTGATGCCCATTGTAATGGCGTCAATCCATTCTCATCTCCAACATCCGGATCGACCCGTGCATCTGCTAGCAGCTTTCCAGCAATAGCCAGGTTTCCACATCCTGCAGCATAAGAAAGAGGAGTGCGGCCTTTATTATCCTTGAAAATTGGAATAGCCCCTTTCTCTAGAAGATAGTCGAAAGTGATGAAATCTCCATTTTTGGCAGAATATGATATCGCGGTGCGGTTGAGTCTGTCCCTTCTTTCAAAGGCGGCCCCACGCTCAACGAGGTTCTTAACAATAACATACCAGCCCTGCCTCACGGCAGAGATAAGTGCTGATCTGTGTTCTTTAGCATCTGTCATCATAGGACTCAGTTCTAGATAGTATAATGTGGAGCTTAGATCACCAGAGTCAATAATGCGAGATAGGGATATCTCGAGCGAACTCCGCAAATCGGTTCTAACCGAGTCGGGTTGGCTGGAATCGAAGCCCTCACTATTACGCAATTCCGCTTCTAATTCTTTCACTGTTCCCTCATCATCTAAGTCCTGTAAGTAACGAAGCACAACGTGGCCATAGCACCTCACAGCGCCAACAAGAGTGAGTCGACAATCCCCCTCCGTAGCGAGTGGAACATGTCTTTGAGTCCCAAATATAGGGTCATTGAGGATTTTGAGAATGCCGTTTGCTGCAAAATATAGTTTTGCGTCGCGAAAAGCAGCCTGGCGATAGCATTCACATAATGCCAAGGCCAGCAACCGTCCGTGGTTAAGCAATTTCAATTTGCCTAATTTCATGCTCCTCCGAGCTCGAACTTGTCTCTGGTTGCAAAGTATGAGGAAGTGCCCATAGTAGAAGTTGCTCTGCTTCGACCCATTTACCATCACGAACATGGGATTCCGCGGCTTTTCTAGCAGCTGAGAGGATCTCTATCCCGAGTGGAAGTTTTCCCTCGAGTCTGAGTGCGGGAATTATGTAAAGGCGTCTTCCACTGGGCCTAGGCCACTATTAACGAAAGCATCATGAATCCGACAGATGTTGGTATTGGTAAGACCGAAACGCTTAGCGTCGCGAACAGTCGTTTTTCCACCAATTCTCCTAATAATCCTCGCCATTGATGCAAAGAAAAGTGAATAAATCTCCTGAGCACACATGATTGGAAGGGATTTGGTCAGCGCGGGGACCTCCAACATTGTGAAATCGTCAACTTCCAGTACATCGGCAGAAACGTTCTGCCAGCCAAATAGGCGGAAATCATTGGAATTGAGAGCTGGCTGTCTTGTCTCAATGATGTTAAAGCCTCCACCTGCACGCCAGAGTTCAAAATCCAAGATTACGTTGGCATTATTTCGCGGATTTGATTTGGCAGAAATAATGCGTCTGAGCGGTGCTTGCAGGGGTCCATTTATGCCAGCCTCCTTGAGAGACCAAAGCCATATACCAAGGACTGCTTCTAGTTCATATTCGTCAGCTCGCCATTTGCCCTCAGCGTTGCCATCTAAGTCAATCTTCCGTCTGAGTGAGAGATAGATGTTTCCGTCATTCTCTCTTGTCCCAATAACACTACTCCATGGTGAGCTTTCGATTTTGAAATCTATATCCGGTCTTGCGTTGTCAGGTGAGCATTGGACGGCCCAGAGGAGAGTAAAAGCTTCATTCCATCCATGCTCAAAGACAACATCAGTAGTAAAGAGAATTTTGGCGGTGTCTTCGATAGCCCTTGCTAAGGATCGTGTGATACTTCGAACAGCAACTAGCCTATCTTCCCAACAACTGGTTAGACGCGCAAGACGTGCTCTATGCAGGAGTGCTCTCGAAATATCATGAGGCAGCCTATCTTCTGCGGAGTTCATGTGAAAACTGGCCCTCCATTTTTCGGGAGCAGGCTGAACATCGCCCCGAAAATTCTCTGGGGAAAGCTGGGTGTCATTGTCCATAACGGACAGGACATCTGACCACATCGGAGGGTCAAGTGGAATATCCGCACGCTTAGTACAAGACCAGTTTTGGGGTAATTTGTTTGCATGAGATTTGTGATTGTCACAGTGAGCCAGTCGAAAACCAGAGAGTAAGTGCTGATTCCCGTCTTGCACTGACATGATCTCAAACGTAGCATTTTTGCCGATCATTGGCGTTTTTTCCAGTTGGTAAACAGAGGATGAGGTTTGCGGTACCCAGTTCTCGTCAAAGAGCTTGCGGCTTTCTTTGGAGAGCTTCCCTTGGCGGTGATATCTCGCCATAGACATTGCCCATCCAAACCGGCCATAGCGGCTTAGATTTCCAATGTTTAGGGAGAGCCAGTCCATTTCATGTCCCTCATAAAATTCTGGACGATCTGCCAAGAAAACTTCACTCTCTTTTAAGCGCTTTGTCCGGAGAGACGATCGTACAGCAGTCATTACCAGAGTGGCACACAACTGAGCCACTGCTACAGATGAATGGCATGCTCTCAAGCCTAAAAACTATAATACAAATCCAGCTGACGTGGTGCTAATAGCAGCCCATACCAGGGCCGTCTGGGGCTCCTTTCTCTTCTCTTTCCAAGACGTTATGTACTTGGAAAGTTTACCTTTGCGATGAGTATATGCGAACGAGTCGAAGGCCTGATCGCCTACAAATTGAGTACCAGGCTGAACCCAATATATTCGAGATGCACTAGGAAACTCCCTTTCAAACACCCGCTCCTTAGTGACTTTTTCAACTAAGCAGGCACAAAGCGCTATTCCAGTACATAACAGGATAGTTCCGAGGAAGGTCATTGGGACAGCGTAGACGTCTTGCAAGTCGTCCCTCAAGAATTTGTAGTAGTATCTCGCAATGGCGGCCCATACAAGAACACCGGACTGCAGAATAATTCCAAATACAGATGCTGCAATGTACCAATGTCGTTTTCGTTGCTTTAATCCAACATTTAGAGATAGATTCGGATTTGGAGCGAATTTCGAAGGAGATGTGCTAGAATCCGACGACCCAGCGTCTCCGCTGTTGAATAGAGAAGAAAGACGCTCCTCGTCCTCGAAAGACTTTTTCAACTCTCGCCACTCATTTCGGGACGTCTTGAGATACTCTTCGAATGAATAGATTCCGGCGCTTGGCGGTGTCTCTGTGCTTTTGTGATAAAAGTCACTCTCCGTAGCTTCTTCGTCGTGGACTATTTCTAGGAGCTTGGGGCGGCCAAAAACACGAGTGAAGCCTCCATTGTTGTACAATTCGCAGACATCACGGCTGGTGGATGAGCATAGTTCGGCTTCGGCCGTGCCAACTCCTTCCTGTGCACGTCCAATGAAAGCTCTGAGGGACGGGGTGCCATAGACACGGATTGCGGATACAATCGTGGTAATGATACCAAGCGGCGCCGTCGCGAATATGACAATGTCCGTTGGATATAAACACTCGCTGAGGTATTGCTTGGTAGGGGCTTCTCCAAAGAGAGCAACAAGGGGAGCAAGGTCTGTAGCAAGGTTGTCGGCGAAATCAGTCCACCAGTCACTCATGGTTCGTCAGCAAACCGGTCGTTTGAGAACAATAACATTCCAATGGGAGGTTGTATGGAGGAATAGCGCAAAACACAGCAGGAGAAAAAGGGAGTTCTTCTCTGATTATGTACCATTGGTGTGTTTTTTACCCGCCAAGCAGGCACCTCGTGGTACTGTCTGGAAGGGTGGTCAGACGCCTGGAAATCAATTCTGTGGGATCCTGGATGGGACGCTTCTCCTGTTGAGGGGTTATGATCTGCAGTGCTATCTTCAACAATTTCTCTGTCGTCCATGCAAATGGATCAACTCTTCACACCATTAGACCCTGGATACCATAGGAGGCCTGCATGGGCGGCTTGCATTAGATAAGAAGGGAATGCAACTTTGTCAATGTTAGAGAAGGCTATAAGTTGAATCTTTTTCATCATCTTCGGATCAGATACTTTGTTGATAGCCAATCAGAAGGATCAGAGAAAGCAGCTGTTGGCTCTGGATGATATCTCTGTCGATTTCCAACTTTCAAGTTAATGCTAGGCCTTTCAACGCAGTCTGGAGAGCTCGCATAATCCGCCGGAGCATGCGGCGTATATTTTCAGCTCCAATCCATACTAGCTGGATAGATATGGCGTCAAATTATTCATAGTCATGGCTCAACTCTCACAGAGATTGTCTGCGATCACAAGCGATCGTAGAAAGATACATCGTCGCCATATATCTCAAATTCAGTATGCTGGGTGCAGAGCCTCAAGTATACAGCCAATTGGCTTCAACGCCCGTCCATCAGGAGGGCATAGGGAGCATGGATGTGGGAGTGTGACTGCGATGAGTACTAGTATTTTGAGAGTCACACGAACAGGTTCGTTCTGCAGGAGCCTTCTATACATTAGATATGTAGGTCCTGGAATTTAGTCCTCATGTGCGTCATTGTTCTATAAATAGACAGGTTAGTTGCTAATGAACCTCATTGTTTGTGATTGATGTAAAGCCATACCTCTACAGTGTGATGTTGGCATGGAGTCAAGTGTCGTCGGCGAATGTCAGATGTTGCTTGGATCATTAGCCGGGCCTTGCAAGGATGAAGGTACTTGAACAGTGCATGAAAGGGCTCGTGCTCAATGCAGCAAGGCTGGCCCCCCTGGGGATATCGATTTGCCGGAATATAGGGAAATAAAAGGCGTGGAAGTGACCAATTTGGGCGCAATAATTCAGCTCTGTGCCTCATTTCGGGAGGAGAAAACAACCTCTGTGGTCCCGATTAAGACCCGCTTGTATCTTGATCTGGCATTATCTATCAGATTAAACCATTTCAGAGCACCAAGACTAGGTGCTTTACCCAAAAACTTCCTAGAGAGCCTGACTGTAAATGTTATGATATTCTTCACCTAATGTCAAAGTTCATTCCTTCTTGGAATTCTGGTAACATTAGGATAAATTGTTCATGCAACATTGGATGCATAGCGCCGAGCACTTCCAAAACCAATACCTGGGAACATTTTCGAAAGCTGGTTTTCTTTTTTCTTTCCCCTTCCATATGCTGTTGCTTATGCATCAGGCTAACACAATTATCTGAAAATTGGGAATTTCGTCATCGGGGTCCAGGAGCGGGGTTCGGAAGGCACCAACCAACCCATTCTCAATTTCATTCCCCAATACGCAATGCAGGCTTGCGTCGAGATGATGGAGGTTCTGTACGCGGAAATGCTCAATTGCCCTGAGCATTTTGTCTCTTGATTTGTTAGGGATGCATGCACTGCCCGCATCCAATCTGTCAATTACAGACGCACAGGCAAAGACTCCACGAGCCTTCCAAGGCAGATGCAACCCCACGATCAGGGGTAGAATCCAGCCGGCCAGTGGCTTGTTTGTTGCGGCGTAGATGCACTTGAGCCGTCTTGGCCGACCAACATACGGCTGTTCAAGCTTCGGATTGGCTGGCGGGTAGTTATTTTTAGGACCGGATGCTTTTCTTCAACAGTACAGATCTGTACACAAGGAGGAGAGCACGGGTACCAGGCTGATGCAAGCGATGTTGCAACAAGGAGGGGTGGAACGAGAACTCAGAGGATCGAAAAAAGCAACCAGCCCAGGTCAGATTGAGTCGCGATTCCCACTTGCTCCGGAGGCCTGGAGATGATGTGAACGATACTCGCTGCCGATATGATGCGTAGCAGGGCAGTAGTAACCATTCAGGCAATTCTACTACAGTGAGGCAACATATCCAGTGCCTCGCAGGTTGAGATGCTGTGTGTGAAAACCAATTAGGTACAGTACAAGCCACGATCCCTCGTCCATCGTTTTGAACAAAACCCTCCTCAAAACGCCAACCTCGTCGATTGCATATCTCATTGGTATTGATGATACTTCTCGTATGTCTGGGGAGGAAACGATATACTTACTTGTTATCTCGGATATCCACATTCTCCAGTCTTGCGGCTCCGATGCCTGGCCTGTTGATGATGCATGCTACCGACACAGAGGGTCTTCGAAAGGATGCACGCGCCCTGATCCCGCACCTCGGATTCTGAACATTGCTTATCATACAACGCTGAGAGTACTACTAGTATAGTATAGTATGTGGGCCTGGCGGATCCTAAAGAATTGCTTTGTAAGTAGTCACAGTAACTTACTGCAATTTTGAATAACTGGTGGACATTCTCAGATGGATGAGAACCATTACCATTATCACATATATATACACAATCATCCCCTCCCCATTATTTCATTTTACTATTTCATTGTCGTGCTTTTGTTCACCTTCATCACACACAAACATTCATGTACATACATCTCTCTTCAGTTTGGAAACCCTGGAACGACATTAGAAAGAAAAAACCCTAAAAACCTTAAAAAAACCACTCGTCAAAAAAGGGTCGTTCAAAATTAGCCGAAACGATGGTCCCAGAAAAAAGAGATTTGTATAAATGAACATATATAGGATGTAATCTAATGCAAATCACGTAAAATAATAACAGACGTTGAGATATATAGATAAGAGATATGAAAATACAGCACGCGAAGCCAAAATAAAGCAAACATAGTCGATGGCTTAACCTTAATGAAGAAAAAGATGGAAAAAAAAAAAAAAAATAAGGAAAGACATTAAATCTGTCACATTCACATGAGAATGGAGAGGGGGCAGGAGAGAAGGGTGTATGATCAAAATATCCCTTACTTATCCTGTCCCTTATTTAGATGGAATGGTGGTCGTGTGCGTATGCGTGTACGCGCGTACATGTACATATGTGAAACTTTTCCCATCCCAACCAAGGGGAAGGGGAATGAGTGTGCACACATACAAACGCACGTTACACACACATGTATCTGGAGGCAAAACACATATACATGCGGGAAAGGGAGGGTGGGAGAGGGGGATAGCGTAGCGTCACGTAGCGTAACGGGAGAGCCCAGGAGTAGGTATCAATCACAATAAGAACCAAACTAGCATAGTTCACTTTCATCCATTTTACCAATATTCATCCAATACACCAATCAACCCTTTATGCGTGCGCATCATGATGTCTGAATGGCTCGTACGCCATATCCCTCCCGCCCACGCCGGCGCCACTTACAGGTGCACTACCCGCTGCAGCGGGCATGAACGGCGCTGTCGCGGCGCCGCCGTACGGATCCGAAACGCGCTCGTATGTATATGGAGTCTTCTCAGCGGTAATGCCGCGGTTGCGACGGCCGCCGAAGCCACTACCGCTGTTGTTGGAGTGGCTGTAAGGCGAGCGACCGGAGCAGCAGCAGACACTGAAAAGCCAGAAGATGCCAGAGGCGAGGGAGAAGGCAACCCCCAGCCAAAGAGTTGAGAACATGGTTTTTCCCAGTGAGGCGTGGACGTCGTAGGGTTTTAAGGAAGTGTTGACGGCGGCAGTTAGAGCGGCGTACATCGCAGTAGCGGTGATGGCGGCGGCAAAAAAGAAAACGGAGGAGACCTGGGTTGCTTTTGTTAGAGTTATGGGTTGAAGGCGGGAGAAAAGATGCCCGAGGGCGGGGAGGGAATAATTTTAAAGAGGCAAATAAAAATAACATACAGAAGACACGATGGTGACGGCCAGGCTACCCCATCGACTGAAGACAGCAGCGATACCAACCAGTAACTCGACACAGGTCGCTACTAACGCCACGATGAAGGCGATGAACATCCATCCAGCAACCTTCCGGTAGGCACTGAGGCCCTTATCGAGGCTGGAAGGTAAGAACTTGTGGCCATCTTTATCCTTGACCAAATCTTCTAGATCCCATTCTTTGACGGGGTCGAACCAGTATTTGGCTTTGCGGTCGGTACATCTGATGATCTTGTACTGGCCGTTCTCATACTCGCCGTAGCAGTGGTTCCAGAGGCCAATGAGGTAGAAATCGTGTAGTTTGCCGCTGCCGTCTGCTTGTTGGAGGCTGTTGGTAAAGGGGAGGAGTTCTTGGGGAAAGCCTTTTGAATTGAGGTTCAAGTCTTTTAGATCGGCCTGGTGGGTGATATATTAGATGGAACTAAATGTACTGTACATAGATTTGGTAAACTCACCTTGACGAAGTAAATGTCATTTAATGGGGCGTTGGGGCTTGTCACACCCAAACCTACAAAGATGAGACAGACGAGGGCTCCGATTGTGAGGAGGTAGGGCGTGAAGATACACGCTATTCTACCGCCTTTGCCCATGATGACGACGACACACGGTGAGAAAGCGGTCGATAGATGGTTGTTCGCGAGAGACAACTAAAAACGAATGAATGAACGATCGAAAGCGAGAGATGGTCGGATAGGATTGAGGAGATGAAAACGAAAGGGCGAGGGAGCGGGTGTTTTATTTGAACACGGCAGCGAAACGAGGTTAATGCGGCTGAGGCTAGGGAGCCAACACGAGGGATTGGCAGCTGGGAGAGCGATCGGGAGAGGAACAGTGACACCAGGAACAGCCACACAACTCACAAAGCAAGCTGGGGTAAACGAGTGCCCGCCGGAGAAGAGAGAGAGCGCAGAAATAAACAAAATAAGATAGAGAAAGCAAAAAGTGGTGATGGCTCTATCTCCTATATAAGAGCCCTTTCTTTCTACGAGAACTGGGAATTTCTGCCCATGCCCGCCCGCCAAGCCCCCCGATGCCAGCGTCAGCCTGCGCAAAACCGCGTCCCACAATAATTCCACCGCACCAACCGCATCCACCACTCGCAACCGCCAGCGCTCCCAGCATCCCCCACAGCCATGACAGTAGCTTATCTCCACGGCTGATCACAAAAGAAAAACCAGGCTTGCCCTGGCAAGGGATCTCCAGCTGGCAGGGTGGGAGGTGTGCGTGTATCGCATCAAAATCGTGGCAATAGCCAAACGATTGCTTGCCAACTCCGTAACAAGGAGTCGCCTCAAGCATCTCATTGGCGGGCTGGGATGGAATGTTTCTATTCTTTGACACAGCCTAAAAGCCGGCTAATGAGCACTACGCAACCAGGCGACGAGGGGAGCCAAGGACTAAGCCTGTTCGGTGTCGTTTCTGCGTGGCTGTGGGCTGTGCTCTGTGTCATGTCAGTTGATTCTTTGAAAGTATTCTTGTTACTGAGCCTGTTGGTTTTGCTTTGCGAATTCTTGTCGTCATATTGTATCGTATTTAATGGGATTTAACGACATCCTCCTAGTCCACCAGGGAGCAGGGGATGGAGGGAATATAATGTTCCATTACCCCCAAAAATCATCGCCAGCAGATACGGGGAAAGGAAGGTATTGCCAATGCGCTTTTCAACCTTGAAATTATGAAAACTAAATAATACCACAGCGCAAATATTACTACCCAGAGCTAGCTGGATGGGTGAGTTGACCTTCATTACTCCGTAGTGAGCCGTTCTATGTAAGCTTAGGATTTTGCTGGGTCAGATTAGGTTTGTGTGCTATTAAAAGAAATATCAAAACAGACTAGATCTTCTCAACATCGTTACTCGATGTAACTCGCATATTTTCCGAGTCAACGTAAGAAGAAAAATAAATGTGCTGTCCTGCTCGCTCTTGGATTCTTTTACTTAGCCTTATCTCTCGCCAGTGTTGACATTCTTCGCTGCTCAATCTTGTCCTGCCCGGCGTTCAACCCGAGTCGAGTAAAATTGACCCCACTCGCTGCTGTCGTTTGACATCCATATCATTACTCGCATGTATTATTCCCACTTTTTATCTCCATCTCATGACTCCCACTTTGGTGCTGCAGATGCCCAGCCATTGCCTCTGCCACAGCCTCTTTGTTCTCCGCCAACCAAAGCACCAGAAGCAGCTTCACATCAGCCAGGTCAAGCCACGGAGTTGCGCGTTGAGAAAATTGAGCTGGATGACTTTTCCCTCTTCCATGCCGTTATTTTTCCTTATTTTATTTTTATTTTTTTATGCTGATAAATGATTAGATTTTTACTTGCAAAAATTCTTTTTTTAGGGCTTCAATTTCACTCACATAATCATCATAAACTGACTACTAAGTTCACTAACGAGTTACTCGTAGTTAACTGAGTATTCTCCGAAATTTCAAATAATAACTAACCTCAAGAACACCACTCAAAAAAAGGGACAAGAAAAGAAAAAAAAAAATAAAGTAGAAGATAAGAGTCGCAAAGTTACATTACATACCATCTCAAATTCAGAGTAACTACATACATCGATTTGCACGCAGAATGATCATAAATAACATGCATGCATGCCCAGAACCTTAAAAAAAAAAAAAAAAAAAAAAAAAAAAGTCGAGACAACTTCCATCCAGCCCTGATCCAATCAATCATTGGAAATATTCCCGGTCCCATCAGCATGTCGCAATCTCGCATATCATTGATCTCCCCGGGCGCCCTTGTGCAGCATCGCTCATTGTTAAAAATAACACCGCCCCACAACAACTACTATGCAAGTGTGGGACGTCTAAGTGGTTGTATTAGCATGTCGGCAGCTGAGGCATATATATATGTGCGGTGCGCTAGTCCGTGATGTCTCTCTACGGCGTAAGACTGATTGACAAACCCAAAAGTTCTGACTTAATTAAGCCTCAAAGCCACCGCCCCGCTCGCGCGCACGCGCGCCGTTACGGGTGGGCAAATCTGCTGCTCGATTGAGCTTAGTTAGGTTTGAGTTTGAGGGATTGATGAGGTCTGTACTCCGTACAAGGGGGATTGAGGGTTATGAAACTTCAGGCATTGTTCGAACTAGGTGGATAGATGGAATGAATAGATAGAGGAGAAGAATTGAATGTACGCAATGGTATCTTTCCTTCATTCATTCATTCATTCATTCATTCATTCGTTCATTCATTTCTAATTTTCTATTATTTTTTTATACGTAAAGGTTGTCAACGGCCTCGTTTCCCGGTTCGCTCTGTGCTTTTTTTTTTTTTTTTTTTTTTTGCATGAGTACTAATCATCATCAGTATGAGTAGTTAATATCAATAAATAGTTAATAATGGTTATATGAACAAACTAATTTCTGAGAAGCAAATTTTTCAAACAAAAATGTGTATATTTGTTTTTGGTGCATTCACATTGCATTGAGGAGCAGAAACTGTTATGGGAGCCAATTGTTGATAGAATACGCTCATAACCAAGCTTAACAGCTGAACAGATGGATGGACAGTGTTTCAGCGCAATATGAGCTTCTTTGTGAGAACAAAAGAAGCTCACTCACATGCAATATCTTAATTCTTTCCTTTTTTTTTTGAAGCGAGTGTTCCAGAAAAGAAGTTTCCATTTCCATGGAATAATACATTCATTTAAACCGGAGCTCCGTACTAGTTTAACTTTCCATTGAACGAGCTTCTTGAGAGATGCTATTATGCTGGGGGCTTGATTGGGGAAAGAAGCGTTCTTCTGTCACAACCGCCTGCCCTGGCCTGGGGGAAGGTAAGCAACGTTGGATTAATACGGGAGCCCGTGAGATACGGAGATTATTAATATTGATATTATTAACTAGTTAGTTAACTAACTCACTCCTGTAAGCAGGCAGGCAATATTACCTTCAATATTCTATGTATATTACAGTTTTTTTTTTTTTAATAAAAATTTTTTCGTTCTCTTGTACTTGAAATCTGCTATGATGAATTTGAATAAATTTAGCAAATTTCATTTCAGATATATTTTTATTTAGAAAAAAATATTTTAATATACTTGAAATATGATATATATACTTCTATTATAATATAGAACTCATATCTATTATGATGTTGAAGATATTCATGTTTTTCTATAAGTACTGTTTATATGATGAATCCATACAAAAGATACCAATTCCGTTACGGTGTGAATTCCTTTCCGGTGTGGCGCACTCACTAATGGTAGTGAGTCGCGTTTGGCATGGTTAATGCTTAAAAGCCCCAGGGCCAAAAGTTGCTCCCTCCAGTACTACACAGATATATATAGGTATATCTCCGTAGACCACTGAGGAGGTTCTCTGTAGATACGGATTTAATTCAGCAAAATGTCCAGAGACAAGATCAACTTGATGCTTCTTGATGTTTGCTTCTGAGAGAGATGATATGTATTATTTCCCCATTGGGACCTTTGTGATGAATTGTGGAAGTAGTCTGAATTCAAAGGTAGCGGTGGAAGTACCTAGGCTGGAACACAAGTCATCGCAGGTTCGATCTACCTACGATACTACGTGTATATAACTAGCAGCTGGCCCAATCTTCTGGGCCAGTGAGTGGTTCTGATATAATCTCACCCCTACGTTCTACTGCTTCGATATCTTATCCGTACTACCTTATATAACTATCCTCGGAAAGTCCTAAGGACCTCCTCCCCTGGAGAAGCAGCGAGATCCTCGACCCGCCGCTTACACTGAACGGCACATGCACAGCACAGCATCAAACAATGATGAAAAATTGTGCTTCCAGCTCAATGCCTTACGGAATATGATTATATGAGAGTGACATAGATCACATACGACATAATATATTCTCTCAGATGTGACAGAACTGCTGAACTTTAGTATGACTGAATTGTAATGAAGAGCTTTTCCCACTTTTCTTCAAAATTTGCTCTTTCATTTAATGATGCAGAGTCTGTTGAAATCTAGAAGGGACTTTGTAATCTGTTAGCTCATGATGATTCATAGATGATGGTAAGTATTCTCATCTCATTCCCAGCATTATCTGAAGATAAGTTAGTGATGAATATGTTCTGAGATGAAAGAAGAATAAATATCATAGATGTTGATGACTTGCATCATTCTGATTGAAATCACTATAGCCACTCAGACAAAATGTATATACAATGATAAGGAAGGAAATGAGAAGTGGAAACAAATGGCATATAAACAAGATAGTATCTATATATCAAAACAAAAAGTTTGCGATCATCATAGATTGTTGTCTTCTCAAACCATAGCTGGTATGGTAAGAAAATCTCATCCAACAGACTTGCAGCAGAAACCTGACTAGAGAGAATCTCTAACTCCCAGTTATGCATAAAAGCTTCAAGAGTCATATATCAATAGGAAGATATGTGTGCTCATGACCCACAATGTTTCCACACCACACAACTTCTGATAAACGAGCACTGGTTTGATGAAGTGTCTGTTCAATACTGTCAGTTGAGCTGAATGATTCATGAATCACCTTAGACTAAGAATGGTCTATCATTGAATCTTAAATTCTCTTTTCCACAAGCCTCCTCACTCTGGCAGTGTGGATTCTGCACATTTTCTCAAACTGCCATGCTTGTTGATGTCTGCTGTCATAGAGGCATACCCGAATCTAAGGTGAAATATGAATTAGAGACAGGGTTTGTCCTTTGTACTGTCATCTTTGATATTGACGATGGAGCTATCAGCTCTCACTGGGGATCCCTCGGACATCGCAGGGTATGTCAGGTGTTTGCTACACCAAATTGCAGTGGAATTTAATTGCAGTGACTCCATGGGACCAAGTTTCATTATCGGGCTTGTAAAGAGGAGTACCTCACCAGATGCAGGTTCTCTACCTCTTAGCCATTGAAGATTAGCACCCATTCAGTCATTCAATTTAGAGATTCCTTTCCTCTATCCATTCCCATACCCAACTTCGCCAACCACGCAGAAAATCCGGGAAATTCTTGTTGTCACCAGCGGTGTATTGCTTGGCGGTATGTTCAACGTACGCGGCTTTGACCTCCGCCATTTGAGAGTCTTTGTCATGGTTGGGCCGCGATGAGCTTTTAGTCGTTATCAGTAAGCTTTTTGATTTCGAATAACCACGGTTCAGCAGCGTGGTTGAGGGTTTGACTGTGCTTCGCATTCAGCCCACGAAAGGAGTTGGTCACTTACACCAAAGGACAAATATTACTATCTTATTTTACTTGCTCGCTCGTGCAAAGCGAAGGGGCCCGGAAACGTTCTGGATGTTGCAACTTTGGATTCAATGAACGTGAATTTTAGATGGTTGTCGAATACTAGAATTGGTCAAAAGCTTGAGACTCTTTCTCAAACGACGAATATATTCGATCTGACAAGCACTAATATCAGCCAGGTGCGTTGAGAATTCTAAACAATGCCAGTAATATAACAACGTACCTGGATTTCACATCGACTATTCTTTGACCCAGGTCCTCTTGGGGAGAGTTTGTTAATCATTTCGACACTAGCTTTGCCATGAGATTTTGCTGCCTTTTGAGGGAAAGTCTGGTCATTGAAGAGATCTCATGGCGATATTAGATCTACAATCGGTATCCGCCATTTCTGGGGGTTTTGTCTGATGCAGTATAGTATGGCTATGAAGATGGTTGCGGGTTAGCAAAAATGAAGAACCAAGCATTGACCCCGCGCTCAAAATGGCGATAGAATGACATCAACTCTGGCATCAGTCATATCTGCAGAGGACGTTGATTTGCCCCGCTCTGTAAAGCACATAATGCCCATGAACCTGTACCTTGCAGCAAACATTTTGCTGGACCTGATGTCTTGCGCTTATCTGTTTTAGGAAGGTTAAGCGACCTTCGTCGACGTCACATACCGCAGCAGCCGCATTGATCCACCGCAACTTGCCTTGAGTTTGTCAAGATCCGGTAACGAGAATCATTGATATTTGTACATGTACAACGTACGTGTACCTGGCCGTTTGCTCTCGTCCGATTGCGGGTCCCCGGATAAGGCTTGGCCTGTTATCTGATATCTCAAAACCAAGTTTCAAGCTCGTTTTCTTTATTCTCTGTCGGAACCAGGCTTCCTGAATACTGTTACACATATTCCCCTCAACGACGAATTCGACAAGGACGTCAACTGCTTTCCCGGAACACAAAGGCACCGTTTCGTCTAACATATATATTTAATCCTTCCCCGCAATGCATCGGACCTATTCCATGCGCCAATCGCGCGCACCGACAGCATCCCAGCTTGAGAATCCACCCCCGCCACCCTCAACGACTAAAACGAACCGTTTGTTTGGAAGAACCAGTATTGGTGGGTAGACAACATCCCTGTATATGTCAACCATGTCTTAAATGTGTGAAAATGATACTCCGCTTGTGGAGGAATGGATTGAACATCAGTTTTCTTGCTTGATGTAAAAGTGCTAATTTCTCTCCCGTCTTGTAGGGCATGCATTTCGGAAACAAACAGCTGGGGCTTTTAGCCCTGACCTTTCCAAGAAGCTTTCTCAACTGGTGAAAATGGAGAAAAATGTGATGCGAAGTATGGAGTTAGTGGGCAGGGAGAGAATGGAGGCTGCCGTACGTCTCACAGTTCTGTCTATTATTTTGATTGACCCCATACTCATACATCGCCTAGCAACAACTGTCTGCCTGGGGAGAGTCATGCGACGATGATGTTTCGGATGTTACCGATAAATTGGGAGTTTTAATATACGAGATGGGCGAATTAGAGGATCAATTTGTAGATCGATATGACCAATACCGGGTTACAATGAAGAGCATTCGTAACATCGAAGCATCTGTACAACCAAGCAGAGACAGTATGTTATGTTTATTCTCCGTATTTATATCGTCTTTTTGATGCTGACCAGCTTCGGACCCTCAGGGAAACAAAAAATAACGGACCAGATCGCGCATCTCAAATACAAAGAGCCCAATTCTCCTCGCATTGTAGTATTGGAGCAGGAATTAGTTCGAGCGGAGGCAGAATCTCTCGTTGCCGAGGCACAATTATCTAATATCACGCGAGAAAAGGTAAAGGCCGCATTTACCTACCAATTTGACGCTCTTCGCGAACACTGCGAAAAGTTGGCTATCATAGCCGGATACGGAAAGCATCTACTTGAATTGGTTGACGACACCCCAGTTACACCAGGAGAGACTCGGAATGCCTATGACGGCTATGACGCCAGCAGAGCAATTATTCAAGACTGCGAAGATGCATTGACGCACTGGGTCTCATCCAATGCGGCTGTGAGCTCCAAGCTCTCCACCCGCTCTCGCACTCTTTCCCAACGACGCCGTAACAACATGTCGAAGACCCGTGGTGAGGGTGTGGACCTTGCCAGCCAAGACTCTCCCCTCAAGGGTGATCGTGATTCCTGGGTCCCTGCCCAACAACATCCTGATTATAATCGCCATGCGGACGACGTGGACGATGAATATGAGGACGAAGACGTGGGAACGAACGGCGAAATACAGGACCGTGAGGAAGAGAAACACGTTGCCCCAGCTTGATCACAACATTTCTTCCCATGAGATATGTTATGTGGTTTGATATGTCTCGTAAATTCTAAGCGCATCGGAGTTGTCAATGGAGTTAATTTTATTCACCACTGTTCGTTCTTGTTAGTTTCCTCGGAAGAAGGTTTAATAATAGGTAATATATTTGCCAGAGCATAATGTACGATATGCTCTTAATGGTTTGTTTGTCTTGCTCATATCTCTTCTGATCTATTCTCTTCTCAATTGGTAGTTTATATTAACTTTTAATACACCATCGTAGATGTTTAATGTGAATATACATGCTGTTATTTAAACTACAAGCCTCCACTGTGGCTGCTGCCTTAATCCTTCAGGGTCATGTGACAACTCAGTCACCCTGATCGTCAGTCAGCTCACAAAGAACATCATCACAACATCAGCATGAAGGAGTGAACAAAACTTATATATCTCTCGCGCTGGCAGTCAAACTTGAAGTTCCAACAATGGATCTACCAGGCCAATATCTCCTGCATATCATAGGTCGCAAACCGGTGTGGTCATCTTGCTCCAAGGTCTTCTCCGAACACGCATTGAAGCAGATACTGATGCACGATGATTCAGGTGCCATTGTTGATTTCAAGTGCTGATAGTTGTGGTCTAAGATCTCCAACTTTCTAAGAACCCTTTGTCCAAGCCTGATCGAAGATCTCCCAGGTTACTTCGTGAATGGTGCCTGGCAACTGGGGCTGAACGCCTCATGTGGCGGTATTGCGGATGGCCTGAAATCAAGCTCAATAACTTTATTCAAAAGTTTAGTCTCCTCCCAGGGGAACAAGACGATCTTGCCGCCACACACTGCCGAAATAGCCTGCTGAAATCCGTGGCCCATCAAGTTCCTCCAAACCCCCTAGAGTTGGAATTTCCTTTGCAACGACTAATAAAGTAGTGATACTCTGGTTAGCGCACTGCACACCTCGATCGGTCTACTTAACTGGTAATTACGGGCCACTTTTATTCGCCTTCTCCCATCTTTTCCCATGCGTCAAACAATGCTTGACATCGCCAACTTTCCATACCCATACTGTTGCCCATACCGTTTGTGTGCCTCTTCCAATCGCTGGAAAGGAACCCACATCATTGATCCTATTCGTTGGATATGATGCATTGACTCTGATGCTTGTTTCCGTTGAACCGGATCGTCCCATGCTCGCTCGATGTGATCTACTTGTGAGTTGAGGGTAAATCGCTTCGTTGGGGAAAGAATCGTATCACCGAGAGGGGACCATGGGAGTGACCCTGGTTGGCTTTCGTCCACATTACTGGACATGTGAGAAATTTTCTGATACATCTTGATAGTTGGGCTGGTGGGGTGGCAATGTCAGATCTTTATGCATATATGAGGAAGTCAAAACAGAACGGTTAGATCATGCTGGGGTGGAACAATATTCTTAAGGAACTCCGTTTACATCGGCCCACTCGCCAATTTAAATCTTGGGATTAAATCGGTTGTCATCGGTTATCGACAGTGGGTTGGCAGCGGCTAGTGACAACTCAGTGCACAGATGTGGTCTTTGCATCCGCCAGATCTCCCAGCCCAAACTTGAGAAAAAGCGATCTGTGCAGGAACGGGTAAACTTCGTGGCCGACATTATTTGAATGCAGTTCTTTCAGACTTCTTTTGGCCATGAGGGTCCGTGAAGACCGTTTGACTATCTACTCCGGAAATTCTGTGATAAATACCGTGTTTCGCGACCTTTGGTCTGTGTATCTATTCGCTTTCGAATTGGAGTTTTAATTGCAATTTAGTTCTGCTTCTGTGGTTTGATAATCGATAAAATGGCTGAACAACCGTCTAATAGTCAGGACGGAAACGCGCTGGGTATCTCCCCTTACTGCGCGCATTCCCCTTCATTGAAAAGTCTTATCGTGTTCATTGTTTCGGTTGCTGCTACATTCTCAGGGTTTGCCACAAATATCTACTTTCCTGTCATTTCAACCATCGCAGTTGATCTACTAGTATCAATAGATTTGATCAACTATTCCGTTACAGCTTATCTCGTTTTCCAGGCGATCATTCCTTTCATTTGGGGTACCTTGTCAGATTATAAGGGACGCCGAATAGCATATCTATCAAGCTTCTTTATTTTTACGAGTGCGTGCGTTGGCCTCGCAAGGACCAGCAACTACCCCCAGCTTATGGTCTTACGATGCCTTCAAAGCATAGGAAGTGCAAGCACCATAGTTGTCGGCACCGGCGTTCTTGGAGATATAACGACGAGAGAAGAACGGGGAGGCTATATGGGCTTCTTCCAGGCAGGGCAAATGTTACCACTGGCACTTGGACCAATCCTCGGGGGAGTATTCGCTGATACGCTTGGCTGGAGATCCACATTTTGGTTTCTCGCTATCTACTCTGGGCCATTCATTTTTTGTCTTGGTCTCCTTCTCCCAGAGACTTTACGATCATTGGTTGGAAACGGCTCTATCCAGGCCAGGGGTATCTCAAAATGCTCCCTGATGTATTTTCAGCCTCAACGAGTAGTGCAAGACTCGCGGCAAGACCCTGTACAGACGCATCCAATGGTAATACCCAATACCGAGCAAAGCTTCAGCTTCTTTAATCCCATACGTATCCTTCTTGGCCTTGAAATCACCTTCGCCATCATCTTCGTCTCCATCTGTTACGCACTGTGGCAAATGACCCTCACCGCGCAGTCCACCCTTCTCAAACAAACTTACAATCTCAACAATACCCAGCTGGGACTAACTTATGTTGCAAACGGCGTAGGTTGCATGATAAGCACCGCATCAACAGGGCGACTCTTGGACATCGATTACAAACGCATCAAAGGCAATTACACTGGACCGGCAGCCAGCTTCCCACTGGAGCGAGCTAGGCTTCGCACTGCTTGGCTTTGGGCTGGTCTGCAAATCGCCTTCATACTTATCTTTGGCTGGACGCTGGACAAGAACGCCCATATCTCCATCCCTATCATCAGTACCCTTGTCGTAGGATGGACCACAACGTCGATCCAATGCCTGGTGTTTACGTTTTTGGTGGATGTTTATCCTGAACAGGCCGCTACGGCCGCAGCATCCCTGAACCTGGTTAGGTGTCTACTTGGGGGTGGAGGAGTGGCGGCTGGTATTCGGGTGGTGGGGATTGGGTGGACGTTTACACTTTTGATCGGGATTCTGCTTTTGGGCTTGGGCTGTTTAGGCATGCAATTCGTATATGGATCGAGGTGGAGGCGGAAGATAATAGGGCGGGCTACAAATAATCACGTTGATGAGTTGTAACGAGGAAATTGATAGCTACTAATCATGATGAATTGGCCACTGTTCGAGCATTGAGTATTGACTATATATCTGGCGAATTTTTCATGTTATCCCTTGATTATCATTCGTCAAATTGTATCTCAACAATGGCTGGCAGTGGCGAAAGACGCGTAGGGAGTGGTTCTTGGCCGCATGCATAGAACATTTGTCCATTAAACATACCAGGGGAAAATGCAGCGAAAAACAAACATTTTAAATCTCGATCTAAGTTGATCAAGCAATTATTATGTCCTTAAAAAAATCAAGTCTGTTGCTTGAAATTCATCAGTTGAATATTGAAAACCCCAGCCCAAGTAACCGGCAAGAAAGTAGCATCATCACAAGCCGCGGGAGTAAAGGGAACGAAACCACACAATCCATGCACCATTAAATGCGACATTTCCCAATTCGTCATCTAAAAGCAGGAGAGAAACGGAAGGCTAAAAAAAAAAAAAAAAAAAAAAGGCAACGTCGACTCCGAGGCCGTAAATCATTTGACAGACCAGGTTCCTCGTCACAGATGAGGAATAAGGGAAGAGAGGCAAAAGTGATAAAATCGAACAGCATTCTTAAGCGAATACTCTCTTTTCGAATTTCTTCACCGCATCGCGCCATACCCCACCGCCGAACTTAACTCCAGGGGCCTGCTTTTGCTGAATAATTTTACCCAACATATCGCCAATCCGTGATTCCCCCATGCCTCCTTCATACGAACTCACAGAGCCGTAAATTATGCTGGCGGAGACATCGATATCAACGTCAACATCCATGTTAAGGGCGTCAGTTCCATTGTGGGTCAGATGAGGCTTAACTGTAAAGTCGATATCGATCCGCGTTCTGGCTTTGCCACTCATGTTTCCTGATTCTGATGGTGATGTTCGCTTCATTTCACTTCCAGTCGACTCAGGAGCGGTAGTTTTGGCAGAACGGCCGATAATTATGCAGCGGATCTCTAACAAAGTGGGTTCTGATGGGTTCGATTCAATGGCTTTCGCTTTTGTAATTCCACAATAATCAAGCGCGCGTATTTCGTCCCCAAGGCTAATGGCCCTGTCCCATGCTCGTGAGATGCTTGCAAGGAATTGTCTCGGGGTTATGTTTGATTGTAGAAGCTGTGAGGCACGCATGCGCAGTGCGTGGAGAACAAGAGACTTTTCAGGGGGGGGACTGCGGGTCTCATGTCGAGTTCCGCGGGTCACAGTGGGTAAGTAACTAAGGTTTATAGGCAGATATTTGTTTGTTTGAGAGGAGCGTCGACCAGTTGACACCGCTGCAGATCGCTTGAGGCTGAATGTGCCAGGGTAGAAATCTACTTGGAGTTCATTGCGATATCGCATTCTCAAAGAAGGACCATACTTGGAGCTCGGTTTCAAAGAGGCTGACAAAATACTCCAGCCAGTTTGGCACTCAAGAGCATGAACAGAAACTGTTGTTACGTTTTGTATCAGCTAAAATGGAAAATATATGCATAGGGAAGACGGCAATTCGTACCTTTTAGAGGCTTAACCTCCGTTACACTCCAACCCCTGCACTCTTCTCTAACTCGTTCCGCTTCACCTATCTGAGCCAGAAATTCATTTTTTAATTCCGTTCCCGCTTTAATGACGTTATTTTTGTTTAGCAGCTCTGCCTGTGATTGTTCTAACAACTTCTTTTTGGTAACAATATCTGCATCCAAAGCTGCTAGTCGTTCACGTGCTTGACGAAGTTCTTCTTGGTCACAGTTTTCTAGCTCATCGACGGCTTGTTGTAGATTCCGAGCTTCAGCTTCAAGCTTCGTGTGTTTCTCGACTAATGGGGGTACCGCACAATTTAGGATCTCCTCTTTCTTTGAAAGTACTGCATCATCATTCTGCATATACTCAACATGACGATCGAGCCCTTCCTTTAGACCCTCCAAAAGCTTCATACGCCATTCATACCACATGGATTTGCTTAAAAGGCGAGCGTGAGCTTTAACGTTGCGAAATTGATTATCCATCAACAGCCGGATATCGGGTGGCGCCGTCACATATTCTTGGAAAAGAGGCGGATTATCTGCATACGTTTCGGTTTCGATGGACCGGATAATTCGGCGGCCTTCTGAGATATATGACTTCAATTCACGACACGACTAGAAAATGTTAGTTCGGCAGGGGTGAACTAGGAAACAGCACACTTACGTGTTGGTATAATTCAAGCATCGGTACTGTACACAAGCCAGCAACCACACAATCCTCGAAACTTATACCTCTAGCAGTCTCATCGTCGGTCTTTGCTGCAGCCTTTTTATTGTCATTTGTCGGAGCCAACGTATGTCTTCTTTTGGTTGTGGTTAGCTCCATAAAGTGGATGTTAGTCATATTTAGGAATTCTTGGAGTTGTATTGGCTTAACCTGCCGCTGCTCTTCGTGCTGAGCAAAGCCCTCCTGGTTGGCTTCTGGACTAACACCAGAATCTTGGGTGGTATGGTATTCACCAACGGGCAAATCTAACTGCCTAGAAAGAAGAGCCCTCTTGGGTGTTGTACTCCCGGGATGGTCTGGAGACGACCCACGGCCATTATAGCTTGTTGCTCTGGTGGTTCGTCTAACTGTTTCATCCATTGAAGGAGGGGCAGGAAGTTTTATGCTTTTGACGGGACTTGCATCGCGGCCCTTAAGCCGCTTCGGAGTATACTCTTCATAGTCTTCATCATCCTGATCTAGTTCCACCGGGCGCTTCCCAAGTAGGCCTACCGCTGCGCCAACATGTAAACTTTTCCGTCCCTTGGCTTTATTCTTTTTAGGGGTAAGGCTCGATATTAACTCTTTCAGGTTAAGAGTCGGGTCTTTTTCATTTTGAGAACTGTTGGGTGTCTTAGTGATGGCGGTCTCCTTTTTCCTTTCTTCTCGTTCCTCATCAACTTCATCCTCGAGGTCCCGGTGGTCATCAAATCGTACTTCTCGAGAAATTTGGCTGTGTGGGATAAAATTCTGGGAGTCCTCCCCTATGGATCGTCGTCTATCCAAAATTTCTGCAACACGAGGTGACCCTAGGCCTACCCTATCGATGCCAAGGCCGCTCGATAGAGGCCTATGAGGAGCCAAGACGAAGGATGGAGTAGACCGGCCAGTTACGATGTCCTGATGGAAAAGCACTCTTGAACTAGGCGGTGTTTTCTTCGTGGACGCCTGCTGAAGTTCAGGCACGAACAGTTTTTTAGGAGAAACGTTTCGGAAAGAGAGTTTGTTCGAGGGTGGTGTTCTTCCAGGAGTCGGAGCCCTACTCTCTCGTGGAGTCATATGTTTTTTGGGTGGGGTCCCTACATTTTTGATTGGCGATGAGTGCCTGGAGCTCCGTCTCGGAGTAGTGGATTCTCTTGGAACCCCACTCCTTCGTTCCTGCCTGCGTTTGACACTAGCTACAGTCGGGCTGCCAGACTCAGACACCATCGGTGTGTTCTGTTCGATGGTACCAGCTATTTTTGGTGGCGATGGAATGATATTCTCTTGAAATGGCGAGCTAGCAATCTGGCTTTCTAATTCCATCAATACCTCTCCCTGAGTCTTGTTAAAATTGAACTGAGGTGGTAAGATGCTCCCTAAAGCATTCGTCATCTCCATCCCCATGGTGTCGTCGTTCTCTAGGGGCTCTGTTTGTTCCTCGATGGGTGGCAGAATGCCTCCTACCGCGCTTGTCATCTCCATCTCTTCACCACCGGATTCCTGGTCAAGCTCCTCAATTTTATATTCTGTGGGCTCGTTGGAGGGGTGCGTGTATTCTTCGGAGGCTGTCCGATGGGCATAGGCCTGCTGGATGCTACCAAGAGCCGAGGTGAATTCCATCGTCATCTCTTCATCACTGGCAATATCGCTATCTCCGAAGAAATCCTTTTGTGGAGAATGACTATGAGCGATGCCACCCACCATGTTCGTAAACTCCATCGTTTGGTCCTCGAAATTTGACAACTCGCCTATTGATATCGGGGGTTGCGTACTTAGATTCTCTTCATTTGGAGAAGCAGACTCACGGCGAGGCGTTTTACCTTGTGAGGCTTCCTGTCGCCGTGAAATGATTCCTCCAACAGCTTTGGTTATATCCATGCTCATATCTGCTTCACTTTCATCGTAATATCCACCGTCAGATTGCCTACTTGGAGGCTGATACTGGGATAATGGCTGAGCAAAAGGGTTAACATTTTCTTGGTCCTGTCGAGCACTCAAGTCTTCCAGGTCAAAGTCAAGTTTATTAGCCCCTTTTTTAACCCAGGGTTGGAAGGCACCGGCAATTTCATGATTCGTGAATTCCATGGACAAGTCACCATTCTCATCGTAGTCAATACCTTTGGTGCCAGCTAACTGGGCAGCCTGTCGCAAAGACCGTTCCAGTTTCGTGCTAGAGTTGGTGCTTGAAGCATCAGAATGTGTAGAGATAGATCGTTCAGTAATATTTTCCATGGTCATAACTGTGGCGCCATCATCATCATCCTCATCATCGGTGTCGGAGTTGGAATCTATATTCTCGTCCACAACGGGCTCACTAGCCTCTTCGCTTCCACCAGCTGAGCTTCCGCTATATGGACTCGAAGAAAATGCCTCGTCAGGGTCGGGGCCGTACGGACTCCGCTGTTTGTCACGCCCATTATAAATCGGATCGTCATGTGGGTAGTTTGTTGATGGTTCGTTGTGATTCAGTTCGTGATTCTGGGTGGGTGGCACCTGCTCGGTCAAAGCAGAGGCGCGTCTGGTAGAATTCGAGGCGGAAGAAGAGGTGGAATCTTCAGCCAATTCAACTACGTTCCAAGTATGTAGAGTAGCTTCTGGCGCAAATGATACTCGACGATTTGCTTTAATGGTGTTAGTCCAGATACTACTGCTTGGAGGAGAATACCACACCTACCCATCGATTTCCGCCTTGCCGCCCTGTGGTCCAAAATGGCCTGTCTCTCACGCTCTCGCTCCGCCTCTTCTGTTTCCCTAACTGCAGCCACTTGTTCCTCAGCTGTGCGAGCCGCAACTTTGCTATTGTAGAGAACAGCCGAAGGATTAAAAGTATCAAATGGGTTGGCCAAATGATCTGCCTCAGCAACAGAGGCTGAGGGGGGTTCAGAAACGTCAATAAGGGGCTCATTCTTTTCATTCGGGTTATTTGATTGACGACGTTTAGAGCTACGTTGGGAATCAAGAGTCGGAGTTCTTTTGCGCGTTTCGTCAAAAGTTGGAATATTTCGTATTGGGGAGACGGGTATCGTTGGTTTCAGAATGGATTTTAAGGGGTATTGAGTGGTTGACTGGCAAAGGAATTAGCATTCCAAAACGATTGTGAACTAGAAATATCCGAAATCAATGAATACCTTTCGTCTGTTGCCATTTGCATGCTGAAGCGCATCCAACCCCCCGGGCCCGAGACTTTTGCTCCGCATCTTTTTATCCGGTCTCGTGGCTCTCAGAGACAAATTGCTCTGCTCGTTGACAGCTCTGAGATTCGTTGTCATATTCTCCTTATCGATGTCAGATCCACTCCCAGAACGAGGCATTTGGGCAAAAGACCGTCGAGATCTCACACGGGCAACCTCCGCAGAGTCATGTTTTGGTGGTGCCATATTTTGCGGTCAGTAGGAATACATGTAAAAATACACGGCGCAGCAGAAGCGGAATTGACAGTCTAGCAGGCTGATAAATATGGATTGACGTCCACCATTTCCCACACATCCAGCCCGAAGAATTGTCGTCTTGTGAATTACACCTCACCGAGGAGCCGCCGAAGTCCAAGTCGCGCCCGCGACATGGAAAGCTACCTAGTCGGGACTAGTGCAGTAAACAAACCGAGAAGCCCTAGCCGAGTTACACTAATACATATTCGAACTAGCGCGGCTCTGGCCCTCCCACACTCAGTTCGGCGTCTTCAAACTCCGCACAAAACTGGTCAATCTCGACGACGACATCGCCAACGACCACTCGGAACACCTCGCGTCAGGAAATACACCAACCCTCTTCCAGAACCCCGTCCCGCGAGTCTAGTGTCGGATTTCTTGATTTTTTCGCAATCATGGCGACCGAGTTGACCGTCCAGTCGGAACGTGCTTTCCAAAAGCAGCCGCATATCTTCCTCAACTCCAAACAAAAGTCCAAGAGCAAGAAGGTCGGGAAGGGAGGCCGAAGATGGTATAAGGACGTTGGTCTGGGTTTCCGTACCCCAAAGACTGCCATTGAGGGAAGCTATATCGGTACGGAACCTGTTTCCGCTGCGTTTCTTTTTGATATATGGCCCGCACCAGCTGGGCTAGCACAAACCTTGAGATGTTTGAAATTTCTGTTGGATTCATGAAATTGAGGCAGCGTGGGGGAAAAGAATGGACGGTTTCACTGAATCTTGATTGGAGATTTTTGGTCATTTTTACTTGATTCCAAACCCGTCAAGATACTTTGTTTCTAGCCATTTCTGTCCCAATTCGAACGCTATGTTTTTTTTTTTTTTTTTTGAAACGATAACAATCGATCCTATCTCTAACTCAGTACAATCAACCGCAGATAAGAAGTGCCCTTTCACCGGCCAGGTTTCAATTAGAGGCCGCATTCTCACTGGTACCGTCGTCTCAACCAAGATGCACCGAACTATCATCATCCGTCGCGAATACCTCCACTACATCCCCAAGTATTCCCGATATGAAAAGAGACACAAGAACATTGCCGCCCACGTCTCCCCAGCCTTCCGTGTTGAGGAAGGTGACCAAGTTACTGTTGGACAGTGCAGACCTCTGAGCAAAACTGTATGTGTTGGACTTAAACATGTTACCTTATGCTACTCCCGGGATATTTTTGGCGGGATTGCAATTTTCTTTTTTTCTGCGCACAATTTTGGATCTTGTATTGTCCTCGGACGTGGAAACGTTTATGCTAACCAATGTCTTTCTAGGTCCGATTCAATGTCCTCCGCGTCCTTCCCCGTACTGGTAAGGCCGTAAAGCAATTCGGAAAGTTCTAAATGTTCGCTGTTTTGGCGCTGTTATGGGCGGGGTGAAGCTATGAAGGCACGGGACTGGGTTGTACGAGGAGACAAATGACAAACGAACCTGCCTTGATGTAACGGGACCTTGTGTTATCAAAAATAAACGCTAAAATGATAGAAACACAAGCACAAGGACAAAAGGAAGATGGAAAATGGAGTGCGCAAAGTCAGAGACGCAGCTCACGTCTTTTTAATCCATTTTTTGAGAGGGGTGGCTTGTGCATAATTCTCCCTAGTGCATTTCTTTTTCGTTTTGATTTCTCCCTTATGGAGCAGGGATATATTCCAATATTAAGGAGTTAGTTTTCAAATCCCAAAATGAACAGAAACAAAAAAAAAAAAAAAAAAAAAAAAAAAAAAAAAAACAAAACAAAACAAACGCTAAGTAATTAAACCAGATCGTGTCCGCTCAAACCCCTATAAACTTCCCTATCAAAAATCTCATACTAGGATCACAAATACACATTTTTATCAAGTTGCAAAATCATCAATTCCATCCCATCATCCGATTATCCGCTCCCGGTCCAACTCAAAGGTGTATATCGCGGTCTCATCGTCCATGTCAATTTCCATTAATTCCCACCGATAAGTCGTCCCCACTCGCTCCGCGAATGTGATCGCTGGAGCAACCTCGCTTTCCGATTCAATGGCGTGGCGAAGCTCATCCTGCAAACGGTCCAGTGAGTCCTCCTCCTCCTCGTCGTCGTCGTCATCATCATCGTTTTCTTCTTGATCGATTATTTGATGACCGATGTCGTGATTTTTTGCTTCCGCTATTGCCATTCCCTTCTCCACTACCACAACATCCATTTCATCTGCTTCACTATCCTCCACTATCACCACCTCTACCACTTCATTCTCGTCATCCTCAATGACCACCACCTCTTGCCTGTGGTCGTCGTAAACCTCGACATCAGTGTCCTCGTTGATTACAATAACCTCTTGCTTCTTTGTGGGTTTTTCAGGCATCATTGGTGGTGTTGCAATGGTGGGTGTGTTATCCAATTGTGCTGACCCATATCCAAGACGAACGCCCTCAAGAAAGTCATCACAGCTATCATACTTAGCTGTACGGGTGAAACGCCAGCCATAGGCAATTTTCATTGCAACTTGTTCAGTATATTCAACAGGCAGGCCGATGCCTCTGAGGAATTTACCAGCAGTCTCACCAGCAGCTTTATCGAACTTTGTAGAACTATTCCTGAGCTTTCGATGGAGTGGCTTGCGGTTGTATTTAAAAGACTTTATATCCTGAATTTGGAGAAGAGAGCCAATGTCGTGGTGCATCTCAGCAATAGCAAGAAGTTCCGACTCAGTTATGGTACAGACAATGCATGATTCAGGAATCTCTTTCCAAATAAGCCATTCTGACCATCCAGAATATCCAGGTGTAATATCAGAAGACAAGGGGTCTTTTCTCAGAATATATCCCGCGGAAAATATCCCATTTTGGTCCAGCTTTGAGGCATCAACGGTTGAGACCCCTGAATTCTGACTTTTCGTCAGCATTCTGTGTACACAAGGAAGCAGAGTTGAAAATGTTGAGATAAATGGGGAGTTGACTTCAACTCTTGACAGGTGTGTTTTCGCCATCGCTTCGATATCATGTTGATTGTAGAGTGAGTGGTGTAGAGTATTCGCCAGTCCACAAGCGAAATATTTGGGGGTATTAATCCCAATACTTTGCGAGTTAAAGAAGCGATATAAAATTTGTGGTGTCTTAGCTCCACCGTACCCTAGCCTTATGCTTGTCCTAGGGAGCCTTGCTACCAAGGAGTGTCCAGGTTCAGTAACCGGTTCAGGTTCTTCAAATGACTCGTGGGGATTGGCGTTTTCATCAGAATTTGGGTTAACCTGGCCATCATCGAAGGATCGTTGACGTAGATATATGCCCAGCTCCGTTGAGGCCAGCTCAATGATCCGACGGCATTCCTTGTATTCATCATCATCAGAAAGAGATGTCAAATTCACAGATACCCAAATGGGATGATTTTTGATCATCATATGATGGCATTGTGCGTTGACGGTGGTAACAGGGAGGCCACTTTCGAAATCCTCAATTTCAGGTTCAAATATGTGATTAAAGATTTTGGCTTCAACTTTCTTTTCAAGAGCATAAAATTGTGTAAGAACACACAACACCACTCGCTGTTGATCTGTCCACTTATGCCTTGGGACTTTAATCCTTCCAAAATCTAGGAAAGATGGGTGTTTCTCAACGCTGTCCATATCTGACTTGGAGAGGGACTGGGGACTTCTCCACGAAGACAAACAGAATAAACAGACAGCAGATATGGAGGAAGATTTTAGGGAGGATATGATGAAGATCGCAAAAGTTCAAAATCAATGCAGAAGCTCGGGTTGAGTAGAATGCGGAAAGGTATTCTTAAGAGGCTGTCGAATCCTGGCCTCGAAGAACACACTCCACAACACATCGCGACAACGACATGAGCGCGTTGTTGTGGTGTATCACGTAGTGAATGATGATGGTCTCTGGGCCTGGGGGTGACCTGGCGCTGTAGGGGTTTTCGATGAACATTGTATATTGTGGAAACACAACAGCAGTGTCAGATTTGTAGGGAGGAAGACAGTGCAAGGATGAGAGATCAAGCGCTTCAGCTGTTTGATGGCTTCTGGCTTTCAAAAGAATAGAAGGAGAATAAGGCTCGGACCACCTTAGAGGAATGATAGTGATGAAAATAGAGGAGCATCCATGCGCTTAGGTCATGAATATGAGGAAGAGCACTACTGGATCCCAGCATCATTCCATGGAAAAGATCCTCAACTTGTGGCTCTATTCAGAGCCTAGAGGTATTATCATGCTTGCTATGAAAGGTTGACCTTATCTCAGCGAGCTCAGACCCTCTATTGGCTCGGTTGCAGCAGCATGACACTAAACTACTTTAGTTATGAGTCATGTGCTCAGAGCAATCAAAGAGTGAGCAGTATTGTTACAAACCTACGGCACAACCCTGAGAGCCATTGGACAAGGAACGACTAAATGGTAGAGGGCATGCAAGCTAGACATCGGATAAGGAAAGATCCGGTTAACCAATAGGAACAATAGGTCACGTGACATAGTGGATCACCTGGATCACTCGAGTGAGCGGAGTGATCACAGCTATCCTCGCTCTGATAGCTATCTTGGCAAGAGCTATCCGAGCTATCCTCATGTATCTCAAGATGTATATAAACACACTCATTACCCTTAGGATCAAGGAGCTTATCTTCTTGATCACGATCAATTTCATCTTACTCATTCTCTTACTTATTACCTTTACTTATACTCAGTTACATAGTACGACTATTAAGTTCACCTTAAGTATACTTCTTCACAACGCATACCTTAAGCCTTCGCCCCTACCTATAAGCCCTACTAGATATTCTTATTGTTTACCTTAGGCCACCGCCGTAGCTATTGCTAGTCATTTTAGATATTCCTCTTGACATTATATCTTAACCTGCGATAGTGGCACTACCTCCTGACTTAGTGAACAAGCTCAGCAACACTATATAAGCCCCGACCTTACCTTATACCAGTGAGAAGCTTGCTAGGTTAGAGACTCGGTAGCATAAATCCTTCTAAAAAAAAATGCATTTATTGAAGTTTGAGTGAGATTTGCATTTTTAATATTTTTTGACTTGAGATTTGCACTTCTGACATCTTTCAACTTGATATTCATACTTTTGATGTTTGAAAGTATATTGGTTTTGTATTTGTCATTCATTTCCTTGTTCAAGAAAGATTTTAAATGTCTGAGTGTTTAATATATTTTCTTTCAATTTCCATGTATCATCACTAGATTCTCAACCTGTCCATCTCACAAGATATTTCAGAGATTTGTTTTTTCATTGTTGTTTTTCAAAAATTTCTTTAACTTGATATTTTTCTTCATCATTCACAAGTTTCAATTTTGATTCTGGTAAAACTTCATTTCTGTGATTGTATAGCTTCGATAAAGAAACATGGAATACAAAATGAATGTTTCTATATGAAAATGGCAGTTTCAGTTTGTACATTTATTGTCTAATAATATTCAAAATCTTGAAGGGTTCAATATATTTATGATCGAGTTTATAAACTGAGTGTAGCAATCGAAGGTTTTTTGCATTGAACATGACATAATTATTTATTTTAAATTGTTGAGGTTTATATTTTGCATCATAATAGATCTTCTGTGTTTGTTGTGCTTTTTATAGATTTTTGATGAGTTTGTAGTGTGTTTCATCAATATGTTTCACACAGCTAGCAGCATGTATGGCAACTGGTTGTGGTGGTTTGCTGATATTAATTTTCAAATTAGATCAATATCTTATTAAGACTTCTGTAGATGCTATTTCAGTAGAGGCATGTTAAGAGATATTGTAAACAAACTACATTAATGATAGTCAGTATGCTCAGTCATTTTAATAATAGTTGATAAAGCATCAGAGATAATGTTCTAAAATTTGATTTTGTCATTCTGTTTAGTCATTTATTTGAGGGTGAAAGGCTGTTGAAAGTTTTCGGTATGTACTTAGCATGTAACAAAAGGTGGACTAATAATGGCTTGTAAATAGCGAATCTCAATCAAATATATGGTTTTTGAATACTCTGTAAATTGTATAGAATTTGATATAAACAATTTCCACTAGTTCATCCACTGTAATATTTTTGATGCAAGGAATATAGATTGTAAACTTGGTATATATATTCACAATCACTAAAATTACATCATAGATTTGATGAAGGAATGTAGAGGCTGGCAAGTCTGTAATAAAATCTATAGTAATGAATTCAAAAGAATTTGATGGTAAGAGAATTGTATCCAACTCTTCATATTGTCTGTGCCATTTTGACTTTACTTTTTGACAAATATCATAAGTGAATATATAATCTTTAACATTTCTGACTAGCTCATACCAATAGTATTTGTTCTGAATGCTGTCTATGAATTTTTTAATACCAAAGTGACCCCTCTGCAGATCATCATAGTTTGCACTGATAATTTCATTAATGAATGTCTTTTATTGAAGAACATATACATGATCATCAGCATGCGATATATCATCTTCAGAAATTGTTTATAGTATATTTCCAGCAACAATCATACTCTTTTTCTTCATTTTCTCTCTTTACTCAGCAGCAAAAGAATTAATCTTTTGTGTTTTATTCAGAAATGAGATGAAAGATTCAGACATTTCTGTATATGTTGAGTCTTCAAGAATAGTTTTATTGACTGCAATGTAATGTGACGGCGCCGAGGCGGTTGCTACTCGGCAGCGGCACAGAGGAGGATGGTATATAATGGGAAGCCTTATGGGTGGGCTTGATTATCTCGCTTGAACCGCGAACTCGTAGAATACTATACAAATACTGAACTACCAGAGGTACTCGGCACACTAAGAATATTGTATGAGGACAGTGGTAACTCTGGTATCTTATTGTCAAAAGATAAAAGACGAATCGCTGGCTCCTGGAATAGAGAGCCAGCATCTAGCTATTCTATATAGACAACGGGCAGCCATCCTCCCCTCACTCTATAAGCGAGGGTAGCCGAAGCAACTCCGCAGTGGCGCTGCATTGATCTGCCAGAAGGAATCCAGACCCCGTATAGAAACAGGATTCTCATATCTCATCAATCGGATCCTCTTCTATTGCATCCGAATGATGTCATAGGGTGGTTGGAAACCGGTTCGGACACCTGCGTGATGTCATGGGATAGATGGGATTATCCGAGGGGAAACGATGGGCCGTGTGGAGCCGTCACGGGGCCTTGGCACAACCAAGGGTGTGACATGCAATCTGAGGCATATATTGCTCAACGCGCATCAGAGGGGAATAGTTTACATGAGAGATATATAAAACATCAATATATGAAATACTTTTCACTCATTAAAAGAAGCATTTTACTCATTAGAGATCTGTGCATAGATTACATCAGCAGAAATATCATTTTGAAAAGAAGTATCAGCTTTTCAATTGAATTTAACTACATATTTTAACTTCTGTTTCAAAGTAAATAATATAATTTGATTATTATAGATCTCACTGTAATCTGTGTGATGATTAAACTCATCAGCTGAATTTCTTTAATTCAGAATGAGGCAATAATTTAAAATCATAAATAGATAAAACTTTTATTCATCTGATCTGACATCTGTTCAGTTCCTTAGTCATTATAAAGTACTGCAAATTGATATGATCAGATCAGATTTGAATTGAATACTAATTTCTCTTCAGATAATGTCTTTAATTTTTAAATGCTGCTACAATAGTCAAGAGTTCTTTATCATGAATATCATAATATGTTTCTACATTAATTAATTTTCTTGATCAGAAGACAATTGAATGTCAGTGTCTGTCATTCTGCAATTGTGACAAGATAGCAATAACTGTAAAAGTGAAAGCATCAGATTCAATCTGAATACACTGAGCTGAGTCAAAATGAGCTAATAGAGAAGCACATATAAAGTGTGATTTGAGCTCATTGAAAGTGCTTTGAGCACCTTCTGTCCACATAAAAGTGGCTTTTCTTTCCCCTTTTTTGCTCCTTTTTGTAAGTTCGAATAATGGGGCTGCAATAGAGGAGAAAGATTTAATAAATAACTGATAGAAGTTAGTAAAGCTCAAAAAGAATTGAACCTCTTTAATTGATTTAGATGTAGACCATTTCACAATAGTGGAGACTCTGTCTGACTTCATCTCAACATCATTTGTATTTATAACAAATCTCAAAAATGAGACTTTGTTTATTTCAAACTCATATTTAGAGAGTTTTGCAAATAGATTCACATATTTGAGATGTTCTAGCATCTTAGTAACATGCACTTTATATTTCTGCTTTGAATTGGAGAATATGAGAATGTCATCCAAATAAACAATGCAATATATATCCAACAAACCAGACAAGGCATTGTTACTATATGCTTGAAATGTCATTGGAGCATTAACTAATTTAAATGATATAATTACATATTCAAAATATTCATATCTTGTTCTAAAAGCTGACTTCCAACGGTCTTTTACTGCTATAAGTATGCAGTGGTAGGCATCTTGAAGATTTAGCTTAGTGAATATCTTGGCTTTTGAAAATCTGTCAAATAATTCACTTATTAGAGATAGAGGGTATTGATTCTTGATGATGATTCAATTTAATCCTCAATAATTTACACAAAGACGGAGTTCATCATTTTTTTTGAGAACAAAGAAAATTGATGCATCAGCTGAGTTATTGAATGGTTGTATTCACTCTTTGTTTAATACATTCTTTAAATATTCTCTTAGAGCAGTTAACTTAGTTTCAGAGAAATTGTATATTGATATAAATAAAGATTGTAGCGTACGCCGCTACATAAGGGTCAAATTATGAGTATAAACACGTTTTATTCTCTAAAAGATGGGAGATGGGCGTACGCCTCTATATATATACAGTGATTGTTTACAGAGATCAACTCTCATAGAAGGAGCGATCGCATACAAGGGGAAGGACAGAGGCTCTATAGAGAAGGTAGGAGTGGAAGCTCTTTGTAGGGAAGGTAGAAGCGGAAGCTCCGGGAAGCAGCAAGGGGTGGAGCGGAAGCCAGAGGTGGATAAGGGGCGTAAGTACGCCACAAAGATTGTGTATTAAATTTGAGATTTATACAATGTTCTGCTTTTTCTGATCTTTACACACTTATAGCAGCTTCTTCTGAGAAGATATGTGTGTATGACATAACATAATCAGATAGACCGGTCAGCAAGTTTGAATATACAGCTGATGTATGTATGTATGTATAGGTTTAACGTCCCGGAAAAAACACGGGCAGCGCCCGTGTTTCAGAAGCCTCCCGAAGGGCATGGAGACGTGCTACGCTGGAGAGATTTCTATGTACACAGAGAGAGAAAACAGAATCCAGGTGGCAACTCTTGAGAAGACTCAGCTCATTGCAAAGGATTTTTCTGAGCTGCGCATCCACTTCTGGCCCGACGTATGGCCATTCATGGTGGGGCTATAGTGTGGTTCCCTGAGGGGACCGCCGCTGCCGTGCCTGGAAGGCTTTATAGTGAGCAGAGAGGGATACCTCTCTCAGTTGATCAGAAAGCTGTCTGTGCTTCTAACATCAGAAGAAAGACAGACAAGATAAATAATGAAGGAGAGAGCACTGAAGAAGGTTGTGACAGGAAAAGAGCAGAGAATGACAGAGAGAGCAAAGAAAAGAAGGAAGAAGAAGCATTTGAGCCGATAGAGACAAGGGCAAACGAGAGGAAAACAAAGCAGAGCACGCGTAGATACAATGCCGGCAGTCAAAACCATATCAGCTGAGTCAGACACGTAGACTGTACTGATTACACCACAGCTAATTGAGACAGATGAGCCTAGTTGTGCTATCTGTACTGTCTGCATAGACTGTGATGTCCCTGGCAGTTGCACTAGCTACCGTGGGTGTACTCAGCAGGCCGGCCTCGTGGAACTGCTGCGGGGGTTGTCAGATGGTTTGCAGCCAGCCGGCTGCGTTACCTTGTGCAGTACCGTGTGTAGAACTGCGTGCAGTCCAGCAGTTCTACAAAGTCTGTAGGGGTCAGAGACCCTAGATAGGCAACAGCTGTCGCCCGGTTGTGTGGCCGTGCTGCTGGCCTCTTGGGCCAGTGAAGAAAGTGCCTCTGTGAGTGTCGACAGAGCACCAAATGTTCTGGGCTCTTGTTGTGTCCACAGACACAGGTGAGCCTCGCATCTGCATGCTGGAAACGCCTGTGGTACCAGGAGAAGTCCCCATGAGAGGAGCGGAGTGCGAGCCAGCGGTGAAGGGCATGCCGTGGCATGGTGAGCTCCGGGGGGGCCTTCACTTGGTATTCCACAGTCGGCCTGCTGAAACTCCAGCCCCGGTACCAGTCAGAGGAATATATATGAAGCATGTTTTGAGTCTTTTAAACATTCTATAGATAATATTACAAGCATTTCTACTCTGATTTCAGTGAGAACTTCAGCTGTAACATCTTATTCAGAAATAATTTGAAATTGTTGTTCATCTTCAAAGCTTCTGAAGAAGAATTGTCCATCTGATCAGTCTATAAGAGGATTTGTTTGTTTTAATCAAGGAAATTTTAACACATGATTGTAGTTCTTCATCTTCATTATATGAAAGAAATGAGATGTCTGCTGTGCATTACTCTTGTGATCAGTGACAGTAGTTGCAATGTTATACTCTTCAAAGAAGTTTATTATACATTCATCAATTGATTTGATCATCTTGATTTTGCAATGAATAGCTTCTAGATTGTGATTCCTTGTTCAAAATTTATCAATATAGTTCACTTCTGACTCAGAGTCTACTAGTGCAAGCACTTTTTGCAGACTCTTAGATGTAGTGATTATTATTATTATTATTCTTCCATTATAGATGTATGCAGTCAGTGACTATGATATCTATCTGAAATACTCCAGGATTTTTCAACTTAAGAATAAGCTAATATACAAAGTCAATTTAATACATGCAATAGCAGAATTCCAGCCTAGAATCAAACAACTATTCAAACTATTCAATTTAAGAATGAATGTTAAAAGAATGACAACAGATCAATATATTCAATTTAAAACAAACGAAATAAAAAGTATAAAAAACAACAGCTATTAAAAGAAAAGAAAGCATTCACAAATCAAACTTTTCAAAACAAGTCAAAATCAAAGGTAATCAAAATGAAATAAATTTCAAAGCAAAAGTAACAAAATAAAAATAAAAACAAGAATAAAAATTGAAGCAAATATATGGAAATAAAAGAAAAAAAGAAAAATAAAAATCGAATTTATTATCAGATCAAACTATTCAATTGAAATCTTGTAGCAATATTTGATTCTTTCAAATATTCAATCAACAATTCATTTCCAGTTTTTGTATTGAACAAAAGTTTTAAATTTAACTGTTTCAATTCAAACTTCTCTCTCAATCTCAATCTTAACTCTGTATGCTTTGTACAAAGTAAAAAAAAATGCTCTGGGTTTTCATATAATTGATAATCTGAATATAAATCACTTAAATCATTTCTGATCTTTGTTAAATATGATTTAAAATAACCATGTCCAAGCTTTAGCTGCATTATTATAGCAAAAAGTTTCTTTTTACATTTTATTGAGCAAGCTTTCCATTTTGGCTTAGTTTCAAACCTGGAATAATGTACACTCTTTTTTTGTAAAAACCAGATATTTTGTCATTTTTGCAAACATGATTGTCTTATTTTTCTCTTAATATAAGCCCATGTTACAATTCTTTGTAGTTGCTTTTTTTGCAGCTTTATCAGCCATTTCATTGCCATATATACCCATGTGAGCAGGCACCCAGTGAAGATGAATAGAACAATTGAATGAGATTTTTCTTTGAATATTTTGAAGACTTTTCAAAATCAGCTCTAGCATTGACTGTCCACTGCTGATTTTATTACTTTGAAGTCTTTTAAGCCTAGCTTGACTATCAGAGAATATTCAAATAAACTCAAATCTTTTCCATTGTTCAATCTTCATCTCAACCAATTTGAAAGCTCTTGAAATTGCAAATAATTCAGCTTTGAAAGCTCTTGAAATTGCAAATAATTCAGCATTAAAAACTTCTGACTCTTTTACAATTTGCTAAGAATCAAGAATATAGTTTTTATCATTTTCTAAATATGCTATTCCAGCTCCAAGATTGCCTGTTTTCTCATATTTTGAGTCATCAGTGTATATAAGAATTACTTTGTTTCTCATTTGTTCTAGAAGATTTAGATGTTGTTCAGTCTGAACTTCTTTTGAAAGTTAACTAATATTTAAATCAATAAGACTGACAAGATCTTTCTTCCAAGGAGAGAGATTTTCAAAGACCACTTTCTCCACATTTAAAATAGAGAATTCGTTTTTAATCATGCAGCAAATTCTAAGTAACTGAGATAGTATCTTCTTTCTTTACACAGATGTTGAATTATCAGATGAATTTATTTCATTCCAATCAAAATATGACTCCTAATTCAGATCTACTCCAGTTGGTTCACTTGGCAAAAAAGTTGAGACTCTTTTTCTAATTGAATGATTAAGATATAACTTCATAATTCTGAGAGCATAATTCATACAGATTTTATCAAATCGCACTTGTGGTGGTGATAAAGAGGCTTCAATCTCCATGGCTTTAATTGAAGAGGTTTTAAATACCCCCAATATTTTTCTTGAAGCTGAATTTTGAAGCTTTTGAAACCTCTCTACAAAACTCTTTTGATTTTTCCACCATGTTTGAACTGCAAAGTCTGAAACAGAGGTTATACAAGGTTATACAAACAATATATAATTGTCTCATTGCTTGAAAAGACAAGCCTTTCTCAGTATTTGAAAGTTTTAAAATACTGTTTAAGATTCTTTCAGCACTTGCAACTTTGATCTGAACATGAGATTTAAAATTTAACTGAGAATCTAATCAGACACCAAGCCATCTAACTGAATTTTTTGATTTAACTAAATGATTTAAAAGCTTAACTTCAGTATCTCTTTCTCTGAAATTTGGATAAAAGTGAATTAATTCAGTTTTATCCATATTAAAAACAATGTTTTTTAATTTTGCTTTTTCAATCATTTCAGTTGCTGCTTGCTCAATCAAATTGCCATTATTTACAATTGATTCTGAGCTTACATCTAGACCCAAATCATCTACATAGCTTGGAGTTCTCACCATAATTGCCATTTGTCTATCAATAAACAGAAACTTGATAAATATAGCAAATAAAATAGGTGAGACTGAGGAACCGTATCTCTTTCTCTGAAATTTGGATAAAAGTGAATTAATTCAGTTTTATCCATATTATTATTATTATTATTTATTTATTATACTCCGCTTTCATCCAATGGATATGCGGTTCTGCTACCATATGTCTAGCTAGGAAAACCCCACTGCGCCTTGGCGCAGGGGGTGAAAAACCTTGCGCACAGTGGTGTTAACTATCCTGTTCATCTGCAGGGTACCGGGCAAGTCAGCTAGAGCTGTTCCTTGCAATGGGAGCGGGAACAAAGGAAAAGGAATTAGAGAAAGTATAGTAACAAAAGAAAGGAAGAAGGGAGGGACAGATAGTAGGCGCTGTTAGGATAGAAGGGAGTGACAGGAGGGGGTAGAGGGGATTGACAGAAGGGGTAGATAGAGGAGATTATACGGCAGGGTGAGGAGATGATGAGGGGATGAAAATGAGGTGGTGCAAATGAGGTGGAGAGAGGCGAGGGGATGGGGAGGAGAGGGAGGAGAGGGAGGGGCTAAGTAGTCAGGGGAGTGAGTGCATGTGGGATTCAGGGGATTCTGGGGGTCCAAGGCAGCTCAGGGCCTTATGGTACATAGTGTGTCAGCTCGCGTGCTAATGTGAACTGGCCTAGAATCCCGCTCTCCATCCACCAGTTTGACAGGAGATGCAGGCCTTCCTTGGTGTCTAGCAGCATCCTCTTGTCTAGCCTGCCATTTCTTATAAGGCCCTGACGCTGCTGCTCCCAGCGTCCGCAGTGTATCAGAACATGTTCGACTGTTTCCCATTCATACCCACAGGGGCACCGTGGGGTGGGGAATTCAGGTACCTTACACCGGTTTAGGAAAGCTGCCAGTCCGGTTTTCCCTGACCTCAATTGGATGATGATAGTGCTGCGAGCCTTGCGCAGGCCGGTGTGCCACTTCAGAATTTTCTTGTCTGGGGGCCGGCCATGCCGCTCCCCCCAGGGGGGCTCACGTCTTTTCCACCTCTGCACCCACCTCCAGAGCTGCTCGCGCTTCAGCCAGTGATTATATGAGGCTTGGTCCAGGTTGGCTCGTTGTTCCGGTGTCATCTCTGCTGTGGCTCTCTCCTTAGCACCCTGAATCCATTGCTGTTCCCAGTCCACTGGCAGGGCTGCCGGGTGAACCACAGCTCCCATGTGTCTCTGTGCCCCCCTTGTCACCCCCCGGTGCCGAAGCCTGGTCCTTATGGCCGCACACGCATTCTCAATTTGTTGCGCCATTCCTGAGGCCTTCATCCTGTTGACCGCCTTTGCCACTAGCCCATCCAGGTGGATGTCTAAGGTACTGTGTGGGTTTCCGCTTCCAGTGTGCTTGTTGGGTTCTTTTGTATGCCCCTGCCACTTATTCTGAGGCAGGAGTTCTGCACTGTGGTCAGCTTGAGGGCCAGTCCTGACTTAGCTGGACCCGTGCCCCCCTGCCCCTGTGGCTGGTGCCATGCTATTGCTCCATAGGTCAGGGCCGGCCTGATGACCATGTTATACACCATTCTCGCTTGTCGTAGTGGGAGCCCCCATGTGGATTGGGTGGTTTGGGACAGTGCTCTGACTTGAGTCTTCATCTTGCCTGCCACCGCGTCCAGGTGGCCCTTCCATCTCAGCCTAGAGTCTAACCATACACCCAATACCCTCATCACCTGTTTCGGTCGTATAGTTTGTCCTGGCAGTCTCAGCTCAGCCTGTAGGTTGAATTGGTTGCGCGCCCGTGTGAAGTGCATTAGCTCATACTTCTGGGGGGCAAAGACCGCCCCGTGCCGTGCTGCCCACTCCTCGCATGCCCGATGCATGCGCAGGAGCTCCCTGCAGTTGTCCTCAGTGGACTGGCCATAGGCCATCACGTTGACATCGTCTACAAAGGCTATGCACACCACCGGGCGCCCCGGTCTTGAGCAGATGCGCACCAGTTCCTCATTGTAGAATAGGAATAGTATAGGTGATAGGGGTGACCCCTGCGGGATGCCTGCTGGGATGTCAAAGGTGTCTGATTCCTGGCCCTCAAAGGCAATTGTGGATTTCCTGTTGGTCATGAAGGACGCAACCCATCCCACCAGGTCCCTGGGGATGCCCAGTCGCCGGAGGATGTGAACCATTCGCTCCCGCAGCACCTTGTCATAGGCCCCTGTCATGTCTAGGGAGAGTACCGATGCCACCTGTCCTGGGTGCTGCCACACTGTCCTTATCTGGGCTAGAAGTTGTGCTATGGCTGTTTCAGTGGACCTGCCCCTTCTTGCCCCCATTTGCTGTGAGGGTAGCAGGTTGTGGTCCTCCGCGATCTTCCGCAGGCGTTTTGCAGTTGCTGCCTCCACAATCTTCCCTATTGTGTCCAGCAAGGCAATGGGTCTCCACGCTCCTGCAGTCTGGTAGTCAGCCTTCCCTGGCTTGCGCAAGGCCACTGTCTTGGCTTCCTTAAACGTGTCTGGGTAAGTCTCCCAATGCCAGCATGCATTGGTGAGAGCTGTTATGGCCTCCACAAATGTTCTGCCCAGCATCTTAAGGAACTCGTTGGTGATCCCACTCCTCCCTGGTGCCTTCCTGTTTGGCAGTCTCTGGATCAGGCTTTCCATGTCCTCCACACTGATGGTGTCATTTGACGCTTCCCTTTCAGCTTGCAGCAGCTCCATATTGGTGTCACTTAAGTCGGCGGGCTCTGGCTGTGGGAAGAACCGTTGTCGTAATGCCTCAGCCTTCCCCTCAAAAGAGGTTTCTACCGTCGCGTCAGCCCCTTCCCCTGTTCTCAGGGGGGGGACAGTAGGTGCCTGTGGGGGCAGATGGCTTCTTTCCTTGCCCCATTTTGCTAGTCCCCACATCAATCTGGGGTCATCACGGGTCCTGTCAACCAGATCTCTGAAGTTTGCTGTCTTAGCCAAGTGGATTTCTCTGTTGCGCCTGCGGCGTGCCCTGAGCCGCTCCATTTCTGGGAGCTGGGACCTCCTAGCCTGCTTGTACTCCTCCACTGCCTTGGCCACCCTCGGTGACCACCATGTCTTGGATTTTAACCCAGCCTTACTTACGGTGGCGTGTTTGTCCGCTAATGTCCCTACAAATCCTACCAGGTAGTCTGCATACTCCTTGACTGCTTGCCTGGAGTCCAGGCTTTGTGGCACATATAGCTTTTGGCAGTCCCTTGCTACCTCCTCAGGCTCCGCATTCTTCCAGTTTCGTCTCTCAGCCTCCTTTGGGATGGGTGTGAGTTCCAGTGTTGTTTCTATGGGCTTATGGTCAGATCCTTTGCATGCCTCCTCCGCTATTGCACACCTCCTGAGCTTGTCGTGCAGGAGTGGTGATAGAAAGGTGAGGTCTATAGTCGTTCCTGGGCTGCCTCTGTCCTGCCATGTGGTAGCTCCTACAGGTGTGGCAAGCTGGAGACCCAGCCTATCCACCTGTGCTATTAGCTGCCATGCCATGCGGAAGTTTCTCTCCACTCTCACCCCTCCCCACCTCTCATGGTGGACATTAAGATCTCCTAATATGACCAGCTCTGCATCTGTGCCCATTCCGGCTACCTCCTGCAGCTGGCCTATGGGGGATTCCTCCGGTTCACTGCTGTAGCCCCCTGGAGGAGGTGCATACACATTGACTATTTGCACCTTACCCAGGTCGGTGGTGATTGTCAGCACTGCAATGTATTCTGAGTGGTAGTGGCACTCCCATGTGTGTTCCACGAGCCTTTTGTTGACCAGAAAGCATACTCTTGGGTGTGTTTCCGGGTGATATGCTGGCCAGAAGCCGCAGCTTCTGGGGCAGTGTGTTGCTAGCATGTGGGGATTCCGGCTGGGCTCTTGTACTGCAATTACGTCGTATTTGTCTTCTGTTGCAGGGTCTGCCAATAACGCACCCATAACTCTCGCAGAGTTGTGCACGTTATATTGTAGGAGGTTTAGTGTGTCCCTCATTGTTGCGTGGGGGCTGGGGTCTGCGTGTAGTCCATTAGGTCCTCCTGTAGCTGAGACCCAGGTTGTGAGCTCTGTGGTGCTATAAAGGCACTTAGAGCTCCTCTCTGGGCTTCGCCTGCTTGCAGAATCCCCTTGGGTCGGCCTGGTCCTCTTCTTTGGCCCTCTGGTTCCCCAGTGGGTAACCTTTTATTTCCTCTGGTTTGCACCACCTGCCACCCATCTTGTGCTTTTGGCTCCATAAACCTACGGGGTCTTTCCATGTATGCTGTACGGGCCCTGCTTGATGCCCTCTCCCTCTCAGGGCACTTAGAGACCCAGGCTGGGTGTGTTCCCCTACAATTTGCGCACCTCGGTTGTTCCCCAGCTTTTCGTGCTGGGCATTCCTTGTCGTCATGTTCTTTTGCCGCGCAGAACCCGCACCTTTTGGCCTGCCTGCAGAATCTGGCCGTATGCCCATACTCATGGCAGTTAAAGCACCGGGTGACCTGCGCTTCCCGGTGGAAGATTTCAACGTCACAAAATATGCTGTCTATTATCAATCCATTGTCTACTAGTAGGTTGGCTTGCTGAGGCGAGGTGACGCTGAGTACAAGAGACCCAACCTTTGCCTGCAAGCTGGCATTCCGTCGTAGAGACAGTCTCTCAATTTGTACCCCTCTTCGGAGTCCTTCATTCTGTGCGTAAATTGCCTTGATGGCTTGCTGTTCCTCCTTCCAGTTGGTGTTGCCCATTGGGACTCCCTTAACCATGACTGGGTACAGGGTGTGCTTTGCCTTCGCCTTTTGTCCCAAGACTTCCAGCCATGTGCTGCTCTTAGTCAAGGCCTCCCTGGTCTCCCTCGCGTCGGTTGTCAGGATGATGTCTCCACTGGGGAGACATCTTGCTGCAAGCACCTTTCCCTTTGTCACATCCACAATTCTGGCGTTGACGGCTGCCACAATCGCTGGGGGGGTGGCCTCCTCAGCTGGGAGGGCTTCGCAGTCCCGGCGTAGGACAGTAATCTCGCGGAGGGTTCGGTTAGGCACTGGTTTTTCTGGAATTCCCTGTCCTGCGACCTTGGCCCATGATGACAGTTTGGCTTCTTTCACTCCTCCGGGTTGGCGTTGTGCGCGTGTCGCCACGGTCGCGTCTTCCACCTTGGCCAGCATCACCTCCCCCAGTTTGATCTTCAACTCCCTCACCAACCTGGCTGCCTCCTCCACTACCTCCTTCCCTTTGCCGTTGATGGCAGGATCTTCGCACCCATTGCAAAGAACATTGCTCAACTGTGTCAATATTGCTCCACATGTGGTGGGCTGCTGCCTCTTGTCAGAGTTTTCTTCTCGCGGGCGTCCGTCAGCGCGTCCCACGATTTCCTCCATCACAACCATGGCACCAGCACCACCTCAACTGGGGATTGCTGGGTGTCGTGAGATTCCCTGCGATCAGGGCTATCGTTCGCTATCGTTTTCAGTGTATTTATATAAAAGTAGAGACCTTTTTCCTTTTAAAATTTCTTTTATCCATATTAAAAACAATGTTTTTTGATTTTGCTTTTTCAATCATTTCAGTTGCTGCTTGCTCAATCAAATTGCCATTATTTACAATTAATTCTGAGCTTACAACTAGACCCAAATCATCTACATAGCTTGGAGTTCTCACCATAATTGCCATTTGTCTATCAATAAACAGAAACTTGATAAATATAGCAAATAAAATGGGTGAGACTGAGGAACCCTGAGGAACTCCTATCTCAATATCTGTTATATCTTGTCTCATTCCATTAAAAAGCAACTGAATAGTTCTTTTTGACATGAAACAGACAACCCACTTAATGAGAGACTTTGGCATTCTCAGTTCTATCAAAGTTTTGATCATTTGAAAAAGTGAAACACAATCAAATGCACTTTTTATATCAATAAATATTGCAGTTGTAATGTAATGCACTCGTTTATTATTTCCTTATTATTATATTATCTTTGTTTATATCTTCGTCTATTCTTACCTCTTTCCATTATACTCTCGCTACCACTATTTCTGTATGTATATATATATGGATGCATGTATTTCGCACATCTTCTTTCTCTTTCTTTTCCTCTTCAGCGATTAGCTACAACTACAACTACAACTACAACTTCAACTATACTACTACTATAATTATTATTATCTTCCACTACACTATATACTATCTTCTACTATTCACTCTTCACACTGTCATCACCCCTCACAGTTTCTAATCGCTCAATCTTCGAGAGACGGTCCGTTGAGTAATAGTCATGGCCTCTACCCGCAGCATCCGCCGTACTCGTGCTACCGCCGAACCAGAAGCAACAAACACCAGTGAAGAAAACCGCGAAACGCGCACCCCTGCCACTGAAAGTGCGCAACAAGCATCAACCTCTCCTATGGAACCAGACTCTGAGCATAGTTCAGAAGGGGACACCTCTTCTGAAGATCTGAATGCAATTGAGGCCGAGAAGATAGCTGTGACTAGGAGAATTAAGAAGTTACAGGCTGAGAAGGAATTGCGAGAACTCCAACACCGGTGCAATACTTTACTGCAAGAATTAGATGAAACCATCCCAGTCACCCGAAATACACTCGAAGCGCATCCGAACCATGGTAGAGACGCAACTAGCGTGAATTGTAACCGCGAAAACGCCACAAGCATCCTCGGACCACCGGAACCTACCCTAAAACTGTGAGGGGTGATGACAGTGTGAAGAGTGAATAGTAGAAGATAGTATATAGTGTAGTGGAAGATAATAATAATTATAGTAGTAGTATAGTTGAAGTTGTAGTTGTAGTTGTAGTTGTAGCTAATCGCTGAAGAGGAAAAGAAAGAGAAAGAAGATGTGCGAAATACATGCATCCATATATATATACATACAGAAATAGTGGTAGCGAGAGTATAATGGAAAGAGGTAAGAATAGACGAAGATATAAACAAAGATAATACAATAATAAGGAAATAATAAACGAGTGCATTACATGTAACCATTTTTTCATTCTTTGCAAGTTGAATATCATGAACTACAAAGAGAACTGCATCAATTGCTGAGTTTTGCTTTCTACTTCCTATCTGATCATCATATAATAAATCAGTAGTAGTAGATAGAAAAGACAGTCTAGTTGCAATTATCTTTTTCAAAAGTTTTCCCAGATAATTCAGCAGAGATATCACTTTATAAGGTTTAGGAATAGTTGGTTTTCTATTGAGTTTTGACAGAATAACTCCAACAGTATGCCTTCAGCACTTAGGATAATACCCATATTTCAAAAGATTTGAAAACAATTCAAAGAGCTCATCTTTTAGTACTGAATAAAGCTCTTGAATTATTAAATGATTTATAGTATCAGCTCCTGCTACTGTGACCTTTGAAGATGAAAAAATAGCTGTCTTTAATTCATCTTCAGTTAAGTCAGGCCATTCCCATTTCTTATCATGTTCATATTCATTATCTTCTTGCAAAGAACAAACCTCAATTGAATTATTTGATGATGGAAATAATATTCTCATAAAAGCTTGACATTTATCTTCAAATGAGCTAGCTATAATTTCCTCATTCTGAAAATTATAAGTTAATATTGGTAGCTTAGACATTGTTTTTGACTTTGTATATCTGAAAGCTTTGAAGATCTCTTTTCTCTGAGCATTTTCTAGAAAGTTATTCCAACAATCAGTCTTTGCTTTTTTAATTGTTGAGAAATAATCATTTCTAATATTCTTTAAATACTCAAATGAGGCAAAATCTTCTTTTCAATCTCTTTTAACTCTAGCTAAATGTGTTCTTTTATTTGAAATCTCATCATTCTACCAAGGCTTAGAGAATTCAGAGACTCTTTTCAATGGAATATAACTTTTTACACTTGAAATAATAATCTCAGTGATTAAGTTTGCTCTTCCTTCAAGCATTTTGTCTGTAAGATTTGTATTGATTTCCAATAAAGAATTTCTTTATTCTCTAATTTCAACTTTTCAATCATTCTTTTCACTTCTGTCCACTGAGCTTTTTCAAAATTATATTGATTTGAATATAATGGGTTTTGAACTGTTTGATTACTATCCAATTCCATATCAACTTGAATTATCTCATGTCTAGTGGCAGCACCATTTGTTTTATTTGAGTCAATATACCAATTAAAATGTTTATTCTCATATAGATTCTTAGAGAAAAAACATAAATCTATAATTGATTTCTGTCTCAAATCTGGCTTGTGAAAGATGGGAATATCTTGCTCATTTATCAACTCTAGTTTGTTTAAAAGTGCTCATTCAACTAGTTTTTCAGATTTAATTGATTGAGTTCTTTCTGAATTCCATCAAGAGTGATGAGCATTGAAATCCCCTATGATTATTGAGTTTTTTCCTGGTTTCAATTGCATTAAACATCTATCAAATGTCCAAGTTCTATTGTTTTCTCTCAGTGATTTTTCATTGTAGATATTGCTTAATTGAATATTTTCAAACTGTTTTTTCATATCCACAATATCACTAATAAAAATATCAGAGTCAGAAATTAAATCATATCTCAGATTGAATTGAAATCTTGAATTTTTTCTAGCATAAATTGCCACTCTAACTCTAATATCTGTTTTCTCTGATAGAAAACAATAGTACGCTGGATGAGATACACTATACTCTTGATCAGCATCAAGTCTGGGTTCTTGAATAAGAACAAAGTCTGCTTTTTGCTCATAGTCAATTTGTAAACAGGAATAAAGGCATGGATTTGTTCTATCCATATTATTTTGAATAAATTTGATTTTTGTCGAGCTTTTAACATTTTTTTATTGTTTTTCTAACATTATACAAATATTAACAAGTATTTCTCTTTATTTAGAGTCAGATAACAGACTGAATCTATTATTTACAACTTCAACTGCTATTATATCCTGCATATGTATATCTCTTATCTTTGTTTGAACAGAGGTTCTTGGTGACTTCTGTGATCTAATTTTTTGCCTTGCAGAAGATTCAAAGATAGCAGATTCAGAGAGTTGAGAATTTCTTCGTTTTTGTTTATTGCTATCATTTACATTAGTAGAGACTGAGTTATTTGTCTGTACTGATGGCTTTCCTAATTTGGGAACAAATACACATTCTTTTGAATTTGTAAAGTGAGGCTCTTTACAATTGGCACACTTCGCAATGGATTTAAAATGCTATATAGAGTTCCCTTTTTCAAACAAAGATGACAATTATACTCAGATATTCCATGAGATTGTGCACAAATCTGACACTTTACATTTCTTTTATATAGATTTGCAAAGTGGCCATATTTTTGACAATTTAAGCATTGAACTTGAGTTTTCAGATTTTCTCTGGTATCTTTGAACTCATAAGTCCTCATTTTCATACCAGCAATTCTCACAAATGAGATTTTGAATTGTTCAAATGTCTCAATTATGATTAGAACTAAGCTATTTTGCCTATTTTCTCTTTGTTATGAATTGTTCAACCAGACAAGAAGTTTTTTTAACTTGATTGAATTGAAATCTTCAATTTTATGTTGCAGCTGAATCAGCCTATCATCATAATTGAAGATTGTAGTTGGTATATCATAAGGCATAAATTTTCTCTATTTCTCATCCTTTTCAACTGAAATTTCAGTTTTGAAAAGAGATTCAATTATAGGTGCCTAGATCTGCTGATTTTAAATAAGAAAATTGGTATTGAAATCAGATATAGTGGTGAGAATAATTGAGTTTTCAAGAAAAGAGCTTTCAACTGAAGCTATCACTGACTTTTGTAGCTTAGATTTAGAGATAAAATTCAGTGTATGATTCATTTCATTACTTAGTTGAAAAATAAGACCTGCATTTGACAGCATCTTCTTCTATGTCACATGTCTTCGACGCTGAGGCAGTTGGTGCCTGCCGGGCATTAGAGTGCGCTGTGAAGCTCCTACCTTGTGTCACAGAGGACAGCAGCAACCCTCAGATCTGGCTCTGCCTCGACAACACCTCAGTCATCTGGGGCATACGGGGCAGTGCAGCAGCCTCCTCAAACTGGGCCTACAACCGCTGCCATGAGCTCCTCAGGCAGCACAATGTCGGCCTGAAGTGGGCTCCTGGGCATATGGGGATAGAGGGCAATGAGGAAGCAGACCGCTTGGCTAAGCGGGCAGTCTCATCCACTGCAGCCCCAGCCTATGGTCTCGAGGCCACACCCACAGTCAGTGGGGTCCGCACAGTGGCCAAGCAGCTCAGCCAAGAGGCAAGGCGAAAGTGGTGGAGTGGAGCCTGTGGCAAGCTCTCTGACTGGTACCGGGGCTGGAGTTTCAGCAGGCCGACTGTGGAATACCAAGTGAAGGCCCCCCCGGAGCTCACCATGCCACGGCATGCCCTTCACCGCTGGCTCGCACTCCGCTCCTCTCATGGGGACTTCTCCTGGTACCACAGGCGTTTCCAGCATGCAGATGCGAGGCTCACCTGTGTCTGTGGACACAACAAGAGCCCAGAACATTTGGTGCTCTGTCGACACTCACAGAGGCACTTTCTTCACTGGCCCAAGAGGCCAGCAGCACGGCCACACAACCGGGCGACAGCTGTTGCCTATCTAGGGTCTCTGACCCCTACAGACTTTGTAGAACTGCTGGACTGCACGCAGTTCTACACACGGTACTGCACAAGGTAACGCAGCCGGCTGGCTGCAAACCATCTGACAACCCCCGCAGCAGTTCCACGAGGCCGGCCTGCTGAGTACACCCACGGTAGCTAGTGCAACTGCCAGGGACATCACAGTCTATGCAGACAGTACAGATAGCACAACTAGGCTCATCTGTCTCAATTGGCTGTGGTGTAATCAGTACAGTCTACGTATCTGACTCAGCTGATATGGTTTTGACTGCCGGCATTGTATCTACGCGTGCTCTGCTTTGTTTTCCTCTCGTTTGCCCTTGTCTCTATCGGCTCAAATGCTTCTTCTTCCTTCTTTTCTTTGCTCTCTCTGTCATTCTCTGCTCTTTTCCTGTCACAACCTTCTTCAGTGCTCTCTCCTTCATTATTTATCTTGTCTGTCTTTCTTCTGATGTTAGAAGCACAGACAGCTTTCTGATCAACTGAGAGAGGTATCCCTCTCTGCTCACTATAAAGCCTTCCAGGCACGGCAGCGGCGGTCCCCTCAGGGAACCACACTATAGCCCCACCATGAATGGCCATACGTCGGGCCAGAAGTGGATGCGCAGCTCAGAAAAATCTTTTGCAATGAGCTGAGTCTTCTCAAGAGTTGCCACCTGGATTCTGTTTTCTCTCTCTGTGTACATAGAAATCTCTCCAGCGTAGCACGTCTCCATGCCCTTCGGGAGGCTTCTGAAACACGGGCGCTGCCCGTGTCTCCGGGACGTTAAACCTATACATACATACATACATACATACATACATGCATCTTCTTCTCAAAAATCTCTTTGTCAAAGACTTTAACAATCAATCTTTAAACTTTTAATTGAAAAAACTTTTTCTCTTTCAATTTCTTTCTTGATTTCTCTGTGATCTGATAACTCAGAGAAGAAGCAGTTTTTGAGATTTGAATATATTTCTTTTTTTAAAAACAATGTGTTTTTTATTGCAATATTTGCTGCTGTTTGAATATAAAATTTTTACTCTATTTTTTGAATCAGAACTTGAGATATAGACTTTATCTCAAATATATTTTTAAATTTCAATCAGATTCCCATTTTGTACTTGAGAATCTCATTTAGTTATTTTATTTGAATAAACAGTATATGAAGTACTTCAGTGTCTTTTTTCTTCATGCATTGATTTTTCAAGCATTTAACAGCCTTTTCAAGATTTTGAATCTCTTGCATCTTATTTTGATATTTCTTCTTTTTTAAAAAAAAAATTCAATTTCAGAAATTTCCTCAGAAAAGACATTTTTCTCTGTCATTTTGATAGATATTGATAGATTTAAAAAATTTGATTGTATTTCAAACTATTTTTCCTACTAGTAATAGTAACTAGATTAAGTTTTTCAAAAGAATTTAATAAATTAATATTGATTTTTAGAGATAAATCAGTTAAATCTTCACAGACTGAGGGTTACAAAGATTAAAAAAAGAGGAAACTAATGATTTCAATTTGAATAAGTCGAAATTGAAATGTCAGTTTTTAAAAGAAAAATTAATAAAAAATACTCAGCTTTTTGAAGAGAAGCTGTTAAAACTAACTGATTATATTCTTTACTTCAAAAATCTCCCCACACAACAAACGTGTAGCTCAATTGAAAAAGAAAAGATATATAATAACAAATTGATCAATATTAATAAAAGCTCTTCAGCTTTTGATTAAAATAAAAGAAATATGAATTTTTGAGCAAAAATTTTCTGTTTTATTAATTCAGAGTTAAAACAGAGAAAATACTTTATCTTCTTCAAACTTTGTCTTTTTTTTTAATAAAAAGTTTGTCAAAGTCTCTATTTAAATTAGACTTCTTCTCAGTTTAAGATTATATTTCTGAAATATCAAAAGCTTTCAATACTAAATGAATTTCCTGTCATTCACATTGAAACATTTTATTCTACTGAATAGCTCCCAATAAGTTGAATATTGAGTTTTCAAAGAAATGGGTATGCAAATGAAGAATCAACAGGCTAAACCTGCACTTTTTTCCTTTATAATAGATTATATATATATAAATATATATATAAACTACTTGCAGGGACCAAGCTATCTTTCAAACACTGAAATTTCCACTTTTATCTTATGTTTTTATCAACGGGAGGGTTATTCGAAGGGATTCGACGAGGGATTCGAGGGACGATGGATTCGAATTGATGGGGTATGCACTAGTCCATTGTGCCGAGGTATCTTTTTGTTACTTGGCAGGCACGTGTGGCTGGGAGGTACTCAGGGGGGACTTGGCACGGATACGTTGGAACACGAAAATCGATCAGAGTTTTCTCAAACAGAGAAACAAGAATAACTCAAGCAACTGCAGATCAAATTGAACAAGATTTTAATAGATTATCAATATAAGACAGATCTATCTCTGGTCAAAATCTGAGTTGATTTGAGCCAGTATTGATGGAGTAATTTGATGAAACGTTGAAAATCCGCCCAAGCAGATGCCAAAACACTATTCATCAAATATCTCCATCAAAACTTTATCAAATCTTTTCAAATTTGCAGCAGTTACTGATGAAGGCAGCAGGAATCGATTGAGGGTACTCGCGTTGTCTAATTCGAAGAATTGGGCTCGTTCGGGGTTTTGCTCTGTTTTTTATGTTTTTAAACTTTTTGTAAATATATTTTGAAAATGATGATTCAACTTAGAAAAACTGTTATTAAGATAGTTTTCAATATTCTCCAACACATCTTTTACTTTTGTAATATTATGTCAGAGATCATGTATATTCTTGAATGAAAATGTCATTAAAGATGATGACTGTAATTCTGCACTTTTGTATCATCTCAAATCTGTAGAGTTGAAACAGCAGAAAGGCAGGACTATAATTCATTAAAAACAAAATCAGAGTTATAAGAAAGGATTTCACAGCTGAAGAAACTGTGTTTAATAATGGCTGATTTGAATTTGTCTTTACAAATTGTGAATAGATTATATAGAAATTCTCACTTGTCAAATTGTTGAAATCCTTTACAGATTGCTTGATTGACTGCTTTAATATGAAAGTGCTTATATTGATGAAAGGGTAAACCATCTAGAGGTTGTAGAATATGCATACTGTGAAAAGAGAAGATGTATAATATGATGTTGTTTTTATTGCAATAAGTAATGAATTTAAAAATTAGATGAGAGTCATGATTATCTGCAAGAAGAAGTTTATATTTATCAATCTATTGTTTCTTTGAATAGTGATCAAAATGAAGCAGTCATTGATACTCAATCTCATCATTTGTATAGTCAGTAGAAGAGGTAGTTAGAAGTCAGAAATCAGAAAAGTTTGTAAATGTAATTCAATTCTTCAATAAATTCTTACTCTGCAAGATTACATACAATGGAAAAATCTCTTCATCTATAAATATACACTCTATTACTGTGTTCAACAACCATGAAAAGAATGAGGATAGAACTGCATTTACTTTTTTAAAAGCTGTAATGACTCACTTTGCACATTCTTGACCCTTTTGAAATCCAATCTCATTCATATTGTAGCAATCTGTGGGTAGAATGCTATTTTGCTTCATTGTGATTTTCAATCTGTTAAACCATGTCTTTATAAGCTCAATACCTTCTGCAGACATTCATTTTGAATCCATTGAACACTGTGTATTCACTCATAATCATCAAGGCATTTGATAAATCTATAAAGTCAGTTGTGATCAAACATAGAGAGGAAGGATTTGCAAGAATCTATAAGACACTATGCAAGAAATGAAATTCAAGTATTTTCAAATCATCTCAATAATGAGGGATTGACCAGCCTTATTCAACTGTGCAATCCATGCTTTTAAAGCCTTCTCTTGTGTGGAATCCAATAAACAATTGATTGGCTTGTTTTTTGTTCATGAGTTGACTCCCTGAATTCTTCTGTGAAGGGCTTGATAGCTGACCTTATATTCACATAACAGAGGTTTGATTTTTTGAGTTGTATCACTTTTATAGGCATCTACTGCCTCTAGAATGCAATCTTCAGTGATTTGACAAAATTTAGTCATATTGTGATTGAGATATTAATATTTGAATAATAATAGTATGGAATAGTTGAGAAATAATTGAAAAATATTATTGCGATGAAAATATCGTTTGGGTGGGACCCACCCAAAGGGGCAACGTGGGTGAGGTCTTGGCCACAATTAGATATCTTCAGGCGCACCTACTACCTGATTTAGCTTATTGTTTCTGGGCTGGAAACCTGTATTGTGAGTATCAAATCCTGTCTTTCATTAATTTTCTTATGTTTCTGTTATATTCTTGACATCATTCAACACTAAGCATTCCTCATGTATAACCAACTCTTGCCTGTATTTAACATTACACAAGGACTCGTCATAAGCACTGCTTGCATACGAGTATAACAGAAGAAGAAGAAGAATAATAATAATATAAAATCTCTTTAATGTAGCACATTTTCACGCTTTTGAAAGTGCAGACACTGCCCACATCTTCTTTGAGATGTTAAATTTATACATACATATATACTATACATTTTTTACACAGATTCTCAAGCACTATTCATTAAATATCTTTATCAAATTTTTATCAAACACTTTCAAATTTGGCACAGTTATCAACAAAGGCAGCAGGAATTGATTGAAGGTATTTGCATTATCTAATTCAAAGAATTGAACTCATTTAAAAATTTGTCGATTGTCTTTATATTTATAAACAGTTATAAGAATTTAGAAGAGAATTTAGAAATGATAAATGATACAATTAATTAAATATAATGAATAAAAATAATAACATTGAATTAAAATATATATATAGTTTTTGATTTTATGTTTAGATAAAAAATGAGTAAATGTAGATTCTTATAAACTAAAGTAGCACTTAAGTTTTATAACAGAATAATTGATTTAACTCAGTGGATAATCAGATCTAATGAAAGCATATCTCTATTGTGAGAAAACCTAGTAAAAATAAGGCAAGAAATAACGGTCAAAGTTTCAAATACTCCACAAACACTGCATACAGGAAAGGATATATAAATGCGCGATACAAATAGTTTCAATAAACTTCTGCCAGTGCTGAAAATAATCAAGGATAATGAACCGCAGAGAGGAAAAAAAAAATCCATCATCCCAACAGCGAATACGGTGACTGACTCACCAATCGCGAAAATACCCGCTTCTTTTTCTGCTTTGGAAGAGCCGACACCACCGCTGTAGGTGTTAGCTGCTTGCCTAGCATCGATGGAGCCGCCGGAACGACATGCCTACGTTGGGGTCCCAACTCTGGCTCTAGCAACGGCTCCGGCTCAGAAGATGTTACGGACACCAGCAAGGGTGCGGTTTGGACAGGAGTAGAAATAACCTCAGCATTCGCATTTCCAAACTCCGAGTCGGCAGGTAACTCGACAGAATCCGGTACAACCTCCACGGCAGCCAGTTCCTCAATATCCGCGCCCGTGTCGATCAGTCGGAATCTGTACTCATCAAGCATCATCCAGCGTTTCTCGACCGCCGCGGTAAACCAGCTGCGATCGATGAGGACCATCTGGGTGAGTTTGGAGGTGTCTAGCTCCGTTTCGCGGGTTGAGGTGTAGTCGCGTGCTAATCCGGCTTCGAGAGCTTTTAGCTCTAGATTGTTATTCTGCTCCTGCGTAAGGATTGCTTGCCGATGGGATTGTTCAAGGCCGCGCCTTTCGCTTTCCTGGGAGGCTTCGAGTTTATCTAGGATGGCCTTCTCTCTGCTCTCGCGATTGGTTTTCCTTTTGAGATGGCGCGAGACGGTGAGGAGTGTGTCGTCCTCCTCTTCTTCATGGCGAGCTATCATGCTATCGAATTCAGCCTTTTGTGAAACTATCAGTTGATCCATGCGCTGTTTCTGGTTTGTTCGAAGACCCTCCAGGAGCTTATCCCGCTGTTGCTCCACCACTGAAGTTCCAGCTGTGGTCCTGCTGTGGAGGCTATGGGCTGTTTTTTCATGTCTCTTGTTTAGGAGGGTCTGCTGGTACTTATTGATACTTGACAAGGCAGTTCGCAAGCCCCGCAGTGTGGCAGCGATATGCATCATCCGTTTCATCTCTTTGTCGCGGAGCTCCTCTTCTTCCTTGCGACGTTGCTCCTCTCCCCTCCGTTCTCTCTCCATTGCTTCTTCGCGCTCCATACGTTCAATCTGGGCAAGCGCCTCTGCGATCTCAGCTGCCTCCTTTTGAATTTGTCGATCCCGCTGCAGCCGTCGGGCTTCGATTTCAGTTTGTCTACGTCGGTGATCATCTTCTGTACAGTCGCATGTATGCCACCGAGCTGCGCATGTGTAGCTGCAAATCGTGTCAGTTTGGTCAGTGGATACGAAATGATGAATGAAAACGCGCCGAGGGGCCATACCAGAACTCCGATCCACAATTACAAGTAATATGCCGACAACCGGCAGTCAACTCAACCATAGAATGGCAGCTGTAACATCTTCTCCAGCCGTGATATTCAGCTTCCTCCAGTGTAGCCTCCAGCCCATAGTCTTGAGGGCAGTCATTCAAGTTTGCATGCGCTAGGCTTCGGCAGAGTGTGCAAATCTCAGTGCGGCAATATGGGCAGCTTTTTTGACTAGGATTTTTGCCTTTTTTGAGTTTGTTGGGAGGTATCCATTTCGCACACGTTATTTCGGGACAATACACTCGATGCGGTTCAGAAATGGAGTATTCCTGCGCCTTCAATCTGAATGCATCTCTTCCATTATGGTCCAAATTATCAAGGATAAGTCGTTGTGGTATCTCCTCAAGACAGCATTTTGGTGGGAAGAGCTTTTCGGTAGCCATTGCGGTATTAATGAGCTGCATAAAACATTTTAGGCAGTATTTGTGTTGACAGTTCAGGCTGATTAGGTTTTTATCCATTATCTCGTCAAAACAACTCGAACATTCCCTATATTGTAGCATGCCAAAATAAGCCTGGAACGTAAAAGAAAGTTGTCGCTGAAAATTTGAAGCCCAGAAACAAAATTTCAAAGGCAGCTTACTTGAATGTATTGCGCTCCCTTAATCTATCCCTAAGTGCCCTGGTAGGGTTCGACTTCTTACTGCCAATCCAGACCAGAGGACGTCTAATAGACCCAGAGTCTACCGAGCGCTTCGAGGGCGATCGACTCCCCTCAGAATTGTTTAGCGATGATAAGCGAGATAACTGTGAGATCGAACCTTTTCGCTGTCTGCATTGCGAATTGGAAATGAGAGACCCATTCTGGTGCGCATCTGACCCGCCATCCTGAGAAGGCAATGCGCTTTTCCTGTACAGGTCAAAAGACAAGGACTGGTGGATAATAGTTATGACATCAGGAGGGATATTATCTGGTATAACTTCGAGCTCGGCAGGGAAAGGGTGCGCAAGCCAGTGAAGAGGTGGGAGTTTGTCAGTTCCCAAGTCCAGCTCTCTCAGTCCCACCAACTGCGGCCAGTCTAGCAGACTAGAGCGTTTGTCAGTCTTGCTTGCGGCCAGCATACAGCCGCTTTCTAAAGGGGTGGTAGTTGTCATGTCCAGTGTGCCCAAAGAAAAGAAGGCAAAGCAGACGAGCTTAGGTAGACGTAGATGAATGATGAAAAAACAAATACTCGAAGGAAACCTTTATTCAAATCATCGTCGGGAGGTTGACCAGCGACAGTCCTTTGAGATTTCGAGGCCCATGAAAAAGTCTCCCGTCGAACAAGCTAGGGTTTCCAGAGCTAATCGCCGAGTAAAGCAAGGAAATGCAAGGGACCAATAAATGAAGATATCGTTAACTTCGATACCTAGCAAAGGCTTGAGAGAATGAAACAGGAATCTCACACAACACAAAGCACAAGGCGAGAAATAGATAGGATCCGCGGTTTTTTTCAGGACCTGAACACAAAGAAACCTTTGAATCAAGGAGTTGAGCCGCATTTAGCTGCTTGACTGTACTTGCCAGACACATGACTGACGCCCGCTGGCTGAATTCCTGCGGGGGCTCGAGAAGGATCAGGGAGCGGGGCAGATTGATAGGGCGTTCCTCGCAGGCATTTGCCATTTCTCGGGTGGTTGGTTAGATGGTGGCTGTCAGCAGAACGGGACGACATACCAGCTACGGAGTAGTTAACAAAGATCAGGCAAGCCAAAAAAACTGCAAGAGACAAGGGTCACAAGGCTGCCTTCGTACCCACCCTCTGATCCAATCCCCGAACCCAGCGATTGTCAAGTTCGATTAGCCGTGCGAAATGCAACTCACGCAGTCGCTGTGGCATTACGGATACACTAAACCAAGTACGCCGTCATTGGTGGAGCAGCATGTATGCTCCTCGGTTCACAACGTCTTACTCAGGATGTGGATTTCGTGGTCCCTACTCCGTACAGGCTATGGGACAGACAAAGGCTGCTCGGTAAGAGCTTCGGAATGCAGTTGGCTTTGTTATCGAGCCAGGAACTCTCCACACCCATTATCAAGGGGTCGAGATTGAGATCCTGACACCACCAGCACTTTTCACAGAACCATACGATGCGGAGACACCAACAATAGAAGTTCAACAGGTGCGCGTTCTCAAACCCGCACTCATACTAAATGCAAAATGCCGGTCAATCTTGGGACGGGCCAACGAAGACAAAAGAGGAACCGACGCTGAGGATATCGTAATTCTTCTACAGTGGTTTGTGAACAATCCATACCACCCAAAACCGACTGCAACAGAAGTCCCGAATGCTACCAAACAATTCCGCGATTGGTTTACCGCGACATATTGCTTATCAGCGGAGGATCAGGCTTTGTGGGCACAGGCTGGGTTCGAGTGAAGTCTACTCTAAATATATACATGCAATAGCTAATCCGGGGTTCTGTCAATAAGTACCTTCTGACCAACCTCAATATGGTTTGGTAGCAGGGGGCGCTGAAGATGACATCGCTCAATCAGTCAAGTTCCCAATCAGAATACGGTAATACCCCACTCATTGATGTCGGATTTTTGCTTTCCACAGTTTGTTACCTGCCATCTTTTTTCTTTTTGCGCTCCTGCAATTGATGGCTGTTTGTCTCTCATGCCTTGTTCCTGGTCACAGATTGAAGACATTAAATTACCTCATGATTGAAATAAGAATCTTAACCATAAATGAGATAAGTTTGTAGCATAAATTAGGTTCTCTTTGGGTGTGTGAACTGCAAGTAATGCTCCCCAGCGGCATATGAGAGGGGATAGTATGAACGATAGTGTAATCACAGCAACCAAAACACTTGTTATCGAGAAGGCTAATAGAATACTATGAGTTGGCATCCCTATTGCTGGCTAGAATGCCATGTGACCACACCTATTTAAGCAGTGCTGTGCCCGCTAGATAGTTACAATAAACCAACCTTCCACCTCCATCACTATGTGATTATTTATGATTTGCTGGTGGAAGCGTAGCCAGTAATCGTGCCTCAACATCAGCTGTGAAAAACCGCTCATCATCCCTTGAAACTGAACATTCCTGAAATTCATACTCCCCTCTGAGTATGGAGTCTCGGATCTTCTGTGAATGAATTCTAAAAGACTCTCTAGTGTAGCTGACTCCTGCAACTACATCCAAATGGTATTGCCGATGATCCACCTTCAAGTAATCAGCAAATTCTCTGAGTTTTAAAATTGGAATATAACCATAAAGATAGCCCAAAAAGCAGCTTATGTGGCGATGAAAGAAAAAGTGTGCATCCAGAGTATCCAGCCATCTTCTGATAAGAGAATCCAGAAATTGATGTAATGGTGGAATAAAGGGCCATCTGGCAACTCTCTGGCGATGCCAGCTTTTCTGTGTGGCAATTTCTGGAAGCTTGATATCCCAATCAGAGGCTGCTGTGAGAGCAACCACATCATCTAACAGGCCCACACTCTTGCATTGTGGTTCAACAAGATAGCAAGTGGCCTCCTTAATATCGATGTACTTTGGTTCAAAGTCAGAAGGTGGAGGGTGCCAGCCTCTTTCAACAAGTGCGTCTACAGCTTTCTTCATGTCGGAAACAACGATGTGTACGTCAAAAACAACTGTGGGCACTCCATAGTATGCTAAAGAATCCTCAGCCCAAAGGTAGCATGGTATACTGCTTTCCTTGAGTAGGCGGCACGCTGAATATCTCAATGGACCAAGGGTCATCGCGAGCTTTTTTTGCGTTGAACGAGCCAGCCCTCAATGGGGTTGGCTTCACTAGGGGTGCGCGACATCGGTGGGTTTTCAGGGAGTTTAGTATTTGTATTGAGCTCTCGAAAGCCGTCTTGTTTCTAACTCCTACGACTTGCAGCCGAGATGCCGTCAATGCGAACAATGGACGCAAGACTGTGCTCACAGGTGCTATACGGCAGCACCGCGCATGGAAATCTCCAATGAGACCAGAATCTGGATGGTGAGTCGGAAAAGTGGGTACAGTACATGGTGAGTGCAGGGAATAACCTCAGCCGGATTTAGCCGAAAAAGGTAGTGGGGGATTTATCAGCGTGCAAAAGCAGCGAGGGCGCTAATTTAAGTTAGCTAGCTCCACAACACCACCACGTTATCTCTATCAATCACATAATTGGTCTTTCTTCTGTTGGGGGGGTTGGATTGGGTTGATTCGTACCCTCTATACTCCGTACCACCACAGCGCTGGTGGTGATTGAGCTCTTTTGCCCTAGTGGCCTAATATCTTCAGAGATTCAAGCTGATCCTCTGTTCTTGGCTCTGGGGCACTCCCCGGCCTCCTTACGCCTTGTTCAATGATTCTCAGGGTTTGTTGTTGTTGTTGTTGTTGTTGTTGTTCTTATTTTTTATAAGGCCATATGCAGTCTGAGACTATGACAGCCTTCACCTCACTAGCCTACCCTTATGTTCAGCTACTCTCTAGTTACATTTCCCTATTTATAACTGAGTCATCCTTGATGGAGAGACTTCACTATACCATTCTGGATCTAGCCCTCAAGGGGGGCCTTGCCCCACAATTGCTCACGCAATACTAAGTAGTCCCTTGTCACTTGAACTAGACATGTAACCGGGCCCTAGATGATTTGTAAGCTGCCGCTCACCTGCAACCTCTGGTCGGCCCCTCGTTCCGAGGGTCCGCCATCTCAACGTTATCCGCCATCTCAACGCGATTATTTTCAAATACGCGAATCTCTTTTTTCAAAATGCAATAATCAACCAATGTGATGACTTCTACATATATTTTAATAGAGAATAAGATCACAGAGGCTCTAGATTCCATAGCCGATATTGAAAAACCCAATATCAAAGCATTGGCAAGAGATTATAACCTTCCCTATTCCCGTCTGCTCAATCGATACAATGGCCGTGCTCCGCGAACTCATCGACCTCCTGCTAATCGACTTTTATCTTTTGAGCAGGAAAAATCACTTTGTCAGTATATAGAAGCTCTAGATAAGCTATGCCTACCTCCCAATCGATCGATGATCTTTGGTGCTGCTCGATTCCTACTTGCGCAGAGCCATACAGATTCTACCACACCTGCACCTGGGCTTGGAGAGCACTGGGTCAAAAGATTTCTCAAACGCCATCCAGAGTATAATGTACGCAAGCAGAAGACCATTGATATATTACGGAAACAGGCTCATCAACCATCTCATATCCTTGATTGGTTTAACCGGTTCAAAGAAACAGTCAATAAATATGGAATTCAAGATTGCGATATCTACAACTTCGATGAAACAGGGTTCAGAATAGGAATTGGACATGATCAATGGATTGTAACGCGAGATCCTCGAAGACGGGCCTATGTTGGAAGTTCAAATAATAGAGAAAGTCTTACTATCATTGAAGGAGTTGCAACTGATGGCTTTACCATTCCTCCCTTATATATTCTCACCGCGAAGCAGCTACAGGAGCGGTGGACAGATGAAATAGAGAAGGATGCCATGATAGCTACATCCGACACTGGGTATAATAATGATCAAATCTCTTTTCAGTGGATTCAGCATTTCCATCGGTCTACAAAAGCTCGCAACAAAGGAACCCACCGTCTGCTTCTATTAGATGGATTTGACTCCCATTGCACCTTTGAATTCATGGATTTTTGTGAAAAGAACAACATCATTCCCTTCTATCTCATCCCGCATACGAGTCACCTATTACAACCTCTGGATGTTGGTGTTTTTCAAGCCTTTAAGCATCATCATTCAGTGGCAGTTGAAGAAGCAACAAGACGCGGCTGTGAGAAGTTCACAAAGGTTGAATTTCTTCATGCTATCACCTCCATACGAAAAGCAACATTCAGAGTTCATACAATCAAACATGGATGGGAAGCAACTGGCCTACTTCCATTCAATCCTTCAATTGTCCTTAATAAATTGCGTGAATTCGAGACTACTCCTTCAGAATCTTCAAATTCAGATTCCATGGATTCAGATACTTGGTATACTCCTTCAACTGTACGCCAATTCAACCGATATAAACGCAAACTCGAGGCTTTGGAAGAGGAAGATGAAGATAACTATGATGAGGACTATATATATGAAGGATTACAGAAGCTTTATAAGGGTAGTATTGCAATGGCCAATACAGTGGCTCTTTTGCAGGAGGAGCTCTCGCAGACAACTGCCGCCTCGGCTGCTCGCAAACGCCGTCTGAACGGCTCACGGAGGGTAGTTCATAAAGGAGGAGTCATCTCTGCAGATAATATTCGCAAAATGACAGCTATTCATCATCAGATTGGTATTGAGGAGGCATTGGAGAAGTTACGGCCAAAATTGAAGAAGGTTATGAAGGAACTTAAGAGATATTGCAGAGACAAAGGCATTTATGTTAATGCCACCAAATTTACAAGGAATTCACGGCAATAGTTCATTTACAATATAATCTATTTGTATCTATCAAATATAGATTCATTGGTTGATAAATCAACTGAATATCATGGGTATAAGTGGGCAGTAACGTTGAGATGGCGGATAACGTTGAGATGGCGGACCCTCGGAACGAGGGGCCGACCAGAGGTTGCAGGTGAGCGGCAGCTTACAAATCATCTAGGGCCCGGTTAAGAATCACAACACCTTAGGATCAGGTTTAAAAGAAGAAAGAATGGGGAAGATGGCCGAGCAATCCTTAGCTTGTTCTCTCTCGCGCGGTCAGTCGAGCCACGCGAGGGGTCAGTTGAAGTATAACCTGTCTTGCTATTGCCGTTGGCCCTGCTAATACGATCGGTCACTGCATACGGAGCTCCGTACCGTGCATCGCATTTGACTTCTGCTATAGGGGGACAGGTCGTTATGATTGGACAGAGGAGATGGAGAGGGACAGCTTATCTTCAAGTTAAGGCAAGCAATCACGGATCAACGAGCGGAGAGGCGCGGCAACCATTTGTTGCTAATTTGTAAAACGCGCCCTATAACAGACAAGTTGTAATGTGCCTAGCTTGCTCACTCACTCTACGGAGTAATGAAGAACTAATATAATCGCACAAAGAATTTCATTCTACCTTTGAAGTCTTTTATACTCCGTGCCATTTATATTTATACCACTCCGTACTGAGATATAATGTCAGAATCATGCTTTTTGATCCGCAATTATCTCCGTAATATCTAATATCACATGATAAACAGCATGCTCTGATCTAGAGACAACGGGTACCAGCACGTTCTTCTAAATTTATCCGTAGTGGATTGGAGAATGCGGCATTTGCGCGGGTTTGAAGATTGAGTCTCCCCCACATCTCCGCTACATATGACTCAGGGAGGGATATATATAGTATTGCTTTGGCCGACAACCCCAAATTGAACAATTCAAAATATCGCAGGTGGGAATAAATTATTTCAAGTGTCGCAATAAGAACTGAGCGAACATACTATCGCAATGGCCCAATCCCTCCACTTTGTTACCCTCGATGTGTTCACCACGTCCCCCTTCGCTGGCAACCCCTTGGCTTTAGTTTTCCTCTCCGACAACATTCCTATCACTCAAACCCAAAAACAAGCCATTGCCCGTGAGTTTAACTTCAGCGAAACCATCTTCGTCCATCCCTCAAGCTGGCCACAACAACCTCGCACCATAGACATCTTTACGACGTTGGCAGAGATTCCATTTGCCGGCCACCCAACCATCGGCGCAACATCATGGCTGCTCCTACACTCCAAACTAGGTAACAGGGATGAAGTGCCACCATCAGCAATTGCCACAAAGGCTGGAGAAATCCCAATCTCCATATCCGCACAGGACCCTAAGATAGTTTCCGCGCTGATTCCGCATAACGTGCACATCCACTCAAGAAGGTTCTCTTTGGAGGATTTGCTCAAGCTGCACCCATCTGTGGAGCCGTATCTAGACCCTAGCAAGCATGCCGACGGATTTCCCATCGTCTCAGTTGTCAAGGGTATGACAGCTGCCCATGTCCGGTTGCCTAGCTTGGAAGCACTGGCTGCAGCAACGACCGCGAGTGGGGCGTATAGCTTTCCGGCGATAAGCACAGAGGCGGCAGGCTATTTTGACCCCGGCTGGGACACAGGAATACCCCTTCATGTGTATTTCTATGTGAAAGATGTATGGGACGAGGTGCGGAAGACAAATGTTATTCGCAGTCGAATGTTTTTCGACGCCTCTGAGGATCCGGCGACCGGAAGCGCTGCGAGTGGGCTTGTTTCCTACTTAGCACTGACAGGGATTGGGGATGGGAACGGAAGTGGAAGCGAGCACGAGATGCTCTTCCATGTTGTTCAGGGGGTGGAAATGGGGAGGAGGAGTGATATTGGACTGAAGGTTGTGTTGAAGGAGGGGGGCAGGGAGATCGATAAAATCCAATTGAGTGGTAGCGCCGTAAAGGTGTCTGAGGGAGATATCGTCGTCGGAGCGGAATAAGAACTGATGTTTAAAATGTCATTTGAGGTTAGGATCTGTTTACAGGATGCGTTTGCCCGTTACCTTAAGTCATTCGTTGAAGAGCACAGCACTTCAAATATTGATTTTTTTCTGTATTATGTGGTGCGAGGATGCTCAACTGCGGTGCCAAACATACTTCCCAAAGCAGTAATATGCGACGTCTGCTAGAGAAGCACATTCTTCATCTTTCTGACTTGCTCAGTAACACTGTACGCTCAGACCGTCTTCACTTGGTCATATCGATTTCCTTTCTATTGATTTCTGTTCAGTGTTTTTATCTTTTATTGGTATTCACAGCTCCAGCCATATATGCTACTCCCTGACATCTCACGACGCTGTTCCGCGTCCATCCTGATGATAGGGATCCGCATCCGTAAACTAACATAAACAACGTATATACACATCCAGAAGGTCATCCAGTTCTTGAATCTGAGCCCAACAAACATGTCTTTTACGCGATATCCGGCCTCCTTTCCCCATATATACGTTTCGCCTGGTGATACTAAATACAACAGTACTTTGCAGGGCCGTCGGCGTAAGTCATCTTTAACACAGTCCCTCCAAGCCTTTGCGAAGAGCACATTTCACCGCAGGAAACGTCACACAGATACCGGGGGTTCAAGTCAAAATACGACGCCAACAACGTCGTTCACGACCAGCTCGTGCCCACCTAGTCCCGGAGACCTGCAGTCGCGATCCGAACGGGCCATAGCACCCGTGAAACAAACTATGGGCAGGTCACTACTGACATCGGGAACCCATTCAAAAGGTCAATCCCAGACACCAGGGGGACTAGCGGCTTCCACTATGGCAAGCCCAGGTTTTAATGGAAAGCAACAGAACGGTGACATCCAGATACCTGTACCAGAGATACCATTCATCTCTCACGAGAAGCCATCTGAGCAAGGTCAGACAAACAGAGGAAAACTAAGTGTCAAATACGCGGCGTTAAGGGGGGGAACAGGCCCACCTCAGGTGTCACGAATTCCATTGCCCAGTCCCCAACCAGACGGATATCCCAGAAGAAATACAAACGCAGTGGCCAAGATTCCGAAGTCAACCACGTTCTCTTCCTTTAATAGTCCCAGGCATGGTTCCTCTTTATCACGCCACCAATCGCTGTCGAGAAACAGTAAGGTTTCGTGTGGACAACCAAACCTGGACAGGAAACATCAACAGCAACAAATAGGAGAAAAACATCAGAAACTAGCAACAGCAGCAAACGCGCAAGTAGTCAATATAGCCAATAATCCGTCAGCCGGATTATTCGGGTCACAAAATTGTCCTACATCCATTCAACAGGCATTTTCAGACCAAAAAGGGCGCTCATTGCCAAAAAGTCAGACAACTCTAAACTTCGCCTCATATTCTAAGCTTCCTGGCTACTTTGCACCAGCCGAAAGCTTTATTAACCGCTACCAAATCAATGCCCATAGCAAGTGCAACGTCATTAAAGACTGCGAAGTAGGACCGGGTCCTAGTGGTCCACAAAGCTCCCCAGATGCTAAAGTAAAGAATGCCTGTTGCTCGGGTATACAGCAGCCAAGGAGCTCGAAGAATCAAAGCTCGATGGAGGGTCGTAAATCTGGATGTACTTCGCCACATAACGACGATGACATCAAAACCGTAAGCCTGGCTAGAAACCCATTCCATGCTCCCATATATCGATGCTCTTCCATCAGTTATCTCTCGCTAACAAAGAAATCCCTCGATTCTCAGGTAGTCACCGCCAAACCGCGCCAATATTGGCTAGGCCGCTTCTCCACCTTGGTAAATGCCTTCCACCACGAAGACTCTTTCAAAGAAGAATCAGGCGCAGTCACTGGATATGACAGTTCAGCTGCATCACCATACTACAATATCTTCCCATCCTCCTCCGCAAACACGAACGACCAGCGGGTCACGCGTGCCTTCGCCTTCCTCGAAAACGCCTGCACGACCGTAGAGGCACGAATCAGTTTCTTGGAATTTCGAGATGCCTATTCCAAATGTTTTGGCGATCGGTGGAAAATGCGGTTTGTGCGTGATGCCGGTGCTGGTGTTGCTGGGAATAAACAAAGGCACGGTGGCAGTACGTCTGATCTCAATGATGGAACACTTGTATTGGCCGGAGTGGCCGGAGAGATGGCTGACAAGAAGTGGAAGTGGAGTGACGGCGGGGCTTTGGGAGGGGGTGGTGGAGCTGGGAGCGGAGGGATTGGTTTGATGAATATGTTTAGGACGGTTCGGAAAAGTTTGGCTTGAGTGATGGGAGAAATTTTAGTTTATTTTTCTGATTATCTTTCCTCCCACCTCTCTTTTTTATTTTTTTTCTTCCTGTTACAAACAAATATCCTGTTGGCCCATTCGAAATACCTTGGTAATTTTTGTTTTAGTTTGCATTTTTACATGCTCCATTTCGATCTGCTTGATATGCTTCGGAGTTAGGAGGATTGGAGTAACGATTAATATGGATCCCACGATACTGCTCTTTGCGTTTTCTTTTGCTCTTTTCTTAGCACTGCGAAAAACCGGAATCTGGGGTATAATCTGAATGGAACATATGTTCAATGTCCATGTTCCGCTGGATCTGTGAAAGAACGACACAGATGCGAAAAATATAGAAATTTTGAAAAAATACGAAAAGTATACTTTTCACGGATATCAAAAGATGGGAAAAAGATCAAAACAAAGTCTTCTGGGATAACGCCACAGACGCCTTTCCCATTTTGTCGTAAAAAAGGGGCGTCTTATACCAAGAAAAAAAACACAAAAGGGGTATAACCTACCCCGTTAGAAGAAAAAAACCAAGACTTCAAGTTATCCTTTAACCTCACTTTTCGAAATTAACCTAGGCCCTTCCAGCCCTACTCCTTAAATACGCTGCAACTTGCTCATGCCGGGTGACAAAGAACATCCGCTTCCTCTCAGACTTCCATACCAAAACCCCAATTTCCTCTGCATATCTGCACGGGCCCTCAAATTCCGCTAGGCTAACGAAGTCCTTAAATAAGAAGCCTGGCGTAGCTTTTATTCGATCCCGCTCTAGCTGCCAGAGACGGATCTGATCAACAACGGTAGGCGGGAGAACGGTGTGTACGCCGACGGGGTTCGCGCCGGGCTTCGTTGCGTGGTACTTTCGCATTTGCGGGTGGGCGTGGGTGGTTAGATATGAGATGATTTGGTCGGCCGTGATGCCCATTTCCACGGCGCGTCGGACGGATTGACGTGTCAGCTTGCCTGTGATGAGGTTGGGGAAGCGATATTTTAGACTTGTGAAGAGGGCGATTAATGAGATTTGGAGTGGGGATGAGGTATACGCGTATAGACGGTAGTTTGTTTCTATGATTATGAAGCCTGTTGAGGGTTCGTTGGAGGTTGCGCTGGGCACTCCGTTGGGCGCGGTTAAGCTGCTCGAGATGGAGCTGCCGAGGGTTATAGAGTCGGAGGTTAGGGTTGTGGCTAGGCGGGTAGGGTAGAAACGAGTTGCTTCTTGGTGCGGAGAATGTTGGTATACAATGCCGAAATCAGTAAGATCAGCCAGGGTCTTGAGTTGAGTGGATGTGAGATGTTTTTTTTCATATGATTGCCCGAGTTCGAGGCTGCTGAGGACGAAGAGGAAAGATAAAACTTCGATGCTGTCCATGCCTATTTGCTCTGCATTTTCGACGTAGAGGATTAAGATGTGCCAGACTTGGGTGTTAAGGTCCTGTAGGACGAAGGCGAAACCATCCTTTGTGATTTCAACTCTTCGGTCGCGGACTTCCACGAGATGGCAGGCTTGGAGAAGTTGTTTGACACCCTTACTTAACGTGACTGCCTGCTGTACTCCCAGAGCGCTAGTTCCAACCATATAACCTAGAACGCCTTCCCACTGACTTCTTGCATAGTAGTCAAGTTGAGCAACGGTCATAGAGTTTTCATCGTCGGTTAAGGACGGGACTCCAAAAGATTGTTGTTTATCTCCTCCTGTAAGAGCCTGTCGAAGTGATGACGAGAACGGATCCGTAACAGTATATGCCCTGACATTATCCGATGTTGTGGTATTTGAGAGGATATGGAGCCGGCCCAATATCGATAGCGCGTTGTCTCTCTCGCTTCAAATACCGCGCAATTAGTATCAAAATCTTGAGTATTGATAACTATATATTAAACCTTTGCACTCACCGTTTGCTCTCGGCCTTCACCCATAGTTCTAGATCTGCTGCAGGGAGGGGATCCTTAAGGTATAGAAGCGCCATGACGAAGCATTTTGCTATTTGGTATTAGCTATCTCATACTGAATATCGTCCTATAGAAAAACCTGTATTGCGCATTACCCAGGTACGGCAACATTCGCCGGAAGATTGCTAGAGCTGTGGATGGTTGCTGGTAGAGTCTGCGGAAGACTGTTCCTGGCAGACTTTCCAGGTATTCCATCGAGCGGGAAGAGGACGCAGCCATTTTCACTCTCTGCCGGAACAGTGGCTCTGGGCCCCAGTCGCCGTTCTATATATCACCGATCTATCATAGTGATACCAATCGGGCGCGGGATCGAAGTTTGCAAAGCCCAAGGCAGTAACTGGCAGTGTCTCTGGCAGTGTCTCTGGCAGGAAGCTCAGACGGTTTGGAAAAGAGAGAAGTTGATATTTGTACGGCAGGCGGGGCTCGCCAAGAGTGCATTTCCATGCGATTATCTAAGCGTCGGCTATTGCGCTTCTCGTTTAATCTTATTGGAGAGGCGAAGATCTAGAACAACCTGGAGGGCTATCTCAAGCTTCAACACATCCTTTGTTCGGTGCTTGGTCGTTCCAAAATGAAAACCTTAAAATTTGTTCAATCAGTAAGTATTTACATGTTTAAGCTGCTAATTCTCATTTCAGCAGTTAATAATTCCATTTAAATAGGTCTGGCAGTCCTTCCGGACAACATCCGGCTTAGAACCCAGGTATTCATCTGCTTTCAGACAATTGGAATGACTGATAGGGAAAAATGCATAGTTGATGACCAGTCGTTGCGTATAGATTGCTGGATAAAGTATGTGGCTATGCCGATATCCATGAATGATAATTACCCTTTGCAGTTGCTGCAATTCAGTCCCACAACTCGAATCGTCCATCTCAAGCTTGATCTATACAAACCCCAATCTAATGAGAGAACTGATATAACATCCTGAATATCAATAGCTCCGCGTGACAGCTGCACGCCCTGGTGTTGTGAACTTCGAACTAGATATTGAGAAAGACCATACGGTTTGTGTTTCCCATCGCTGTAGTGCTGGCGGGAAATTTAACTAATATATTCCTGTTTCTTTATAAGAATCGATTGGGTATACTCCATGGAGGCACGATTGCCAGCATGGGTACGTGAAATACACCATCGTTCTGTTGTCATGCAATTAACTTTCGTTGATGTTATATTCCGTAGTCGATCTCGGCGGATCGCTGGCCATTGCTTCGATGGGATTATTCTCTACTGGTGTCTCAACAGATCTTCAAGGTTTGTTTTGAACTTGCTCAAAGCTAAGGATTGAATTCTCTGGCCCCAAGCTCTAATTTCATCACCAGTAACATACCTCAGTTCTGGGGGTAATATTGGGGATAAGATTCTGGCGGTAAGTTAGACGGGTTTGCTCTCCCCGAACCCTTATCTCGAGCTCAAGTCACTCAAGACCTCAATTAGGAGGTTACATGCGACAAATGTATGCTTTAATCCATTCTCCCAGTCTCCGGCTCAATGACCTCACCATATTAAAACTACTATATCTCAGTCGGTAAAACACTGGCATTCACATCGATAAAGTTCACCAACACCAATCACAAAGTTTTGGCACGGGGGAGCCATACAAAGTATGTGAACAGCTTTCTCAACACACGATACAGTTGCTCTTTACTCTTGTTTTTCTCCCTTTGTCGGGCCCGTTTTCCTTTGGATTGAGTGGCACTATTCTAACGCCGAGCGCCTAGATTTGTTGCTATCGCATTCAAAGACCCGAAGAATATTGTCGACCAGCTGAAGCCGGAAAATGGGGAAGAAGTGAAATTTTAAGTATTCTACCGAGCCTGAAGCTATCAGATGTGCTCTTGAGGCAGGAGGAAAGAGGAGCAAATCGGTTGCGAAGGCCGATCTGGGTAGGCATGCATGCTAGTTAAGTTAAGGAAACCAACGGTGCCCTGATATGATAGCTGAAGGAAAGACAACTTTTCCACGTTGGATAAAATAAGCAGGGGATGGAAGACAATAGACTTTGTACACATACATACATGTACAGTACATACTAAGGAAAGAAATTTGGAGAAAACAAAATGCCAGGATATATGGCATACCAACAACATCCTATACCTGAAACTTTGAATTGAACAATATAGTCATGGGGCTTGATAGGAAAGAGAGAAAGCCAAACCGGTGTTCAAGTAGTATTTTATGGGGATAATCATTAAGTGTACAATTTATCGCGTAACGTTAGAGTAAAAAGTTGGAGCTACCTATATCCCAGTATGCCCCCCAGATATACGAAAGCCAAAAGACGTATGTGAAGAAAGCGTCAAGAACAGACGAGGCATTTCAAGAGTCATATATTCCAGTATTGCTTCGAGGAAAAATGAAGGTCAAATACATTTCAAACAACGTTAAAGGCAAAGGGAAAACTCCCTTCAGAATGATACCCATGCATACCAAAGTGAGAAGAATAAAAGGAAGAGAAAAAGAAAGAGAAAACTCTCAAAATAAACCTAGATGTTTTCTCAATTTTAATCAAGAATACTCTCTGGCTGTACAAACCGCTCTTTATCCTCATCGTCCTCATCCTCCCCTTCTTCACCAATAGTTGCCATGACCTCATCGGCATCCGTAGCAGGAGCCGCTGCGCTACCCTCCTCCGCCAAAGCTTTAATCTTCGCCTGGGTCATTTCGTATACGTATTGACCCAAATGTTCAATGCCCTCCATTGGCGTGCTAGCGGCATCTTCCACAAAACCTCGTGAAGTTGGGAAGAGTTCACCGGGAATAAGCATGAGCTTATCTGGTCTCCGGAAGAGAATGTCAAAGGCTGGTTTGAGTTCAAAGCATGATTCGAAGATCTCCCGGCGGCCGAGGATGTAGAGACCTAGCCGGGCGCGCGAGAGAGCGACGGTGAGACGACGGACGTCGCGAAGGTAGCCAACTGTCCGTGTACGCGTGAGGGAGAGGAGGACATCTGTTTTGTTTTGTTGGATATGAGATTCGAATACTATTAAATTTTGCAGGATAGGGTTAAGTCATTTCGGGATATGTTTAAACTTACAGTCATTTTGCTCTCCCTGATACTTGTCCACCGTCGTTACAATTTTCGGTAAGCCGAATAGAGAATTCTTGGCGCACCTATGGTGCAGAACATCCTTGATCAAAGCCCTTTGACCTGCATATGTTGTCAGAATTGATATCTTCGATGCTGGATAGCCAAGTAAACGCATGTACTGATATATGGCAACAGTGTACTCCGCCTCCCCAAGATTTTGAATGAAATGGGCTGAAGGTTCTCTTTCCCCAAACCCCTGATAATCCGGAACGTTAATAAACTGGTAGTCAAATTTGAAACCAGCATTGGCAAGTTTGAACTCCTCGTTTGTTTCCACAGCTGGCAAATTTCCCAGGCGTGGGTATCTCCATTTAAAAAGTTCTGCAATTGATGGCCGTGACCGACCCTGTTGATCCAGGTTTATTGTTGGTACACCCAATCTTACGAGACGGGAGAAGAGTGTTTGTTCAAAATTGGCGTATTGTCGGAAAGCCATGTTCTGAACTATAGGAGAGTTTTGGAGATGATCGCCGCAAAGCACTACTCGTTTCAATGGCAGTTCACCGTTTTTAGGATTTTGAAGCGCACAAGGAATAAAACTTTCGATCTCCGTCACCTGAGCCGCCTCCTCCATGACGATATTATCATAGTGGAATCCAAGGTTGGCAATTTCTTGTCTTCTCATAGCTGCATGGGTCGAAGTCATGGCAATGATTCGCGCTTCTTTGACTAGAAGATAGTTCGCTTTGTCTCGCTGGAATCTGAGTATCTCGAACGGACGGATATTTTCAAGTTCAGAAAATAATTTGTCCAAGTGCCTTTGGCATCCAGAAGCAATATTAAGCAACTCTTCTTTTGACAAATTCGGATCAAAAAGTGGTTTTGGGGTATTTGAGAAAAATAAGTGGAATGGGAAGGCGGCGATAACGGTTTCGCCGGGACAATCTTGGGCCTGAACTTTATCCCAATATTTAGTCCATGCTGGTCGAATGTATACTGTGTTGAAATAGCCTGCCGTCTCGCAAGAGTTCCCATGAGCCCCTTCCACTCCAATTGAAGCAGCCAGCCGATCTACTTCAGCAAGATAGCTGCCCCTGTTCTCGAGAAAAGTATCCACTCTACCGTATTTGCTGTAGCTCTCCTCGGTGTCCAACTCCTCCTCTCCACGACCTAACCGCAAGAGATGGCGCTGGTCAATATCTAGGGACATAATCTTTTGGAAAAGCTGGTTTAACGCTTGGTTACTATGAGCGATAAGTAATGTCCGCTCATTGGGGAAATTGTGATAAATATTGCTTATAATTTGAGTTGCAACGTCAGTTTTGCCTGTTCCCGGGGGTCCAACGATAACTGTCAATCCGGGTTGGGTGCCAGAGACAATGGCCTCCACCTGGGCAGGTGTAAACCGAATCGTGTTAAGTTTTGGTGCATCAACCGGATAAGGCCCTGGGTTAGGTGGTCGGTACGAGGAAACACGTATCGAGCTTGGGGCCTTCTCAACAGCTTCAATCTGATCTCGTCGTCTCTTCTTCGATGCGTTCGAGGTTGTGGCTTTGCGGTCATCATCGAACATCTCCAAGACATACGGAGGGTCAAAGTGAGAGACTGCACCTCCGGCTGATTCAATTGTTTGGCCTGGGAAGCTTTGGATGAGGTGGTCCCAATTCAAAAATGTATCGCGGAAGTCGACAGATTTCACTTTATTAATGAGTTCTGTATATCTAGCACTAGCCGGATCTCCGTAGCCAAGGAAAACCTCCTGTATCCATGACGGAAGATTTGTGTTCGCGACTGTTAGGAACTGCATGGTTTCAAGGATAGGTTTGAAATTGTTTTCCCTTGCCCTTCGCCTAATAATCACATTGATGGATGTGTATACGTCGGATTTCCCTTTCGCAAGGTTTTCCATATCGGTTTTATATGATGCTGCATCGAGATTTACAAGTAATCGTCGAAGGCGCGGTCGCAGCCGATATCCGTTAGTTTCCTCGGTTTGAGGCTCCCTTAAAAATCGCCCGTTCTCGTCGAGAACGTGCACAACTTCCGCCGTTCGGACATATAACAAGCTCACTTCATCTTTCGGATCTCGGCTATTGCTAATTATCTGCTTAACCGATTTCTTGGGTTGCAGCGCAAGAAGGAAAACGACATCATCAGGCCGAAGTGTTTCCCATTCCCTGCGAACATTATCACCAAGGCGGCTGACGTCCAGTGCAATTTCAGCACGAACATATGCAGGGTTAGCTGACCCAACTTTTGCCGGCGCAACCTCAATTATTGCCGGCTTTGCAATCGGTATTGCCATTTTCGAGAATCCTTCAAATGATACAGTCCCGGTATTCCTCTGAAGGCGTGGCTGTAATCGCTTTATCACCAATTCGAGGTCCTTTCGAATCTCAAAAAATGATTCGGAGCGGTAGAGCAAGAACGATCGCCATAAGAAATCGCCAAGACTCAAATACTGTAAATTTAATTTTGGAATGGCCAATGGCCGAGAGCCATCATAGGACTCATTGCGAATAAGAGCAGGGTCGTATAGGTTCGATTCCGTAGGCATAATGGCCAATTGCTCTGCGGACTCTTGGAAGGAACGGTGGCGCTCGAAAGTTGAGAGCATAATTTCGAGAATTAGTCGCCGATCAGGGATAATACCAGATTGTTCAGGATAGCTTGTTCTAAATCCAATATGGGAACAGAGGGCCAATAATTCTGCATCAGTTAAGGTCGACAAATGAGCCTCTAATTCATTCCGTTGCTCGATTGAACCATAGTTCGACAATGCCAAAATGGTGAGTTTATCTTTGAAATGCTTGATTGCTATTCTTTGAAGGTGAGCCAGCCCTCCACAGTGAGCATCGTAAACGGCCTGAGGAGACTGGTGCTCGCCAGACTGATCGTCTACCGCGAAGTTAATAAAGTGCCTGAGGAGAGTATAGAAATCACGGAAGAGCGCATTTGATTCTTCGTTGTAGAGTCTCGACACACGAATTACTGCAAGGAGGTTTAAATCCTTTAGCATAGAATTGAAGTATCGCCTTGTTGGAAGCTGGCTGTCCAGATCGACAAGGAATTCCATAAATCGTTCACAATATCGCACATTGTCCAGATCGCTGCAATCAGCCACGTTGATTCGTTGGAGGAAATCGAGTAACATCGAGTACAGCCAAGAACGCTCAAATCGGAATTTTGCCTTTCCGCTATCATCCGCTTTCTCGTACCGCTTTACAGCCATTCGCCATCCCCTCTTCAATGCGTCCGATTGTTCAAGGAGCCTGTTCCTTGAAGCATCATTGTGAAGATTGTGCCATATAGATATCGTGACCAACGGAGCGCATTCCTTGCGAATAAGAGCATATTCTAGCGATCGAAAGGCACTGATAACAAATGATAGTAAATATGTTTTGGATTTCGTTGGTAACGTTGTATCGAGGTTCATAGCAAGGATGCGGCGGAAAAGGTTAGAGAAGTCCGTTGGTCTCTCCGTGAAGTGCTCTGCAACTGAATCAGTAATTTGTCTCTATGACATCTATGCGGCTTCTAGATCACATTACCCCATATTGGTAAGTGTTCCCTCTGTTTTACCCCCGCGATCACAGCAATGAGAAGGACATGGTAATTGGAAGAATCTTCGGAGTATGTTGGCCACAGAAACCTAGGTAAATTGCACGGATGTCAGCATGATTTGGTTTGGAAAACAAAGAAAAATGAAGAGAATGTAATCTACTTTTCAAGTATATGAAGATTTTCCAATATCAGAAGAGAACGAACAGCAAAATTTTCTGACACCAAGCCATCCCAGAGGTCATTCTTTATCACCTCAGGCTTTGCTTTCGGAGCTTTTGAGAGCTTCATCCAGTGGGTTTTGGCCAAATTCACCCACCGGCTCTCCTCCTGGAGGTCATTCAGCGTCGGGCGAATATCGAAGCTCTGCGCCATTGCTGGACGCATTTGGAGTCCCATTGCAGTCTGCTTGACGGAATGCGCTTGAAGTTCAACAAGGTCGAATGTCGCCAAACAACAAAAGCGGTTTTAGGAAACGCTCAGAAATCGTCCGTGCGCGATTTGTCACCCTCCGTAGACAAAGTCAAACTGCCAATCTGCTAAGCTAACTACAAGACATTACCTTAACAGTTCTTGAATGCGCTGAAATACGAGGCAGTCCAATTACAACCATCGTTCTGTGTAATTATGGCTGGGGAAAATATCGCTTCTGTGAAGGTCTACCAGCAATTAGTCCAGGGCCTTCTAGATAAGGCAACGGAGATCAAGAGGGACTGCAGCATCGAACCCCCTTTGACTGATGCCGACCTTGGCGATGCGATACGGCGAATACAACAGGACCAAGAGAGTGGACTAAAGGAGCAGAGCCAACAAGCTCAGTACGCAGTGGTCGAAACTGCCTTTCGGGAAAAGTTCTATGACCTTCTTGTCAGTAACGCTCCTTCAAAACCAGCTGCTTGTATTATTTCCCAGCTAACCAAACTTCGAGGTAGGCCACAACATCGATTGATGAACCTTCGTTTATTCAAATGTGGAACCTTCTAGATATTGTATCGATATTTTCGGATAATGGTGAGTTCCATGCGCAAAATATTATTTGGGGATTAGCGCTGATATGCTTTGTAGAGCAGTGCGAACCCGGGCTTCTATTCTGGCTTATTGAAGAGCTGCTAGACAGCCAAACCATCGATGGCTGTCGCAAGGTATTTGATTACCTAGAGTCGAGGAGAGAAAGAAATACTGCAGTAAGTTTTGATTCCTGAGAGTTTCATTGCGAAAATCTACTAACGGCTGATGGTTTCAGAAACATTTTAAACAGAAGAGCTTGATTATACTACGATCGTGCAACGAACTCCTGCGACGGCTTTCGCGCGCCGAAGATACGGTATTTTGCGGGAGGGTTTTCATATTCCTCTTTCAAAGCTTCCCACTAGGAGACAGAAGCTCTGTCAACTTAAGAGGTGAATTTCATACTGAAAATGTGACTACCTTCGATGAGCTTCCCAAAGCTCAAGAGTCCAGCGAAACCCCGATGGATATTGATATTCCCGAGAAAGAAATTACGGCGGATACCAAAACCGAATCCGCACAGGTCACAAAGCAAGAACCCGCCGGACAAATAACTCATCCAGCTGCTGTTGAAAGCCTGCAAATTTCAAAGACCGACGCAATGAAACCCGTCGAGTCAGAACCTAACTCAATCCTGTCTATGGATGACCTATACCCTATTTTTTGGAGTTTGCAAACCAACTTCTCTTCGCCAACTTCTCTATTCGATCCTTCCAATTTTGCAGCTTTCAAAGCGGGCCTTGAGGCGTCCCTCTCTGTCTTTCAAAAGGTAAACGCCGATATGGAGGTCCGAATGATGAAAGGGTCAGAAGAAGCGCGTCGTGGGCCCAAACGCAGGCGCATAGGTGACGGCACGGAAATGACGAACAGCTTCAACCCGAAGTACCTAACGAGTAGAGATTTGTTTGAATTAGAGGTTGGTAGGATTCGCGTGGCGGTAACCGGCCGGGAACACAATTACTGATTTATTCTAGATCAACGATGTCGCTTTCCGGAGACATATCCTAGTCCAATCTTTGATTCTTCTTGATTTTGTCCTCTCGCTCACACCGAAAGCTAAGGCTAAATTGGCGGATTCAACAAACAAATCAGTTCTCTACAATTACGTTCTTAATGACGAAGATGTAAGCTTTCCCATACTTTTTTCAAAATATGTCGGATCCTGACCATTTTCCAGACGAAGTGGGCGTCGCAAATGAAAACTTCCATTGCGACCTATTTGCAACAAGGTTCAGAAGGGAAATTTTATTATCGAATGGTGGACACTGTTCTTACTCGGGACAAAAACTGGGTTCGATGGAAGGCAGAAGCATGTCCTCCAATCGAGCATACCCCAGTTTCAATCCAAGACTATTTGGATACGCAGACTAGTGCAATTAAGGTATCGACGAGCAAACGACTTCGATCCACTCCCTTGGGTTCCCTAGACCTCAACTTTCTCATGGAAGATAAAAATAGCAGCAGAGTAGACCGTCTTAAACATCCAGACAGGTGAGTAACAATGACGTAACCCCAAGGAAAATCTAGCTAGAGCTAAATCCTATCGAATTAAAAGATTCTCCACTCCAGCGTTAGATTTTTATCTACGCGGCATTGCAGACGATGAGTTCAATATTGATATGTCCCAGTCGCGAGAAGAGAAGGATGAAGCGATCAAAGCAAAAGCAAGCAAGACCTGGAGAACGCTACGTCTTTCCTCTCGCAGTAAACTAGCGCTGTTCGACAAAATCGAGGACGGAAACAATCTCAAAGTTCTTTTTGAGCTGCCTGCTTCTCCAGAAGATACACCAACCGCGGCCAACAAGCAAAAAGTTGCAATGGAAAACGGGGTCAATGGTCAAGAGGGATCTTCCAAAAGTACGGAAGTGAAAGGGGAAGAGGCAAAGGAAAACCAGCCACCTGTATCATCAGATGGAACAGCCCATCAGCAACGTTGAGAGTCTTAATCGAGGGTGATACATTTTGAATATGCATTCTATAAAGTGCCCTAGCGACGGCAAATTTAGACTTACTCGATTCGGGCGACTGCGGCGGTACAGGTTGCACAATACGAATGGGCGTCAATGGAAAAGCAAGATGACTAACACCGCTCGAAATCTGGCTCACCCTTAAGAGGATATGCCTCATATCGCGCAAACGCTTCCTATCATTAGTTACAAAACGAATTCAACATGTCGTCACGGTCCTTGCTCAACATTACCACCTCAAGAACGATCGGCTCCACTTAGTCGTTGCCATATCGAAAGGGCATACTGGCGCCTTGCTGTGTTTTAAGCAGAGCCGGGCAACCCAACACCCACGCAGGGGTAGAGGACAAGCGAGTTGATATGTGAGAAACTTTTCAAGATTGCCGAATAATGCGCAGCAGGGGCATGCTGTTATGGTATGATATGCTATGTTAGATTTTTGGCTCACAAAACAAATGGACAGAAAATGGACAGAAACTTGTTTGGGGGAAGTAAATGATTAAATCTAAGAGCCAATAAGGCCACTTTGCTTCCTGCGATGCTTGAGATCTTTTCTTTTTATTATTTTCTTTTTTCTTTGATGGAGGTGGAAGGTTGGTTCACTTTAGCTATCTGGCATACGCAGCACCAAGCGCGAGTCATGTGGTCATAGCGAGAGCGCCAACATTTCTGTCAATTTTAGGCTATGACGTGAAAGGAATAGACCTCATCAGCTAAGGCTACAAGTCAACCAATGTGGCAATGACAATAAAAGAGAAAAGAATAAGAAAAGAAACCAAAACCAATGGAAATATAGGAACGATCCCCACTCGAAACTCCAGTTGCAAATGAGGGATGCGTATGCAGACCATTCATATACTTCTAGAACCTAGACAGAACATCGCAGAAGAAGCTGCCAGGCGAAGCACTCCAGCAGATTGTGGTTTCTGGTTTTTTTAAACTCTATAAGTTCCAAACCCTCTGTGTGAGCTAACTTACTTCATGCAGGACTGATATAGTTTTTTCCCCTTCATTAATTCTAGACAGTCAATGGCTTTTTGCCCCTGTCTGTATCCCATCTAGCCTGCTCCTTATTGAGCGTCTTCATGCCGATTACAAAATTGGCCGGGAGCAAGATCTGACATTTCAAAAAGGGCTGGGCTGCCCAATTTGAGAGGGGGAAGTATCTTAGTGTCACCAAGCACTTCGTACTTCCTTCTCGGCTGTAATGGCGAGAAAATTGGTAAGCCATCACAAGAGGGAAGTAAGAGGTGGGTACATTGGTATGGGACCCGAATCGCTCTTTCAGGATGTCATTTTGCTCATGCATAGCAAAATATCGAAATATCGAAGCCATGAGCAACGATACAGCCTTTGCTTAAGACGCCATGCACACGTAACAGGCCGTGGATGAAAAATTCAGTCTGAAAATGACTGTGAATTTTTGTTATATATGGGGATCTTCTTCCTTCGATTGCTCGCACATTTCCCGTATTCCAACCCAGAGAAACACTGATGTGTTAAAGTACAAGGGTTGCATTGCATGAGACTCGCAGAGTGGTTTTGGCGTAGTCCAAGGCAAGTGGCGCCAGGTTTCGCTCGTTGTTGGTCAACATAACCATGTTATCTGGACGTGTCAAGACTCAGTGTCTCCGCTTTGAGCTATATCTTTCATTCTTTCGCCAGCAACTGCCAACACTGACAACACAGTTTTGACACCAAGGAGTTACTGATCTCATCATCATCATCATCATCATCATCATCATCATCATCATCATCATCATCATCATCATCATCATCATCATCATCATCATCATCATCATCAGGGTTGGGAGGTTTGGAGCTCACCTGCATTCCTTGGCCTTGCATCAATGGCAGCGTATTTCCGAGTATGTTTTGTCACCATCTTTCCCCGTCTTTCCCCATCGTTGCCAGCGAAATATGGAGACAGTCTGTGCACTTTTGCTGGCTGGTGCCTGAGCCTCTTCTGTAAAAATGCAATCTTGTAGGAAGGCGTTGCCACTACGCCAAAAGGATCAATCATTATGTTAGCTTTCTCTTCCTCAAGATGGATATATATGCATGATTCACATCTTCACTCCACCGAACGCCGTCCGCCTAGGCCCTCCTGACACGACACCACACCTTGTTCACATTGCGAGAATTGGTTGTAAGAATTCTTCTTTATCCCTTTCTGCTTTGGTATGGTTGCTCCGAGCACCGACACAGTATCATAGGACATGATAGACCTTAATTGTGTGGCTAAAACACCCTTGATAAGACAGTGATACTGTTAGGCCATTGGAGCAAAAGAGCTCAATCACCACCAGCGCCATGCCGGTAGTAGAGGGGACGAACCAATCCAAACTCACAACAGATACGGTGTCAGGATCAGGCCAGAATGTGCGCCTGGGGACAGACAAATAGTAGGCATACATGATTCTGGAAATTTAGCGGCTGGCCCCCTCACCCCACCATTTCCTTTGGCATGCTGCATTCTTCTCCCAATCGCTGGGCGTGGGTTTTCTCTGGAGAGCCGGTGGAATTGTAGGCCGCTATCCTTGACTGCAACCATCTTTGTCCCTCAAACTCACATTCATTATCCGCAATTTCGGCGTTTTTGACAGGGGTACTCCGTAAGGGGGGAAGAGTTAAAAATTTCAAGGTAAAATGAACTGTTGAAGAGTTGGTACATTGCATCATGATGTTTGCAAAGTGACTGCTTTCCATGTATCACACTCCCTTGGTCATGGGCGGACTGTCTTATCTGTCCATTGACCAAGTCCTGATTATCTACTCCCCGTTAAGGCACACGCTGTTACAGCAATCTATGATATTTCCGCGACGTCTCTCGCCTTGTTTCCCGAGTGTTTCCTTCCGCGTTCTTAGGTAAAGAAAATGGCCTTGCATCTGCTTCATTCATGGATTTTACAGGCCCTAGATCGGCCTATACATAGTAAACTTCGGCGCTCTTAAGTCAATACCACAAGAAGCCTGGTATCCTGGGTGTCCCAGGTCCCCCTGACATGCCAACTGCGTTAAGTTAAAGCTTCACGCTGGGTGCCACCACTGCGTTCGTGTAACCTCCGAAATCTGACTCCAGGGTAAAATCATGGAGAAAAATCCTGGACGACCCTTACGCTTTAGCACATTTCCAAGTTTCGGTCTCCAGTCTGGTGGCACCATTATTGGGATCCTATCCAGACCGTGTTCCCCAGTGACCGATGTAGTGGATCCTGATCGCTCTCTTCAGACGGAAGGGTCGAGCCCTAATGTTTTAACAGGATAAAGAAACTGGTTGATTTTTATTTTTATTTTTTTTTTATTTTATTTTATTTTTTTTGTTTTTATTACTTTTTACGGCAGTGTTACATTGTAACTACACACACCTATTTATCATATTCATTCTATTTGTAATTGAATAGAGCTTGTTGATTATCAGAAAGCAATGCATTGCTAGATATCATCTTCAATATATATCATCACAGTGATAAGATAGCACTATAATCACTAGATTATTCATAGCAAAAAGGAATAATTGTGCTCATAGTGATATGTATAACTATTGGATGTAAGTGGAATTAAGTAATTACAGTGGAAAACATCAAAAAACCGTTTGGACACATTTGTCACTATAGGCTGCCGTACTTTTGTTATTTTTATTTTTTTTATTTTTATTTTTCAATTATGCATTCGTTCCCAATAACGTCAGCCCCTTGACAGCCGAAATTTTCCAATGTCCACTGCGACTAAATTTCCGTCGCAGATGCTGACACGCTCCCTGAGCCATTGTGGAAACTCCTTGCTTGCCGAGTGCATCCAAACCTGGCTGGGTATGGAGGACGAGACACCCACCATCCGCAAGAGCTGTTTCAACCGGTTTGAATGGGACGCATTTGGACGTGCTGTGGTAGTTCCAACAACAATGCTAACTCATCGGGGATAAGCCGGCAGCATTAAGTACGCTCGTCGCAGTAAACTAGAAGGATGGGTTTAAATATCTAACCCCCCATCCGGGGTATCTTCAGGTCAAACCATGTTCCCCAAGCCCGAGTCCACTTTTCTTCATGGAAGCAAAGCTGAGCTATCCCGCGATTTCCCTTTCTTTGTCCCTTGTGCACTATTCTATCTATCTCAAAAAGGGGCGGATTCGCAGAAACTGACCCAGCAAGTCAAGTGCACTGCTTGGAAGAAACCATGAAAGCCTCTTATGCTCAGCGGCGGCCTTGACTTCTTAACAGGATGCTCTCAGGCTGGGCACCAACTATTTTGATATCCATGAGCAACGAGTCCTGCAGTAATACAACGTGGTCAGAACTTTTCTGCGCTTATTTTGCCTCTTTGCATAATTCCCAATAAAGTGTGTGTGTGTGTGTGTGTGTGGGGCCGGACTCCTTTTGTTTGTGTGGAGTAAATATTCGACCATTTCAATAGAGCGAACGAATCGACTACCCAGTTTGGAGTGCAGAAATTGCCGCTTCCGAGTTCTCCCTCATGCTGCAGCTCTCATGACTAGGTTTATCATCCTTGCCGTCAACTCTCCGTTACTCTCGTTTGCTCCGGGTTCCTTTTCGGCCAAGCGATTCGCATTCCATTTACATTGGCATCGTATATCGATTGCCATTCAAATGCCAAACTACGCCCAGGTTGAAAACGGAGCCGATGGATACTATTTCCGCATCTTTCAAATGCATCTCCAGCACCACAGGTCGATGGTGCTGTATTTCCTTGCCCCAATCTCCTCTTCCCTCTCCCCCTTCCTCTCACCTCTGCTGGACAGCGTCCTTTCATTCTTGAACATGAATACCTGAAGAGTTTACCCGAATTTTGCCCTTATCCGGTGTCGCCAGATAGGTAGCGCCTCGTCAACCTGGGCTGTGGCTGGACTTGTTTGTTCCGGACCGCCTTTCCTGGTTAACTTTTTTTGAAACTGGTTAATTTTTATTTTTACTCCTTGATCATTAGGCTCCGGAGGTGGTGGTAATGAGAAATTACGACAGATTTCTGTAAAACGAACTACTCGGAACCAGTTGTTGAACTTTTGGCGCGCGGCACAGGAACTGATATGGAGATGATTGGAATTTCCCCAAAGCCAAGTTCAAAAGGAAAAAAAAAAAAATTTTTTGTCAGACCCGATCCTGTGCCACCATGTTATAAGTCAGGCGTTGGTGACTCGCGACAACCTTATTAGGCTATCTAGCTTCAACAAATAAATTCAAAGGATATTGGGGGCAAAATTGTTTCAACCTTCATGCCACTGGGTAAATCTGGGGGTTTTTATGGGAACACGACATTGACCTTTGTGCTCTGATTATCCCGTTTTAACCCCATATTCCTATAGATAGGCGCACGATTGCCTAACAGTTGAAACCCGATCGAAGCGCATATGGTGCTACAATAGCTCTCGGTGATGGCGCCATTCATATCCACCATTCCCATATGCCGGGTCAATGCTAGTTGGCATAATCAACAACTAGAGTGCCTACCGACAGGTTCCGAGCCGCGAAGTTTCCGGCTATTCCCAACTGTTATGAAAGACCACAGTCCATTCCAAATCAACGTGATCGAGCAGAAAGAACAAAAAGTGCATTTAAGTGTTCCCCCTGTCTGTGAAACCACAGACCCTCTCGCGTTGCATTTCAAGGACAATGGCGACTCAGAGGCTCAGAATGAGATAAGCAATAAAAGATCAATATTACCTCAAGCTAAAATGAAATATCTGGAGGGTGAACTGGAGTTTTCAATGCGATCCACTCCCAAGAATTCGACATCAGGAGCCTCCTTGATCTTCAACCGTATCGAAAGCGACAACATTGAAACCAACGATGACGACACTGGAGATGATATCGACATTAACACAGGTGTCGACCAATTTAAGACTCACGTGGACCACGAGGGCCAGGGGCAACGTCGATCTGGGGGGCAGAGCCTTGCAAAAGCAACAATCGACCGTCTGAAAGCGAAGAGGAGGATGAAGCGCTTTCGGCAGGTTATTCCCCAAAGATCACGACATACTTGTAGACATTGGCTAATCGTAACCCCCAGACTCTCGCATAATCAGACACGATTTCTCATGAGCGAGTTTACTCGCCAAGCGCATCCGGATGCTGCCCATAGGGAGCGCTTATCAAAGGAGATCCCGGGTTTGAGCCCGCGTCAGGTGCAGGTTTGGTTCCAGAATCGGTATGTTGCCTGTTCTTAACGCGGGCTTGCTTTTCGATTCGTCACATTGCTTACAAAACTGGTAGAAGAGCCAAACTAAAGCGTCTAACTAGCGACGATCGAGAAAAGGCGTTGATACCTAGAACATTACCTGATGGTTTTGATATCACGGAAGACATTTATTCCCTTTACGGGAGTTGGCACCAGTCTTCTAACAACGCTCTCACTCACGCTGGAATTTACTCCAACCCCATTCAGAAAGGAAATAGTTTTACGCCTTTAATATCGGTTATCACGAGAAAACCATGCGACGAAGACTATACGACATCTCCGTTAAGCGCTTCTTCTGCCTGTGATGGTTACTTCCCGTCGCCAACGTCAGCTCTAGCTACTGGGTCAGAACATGAAACTCCGCCAATAACAATAGGAGATGATAGCTCGTCCCGTTTCGCATTATTTTGCAACCCGCAGGCATCAGCTCTCCGATATATGAGTCCAAGCACAAGAACCAGCAACTTTTCTCATTTTTCTTCACAATCATATTGCCATCATGTCCCTGATTTATTCCAACCTATCACAACAAATCCAAGGACAGTATCATTAGAATCCTCGTACGAACAAAATTTGTCGTATAACCAAACCATATCGGGTTATGGAACACCAGATGCCACTTCCCCGGTAGTAGATATGCCATATCGTAGTACTCACTCCTTTGACACCATTCCCCCGCAGCCGTGCCTGATAGGCAATTTGAGCCCAACACGTAAGTACGAATCTAGTAGTCTACCAAACATAGGACACGTGGCTTACGACATTATACCAGCTCACAACCAATTTCGAAAATCTGAGCCCTCCAGACCATCATCCCTTTGGCTTCAAACAGCTCCAACCAACCTCCGTCCCGATTGCATTTGAATATGGCATGCTGCAAATGAGGTGACCATGGGCTACAGTCAGATCGCCTGCCACACAACACTGCCAACAAAGACCAGATATCTCCTTTAGATAGCACCTTCAGCTCGAACCCATGCGGTGTTTCACTTAGCAAGTGCAACTTTTCATCATTGAGCCTCCTGGCGTCCTTTATTCCCTTTTAACTCGAATGAAAAGGGTGGCCCCATCCCCACCAAAAAAAAGAAAAGAAAGGAAAGGAGAAGAAAGTAGTAAAAATGGGGGAAAAACGAAAAACATGTTTCTTTTCCCAGTAAAGGGCGCTTGGCACGTAGCATAACATCGGCAAATGGCCATTGGATGATCTTTGAACACATGGTATACTCCAATAGTTTATGGATTTTCGGGAATATAAATAAAATAAGGCAGGCATTGACATTTTCTATATAGCTATATACTCCTTTTTGTTTCATTTTGTAACCCCATTCGATGAGTTATTTCATATCTCCCTCGACTTTATCAGGATAAAGAGGAGATAAATTGTTGGGCGGGATCATTGCTTGGAATGAATGAACCGACAACTGACCCTTCATGTAACTAAGTTACAAAACATAAGTAGTAACTTATTTTCATTTTTACTTTTACTTTCCCCCGCTTGCCTGCTTTCGACTAATCTCTCTATGACAAGCCCAATTAATCAACAATGCCGAGCGAGATTGGCCTCCGATTCCTGCCATTTGAGATGGCAATGTTCTGACTGGTCAATGGGTTCTCAGGCTGAGTCAGGCACCATCCAATGCCAAGCTCGATCTGGTCGCCCCACCAAGGCGATGCCCCAGGGCAGCCAATTAGAGGAGAGGCGTTGTTAATCCAGTCCAGAACTTCAACGTAACCTTGGAACTAGATAAACAACTCTCTGCCATGGATACGAGTGTCAATCATGGCATAGTACTCAATATAGATGAAGAGGAAATACCGAAAATAAAAAGAACGAAGAAAACCAGAAACCGCAATGACAACCCTACCTCTCTCATGCTGCCATGCCTCCCGCAATGGATGCGTCTGTGCCGTCCAAGCCAAATGCTCGTGTGGCAAAGAACGCGCTCTGCATTGTAACTGCGACAAAGCAAAGATAGAAAATGACACATCAGGCGCCAGATGCTCATGCCGTAAGTCTTGACTTGACCTGGCTTCGTCTTACTCTTCTGCTTGGATTCTTTTCCTTCTTCTTTGCTCTGCGAACATTTCCCCCGTGCAAGTGCTTACAGCTAATTATTGTCATGTTGGAAAACCAGGGAAACGTCCAGCTGGTCAATGTACCTGTGAGCGTGCCGAGTCAGAGAATCATCAACATTTCACCGAAGCTTGTCCGTGTGGCAAAAGAGCCTCAGGTGGGTTTGTTTTTATTTTATTTTTATATATATATATATTTTTTTCCAGCTTCCTTTCCGCGGTCGATGTCAATTTTCACCTTGTTTCTTTTGCCACGGAGGAGCACTCCGTACTTGCATTGCACATATACCCATTTTGTGGATTGCTGGTCAAGCCCCCTTTTTTGTATTCGCCAATCAAAGAGCGGTGTTCAGTATTGTCCGATTTTATTCGCGGAGGGGATCACGACAACACAAAGGACTTTTCTATGTCAACATTCAGATGACTTTCCTGTAGCTTTGAGTTCTCAAAATCATCCTTGAGATGTTTTGCTCTGCGCTAGTTTGGGTCTATATCTAAGAGAGGTTCACCTTGCTAACTCAAGATATGGTGTCCCCGTGTGCACCGTAGATTCATGCACCTGCGAAAGGGCCCTTGATGCAGAGAGCTTCCGCCATGAGACGGACTTCACCACAAGTACATAGCATATGAAAAGCTGAGAGGACGGGAAGAAAGGGAGAATCTTGGGACGCTCAAACCTCAGCGCGATGTGGTCGGGCGCAATAAGGCCTTCGGTTGGATTTTGACTTGGTCTTCTTTTTGTCTGTATACAAGCCTACATGTCCAATGATTGGATGTTTTCTTGCATGGTTTTTGCATGGTTTTTGCATAGTACTCCGTAAATATCTTTTGAACATATTCACCGATACTTGGCCTGCCCATCCGCTTGATAACTAGAAAATACCTAAAATAAAAGACTCTTGAACCAGAGTCAATTCACACCCATTTCTGAAAAGAAAATGTAACAAAGCATAGTCCACTCAACAATCTTGCACGCCCAGCCGAGGCCAAATACTGCCAAGACTTCTCCAAAATCACATGACCTAAGAACTAACCTCGGAGGTCTCGGCATAACTATTGATCCGTCCATCTTGCCATCAACGCGTTGGAATCAAGTTTCAGTCAGATTATTGCAATATCCCAACGATATCCCGTGCTATGCTTTCTGTTCTGTCAGCTAGATCGTTTTGTGCAATAGGGTTTTATGTTCTGGCTGCTGCGGGTCCAGCGTATTAATCTAACCGTTTGGTCACCAGCGAATCCTGCGTGGCTCCCCCTTTACCTCCGACTCCGTCAAGTGTAGCAGACCAGCACGCCTTTTCTCGTCGAGCCACAGTCATGCTGGTATGAAAAATTCTGACGTCCAGAAGAAGAACTATGCGTGATTGATGTCTCGTGCGAAGCTTAGCTGGGCTAGCTGTGGAGGTTCCAAATAGCCAAGCATATCTTAACCCATCACCACGGTGAACGTGGGCGACTGCAATCTCCGCCAATATGTCGTCCATGCGGGGATTGGTACAGTTCATTGCCGACCTACGGAATGCGCGGGCCCGGGAACTGGAAGAGAAGCGAATTAACAAAGAATTGGCGAATATCCGACAGAAGTTCAAGGATGCGAACCTAAATGGATATCAGAAAAAGAAATATGTTTGCAAGCTGCTCTATGTTTATATACAGGGTTATGATATCGATTTTGGACACTTGGAAGCGGTGAATTTGATCTCTGCGAACAAGTATTCAGAAAAACAAATTGGGTATCTGGCGGTGACGCTGTTTCTTCATGAGGGCCATGAGTTATTACATCTCGTTGTGAATAGCATTCGGAAAGACCTCCTGGACTATAATGAGCTTAATAACTGTTTGGCGCTACATGCAGTGGCCAATGTCGGCGGGAGAGAGATGGGTGAAGCGCTGGGTGTCGATGTGCACCGGCTTTTGATCTCTCCGTGAGTGTTATGGCAAATGAAACGCCGACTTCTGCTGGTTCCACTTGCTCACATTACCTTGTTTTTCTGTAGTACTTCCAAAGCGTTTGTGAAGAAAAAGGCGGCACTTACGCTTTTACGATTGTATCGTAAACATCCCGGCATTGTTCAACCGGAATGGGCAGAACGAATAATTTCTCTAATGGATGATCCTGACATGGGGGTCGCTCTGTCGGTCCTGTCGCTCGTGATGGCTCTAGTGCAAGATAACCCCGAGCGATATAAAGGAAGCTACGCCAAAGCTGCCCAGCGGCTTAAGAGAATCGTCGTCGACAATGACATCGCTCAGGACTACATATATTACAAGGTCCCCTGCCCATGGGTGCAGGTGAAGCTTTTAAGACTGCTTCAGTATTATCCACCTTCGGGTTTGTGCTAATATCCCTCTGCCCCTGTTGAATTGTAGCTTTGCTGATCTTTTCGAGTTTAATTTAGATGACACACATGTCAGGCACCTCATCAGACAGTCCATCGAGGAGGTCATGCACTCGGCAATGGACACGCCAAAAAATGCTCAGCAAAACAATGCGCAAAATGCGGTTCTTTTTGAAGCGATCAATCTTCTTATCCACCTCGATACCGAGCATAATCTCATGATGAAAATATCTTTGCGCCTGGGCAAATTCATACAATCCCGGGAGACCAACGTCCGATACCTTGGTCTGGAAGCCATGACACATTTTGCGGCAAGAGCAGAGACTCTTGACCCTATCAAACACCACCAAGATATTATTCTTGGTTCCTTGCGAGACCGTGATATTAGCGTTCGACGAAAAGGCCTCGACCTTTTGTACAGCATGTGTGATACCTCTAATGCACGACCGATCGTAAATGAATTGCTCAAGTATTTGCAGACTGCCGATTATTCCATCCGTGAAGAAATGGTTCTCAAAATTGCGATATTGACTGAAAAATATGCCACTGATGCCCAGTGGTATATCGATATTTCGCTGAAACTCCTCTCTCTGGCCGGTGACCATGTTAGTGATGAGGTCTGGCAACGAGTCATTCAGATTGTCACCAACAACGAGGAGCTGCAAGCCTATGCCGCCCAACACCTGTTACAGTACGTCAAAGGCGATTGTCACGATAGCTTAGTGAAGATTGGCGGTTACATCCTTGGTGAATTTGGCCATTTAATTGCGGACAATAAAGGGTGCAGCCCCATCGAACAGTTTTTGGCCCTGCAGAACAAGTTGAATTTTTGCTCAGACACTACTCGGGCCCTACTCCTCTCATCTTTCATTAAATTTGTTAACCTTTTTCCGGAGATTAAACCCCAACTACTCCGTGTTTTCCGCATATACAGCCAGTCACCAGATTCTGAACTACAACAACGAGCCTGTGAGTATCTAACTCTTGCAACTTTGCCGACGGACGACCTCCTCCGCACCGTTTGTGATGAGATGCCACCTTTTTCGGAAAGGACGTCTGTGCTTTTATCGCGACTGCATCAGAAGAGCGCTGGAATTAGCGACAAGCGGACATGGGTTGTGGGTGGAAAAGATGCCAATGCCGATAAACAAGAGGTTTTATTGGCCCAGCAGACAGGTCTTAAACGTTCTTTCACCACTATCGTAAACGGCACATCATCTGGACCCAAGGCTACCGTAGCAAAATCTACTGTATCATCCGATTTGGCTGGCTTGGATATGAGCTCGAGTTCAGATGGTCCGGAACCGAATCTGGCTAGTGCCGCACATCTTTCCGCTGACTGGGAAATCGGCTTTAACCGTCTGTACTTCAAAGACGAGGGTGTCCTCTTTGAAGATGCACAGATTCAGGTTGGCCTTCGTTCCGAGTACCGCGTTCATCTAGGCGTATGCAAGTTATACTTCACGAACAAGTCTTCTTTTCCAATTGGGTCATTCACCACAACCCTGGATAACCCCTCGCCCCAAAGCATCAAGATTGATTCCAAAAACCTACCGGATCCGGATGTTCAGGCCCAGAGTCAGACGCAGCAAACAATCTGCTTCGAGTCCAAGGGGCCATTCACTAAGCCGCCAACGATTCGAATTTCTTACCTTGCTGGTGCCCTCCAAGCGTATACTTTGCAGCTACCTGTCCTAATGCACAAATACATGGATGAATCGACCTTGTCACCTGACGATTTCTTTAAAAGATGGCGACAGATTGGTGGCCCACCGCTCGAGGCGCAGTCGACTTTTGCTGTACAAGGCAAAGGGCGGATGATAACAGAGTCATTCACACGAGGCATTGTGCAAGGGTTTAGGTTCAGGATTCTTGGCGGTGTGGATCCGAATTCGAAAAACGTGGTCGGCTGTGCTGTTTATCAAATGGATGGCGGTAAAACTGGATGTCTTCTGAGGTTGGAACCAAATTATGAGAAGAAGGTATATGCTTACCAACCCCCCCGGCACCGCTTCCCCCTTTTCCCTCCTCCTGAACCTCCCCCTTCAACTCTTGTCTCCTTAAGTAGAAAACACCACCAGGCACAGCATGTATATCTAACTAGGAATTTAGATGTACCGTATAACGATCCGCGCAACACAAGACGCCGTGCCACAGGCATTGGTGAAACTAATGGAGGAGAGACTTGCACAGGGTGTCTTTGTTGATAATGACTGATGATTTGGATAGATAAACGAGCAACCAGTGTCGCTGATTAAGGTGAGGAGATACTACTTACACATGCTATAGTATGTCGACGTTCATACCACCGCCCTCACCAACTCTTATTTGTTTATTCGTCTGGCCCTCATTTTTTCTTTAAGATTCCCCTTCTTGTTCCCCATCCCGCTTTTCCGCTTTTATGTTTTTACTTTCCGTGACCTCATGATCCTGCAAGAAACACATCATGGCCTTTTGGTAAGGTCTCAATGAAGGGCTTCATACCTGTATGTGTATGTGCTGCATCTGTACATAAACTCAAAATGCAATTTCACAGAAAAGGGGATGGGAGTCTTTTCAATGAATATTTATTATCTAGCGTCATATACATAGCCTAATTTTCATCATGGATACATGTTGGGTACCTAGTCCTAGTCTAACCGGAGGACACCTGCATTTACGTTATTATATCTCCAATTTACACCATTTTAACCTCCCCTTTTGGTGGCCTCGCGCCAAATATCGTACTCCCCACCCTAACTTGAGTACTCCCCATCGCAATCGCCCCTTCAAAGTCTCCACTCATGCCCATACTCAGCTCCAAACCTTCACCCGCCTCTTCATCACCCTCCAACAACCCAAGCTCCTTCTCCACCCTTTCTTTCGTCTCCCTCAGACACAAAAAATCCTCATTCTTAGTTTCCATCGTCGTCGCTCTGGACCTCGCTATGGCCCCAATCGTCATTAAACCCTGCAATTTCAGCCGCGGACACTGCTCCCGGATATATCGACAGAGACGAACCGCCTCCGCCGGTTCGACACCAGACTTACTATCTTCACCAGACGTGTTTACCTGGACGAAGACTCGCAATCGATCCCCGTCTGCACCAGCATCACCTCCTTCTAAAGCTGAAGCAGCAGCAGTGGTAGTCGCAGCATCCTCACCCACCCCTGCCTGCGTGCCCCTTTCCCCCCACCCCCTATCCAGCAAGCTAGCCTTTTTCTCCGAATCCACGCTCTCCACCGCCCACAGGCCCCTCACATCGCGCGCCAGCGTCACGCACTTGTTAGACTGTAGTCCGCCGATGAAATGCCAGCGGATCCCGGGAGGGAGGATTTTGGACTTTTCTAGTAGCTCCTGGAGGTAATTTTCGCCGAAATGCAAGGCGGGGTTGTACTCGTGGAGGATCTGGATGTCGGAGGCGGGTTTTAGTTTGGAGACGGCGACGAGGCGGACGGGGCATTGGGGTCTTTGGGCTTGGGGCCGGGTTTGAGAGGCATTGGCGGAGGCGGAAGCAGAGGTGATGCGCGCTGTCACGGCGGAGAGGTTTGTGACGAGGGTTGTGGCGCGGAGCGACATTTCGGACTCGGGTGTTGCGATTGGAGGTTGGGCGTTGGTAGGCTGCGGAGTTGTCATCGGAGTTGTCATCGGAGTTGTCATTGCGTTGCTATTCTGAAGATTAATCCTTGGATATTCATGTAGGCGCGTTCCTCCCTTGGGAGAGGATGTATGTGGTCCATATGGGTTGTTTGATATATCCATGAACTTTCAGAGTAATAGTCCCGCCGATGCGGCGGAATTAATATTTATCACATGACATTCAAAGAGTTTGTCATTCAACGCCATAAAACATCTAATTACGTTCCTGTATTTTCGAAAGCAAAAAAGAGAGAGAGAGAGAAAACAAGACGAAATGAATTGGGTTTACAATTGGGCGCGTGCTAGAGTCATGATCAAAATATACAGTAAGTTGCATGCAAAGGTGAACATTTGTCATTTTATTGACGGGCTCCGGTGCCTTAAACATAGGGCAGGCAGGCTGCTCAATCCCATCAGGATAAGTAACATTTCTTTATTTGCTGGAGTTCTGCGAGTCCACTTCGTACTTACTTTGGTCCGGGTTTGGGAGGCCTCGATTGTTTGGTTTGGATTTCAGTTGCGGGAGTCACTGGCTCCATTCAATAACTACATCTAGCACTCAGTTTCTGTGCATTTTCATACCCAGAGTCCCATCACATTGGAACTACCTGTCGAACGTTAAATTGAGGAAAAACACCCATATCGTGATATTCGCGATGGCCGAATCGTTTTTCAATTCCTCTGCTTGTTGTATTGTGGCGGACGTAAAGCTTGCGAAAACAGAATTTTCTTGCCACCCCCTGAAAAATATTAGCAAAACACTGTAAAAATAACCAAAATATCCACATATCTCTAGAATCATTCAAATATCATTCAATTCATTCAAATACACACCTTTATCATCAAATCTGCATCTTTATCATCAAATCTGTCAATATGCTTCACAACATCCACTGTTCTACTGTCTTTCAAGCTTATAAAAGAACTTTAATTACTCTACATCTTCATCTATTCAAACCACTTGTTCTGAATGTTTCAGATAATGATGAGAATTCAACTGATGATGAGAAGAAGAATAAAAAGAAAAAGAAGAAAAAGAAGAAGATATAATTAAAAAATTTTCAATTTCTACAAACATCTATATTTAAATCTGAAATCTCATTCAGACTATATGAATGAGTGATTATTGTAACAGGTGTACATCAATTAACGATCTAGCATTATTTTAAATACAGATTATGAATTGATTCAGGAATGAAAGAGAAAAGAGATCAGAAAGAAAGATCATATAAAGAGGGTTTTTATAAAGAGAAGATCAGAGCAGAAGAATATCAGAAGCCACTTCATAATAAAATATGAAATGAAAGAATATTGAAGATTATGCCGAAGAATCATTAGAACTATGCAAGTGTGAAGTATGAGAAACTACACAAGTGCATAAAAAAATCATTAGAATTATGTGAGTGCAAAGCATGAGTTGATTATATAGGTTAATTGAATATCAGAAGCCACTTCATAATAAAATATGAAATGAAAGAATGTTGAAGATTATACAGAAGAATCATTAGAACTATGCAAGTGTGAAGTATGAAAAACTACATAAGTGCATAAAAGAATCATTAAAATTATGTGAGTATAAAGCATGAGTTGATTATATAAATAAATTATTAATGAGTGTTAACCCATCATATTATCCCCTCTTACCGGGGTGAGCGATGATTCATAGGCGTCGAGGGCGGCGGTGTCCTTCATGGCAGATGTGGGTTCCCAGGTCGGGTGATTGTATCCTACTCATTTGACAAGGTATTCACAGCAGTGATGATTGGTTCTATCATCAAAAATTGCTTCAATCTCTTATTCAGGTTCATTATCTTCTTCTATGATGACAGATGGTTGTCAGTTGAAGATTCTCTGTGAGAGGAATGAATTTTCAGCTGCAGGTTAGAACAGGTTTGTATGAAAGACATTGTGAATGTCAGATGAAGTGTTGAGTTGATAATCATGTATACTCAACACCTTTGTTACAGTATATTTGATGTGATGGTAATTCAGCATACATGAGAGATGATCTGTTCTTATATTCTTGAAATCTAATCAGATTTTGTTTTTTACATAATATCAGATTGCAGAACTTCTTTTGATGTTTATTTAATTTTTATAATTTTATTAAATATTGATCATGAAAGTTTCTGCTTATTCACAAACTTTTTTAAACTTGTTTATGATGTTCTCTGCCATTTGTATGAGACTGCAGGTGTATGTGATTTTTCAAAGATATTCAGAAAAGTTCAAAACTTCTAAATTGTATTCATGCAAAAGAAAAAATAAGTTTATATTTATCATAACAAAATTTCAACTGTTAATCACCATCTCAATATGTGATAGCAGATGACTTTAGTTATCTTATATATAATTGCAGAATTTACAGAGAATGTTTTTCATTATTTATATCATTTTCTCTATGATTTCATCAATCTCTGAGTGGTACACTGTTGACAATTTTTATTCAATTCTTAGCAGCTGATATATGCAAGTTCAGAGTGCACTGATAAATTGACTGCTTTTATCTGATACAATGAATGAAAGCAGATTGCGTATATGATAGAATGAGCTTCAGATAAAGACATCTGCATGTATGTATGTATGTATGTATAGGTTTAACGTCCCGGAGAAAACACGGGCAGCGCCCGTGTTTCAGAAGCCTCCCGAAGGGCATGGAGACGTGCTACGCTGGAGAGATTTCTATGTACACAGAGAGAGAAAACAGAATCCAGGTGGCAACTCTTGAGAAGACTCAGCTCATTGCAAAGGATTTTTCTGAGCTGCGCATCCACTTCTGGCCCGACGTATGGCCATTCATGGTGGGGCTATAGTGTGGTTCCCTGAGGGGACCGCCGCTGCCGTGCCTGGAAGGCTTTATAGTGAGCAGAGAGGGATACCTCTCTCAGTTGATCAGAAAGCTGTCTGTGCTTCTAACATCAGAAGAAAGACAGACAAGATAAATAATGAAGGAGAGAGCACTGAAGAAGGTTGTGAAAGGAAACGAGCAGAGAATGACAGAGAGAGCAAAGAAAAGAAGGAAGAAGAAGCATTTGAGCCGATAGAGACAAGGGCAAACGAGAGGAAAACAAAGCAGAGCACGCGTAGATACAATGCCGGCAGTCAAAACCATATCAGCTGAGTCAGACACGTAGACTGTACTGATTACACCACAGCTAATTGAGACAGATGAGCCTAGTTGTGCTATCTGTACTGTCTGCATAGACTGTGATGTCCCTGGCAGTTGCACTAGCTACCGTGGGTGTACTCAGCAGGCCGGCCTCGTGGAACTGCTGCGGGGGTTGTCAGATGGTTTGCAGCCAGCCGGCTGCGTTACCTTGTGCAGTACCGTGTGTAGAACTGCGTGCAGTCCAGCAGTTCTACAAAGTCTGTAGGGGTCAGAGACCCTAGATAGGCAACAGCTGTCGCCCGGTTGTGTGGCCGTGCTGCTGGCCTCTTGGGCCAGTGAAGAAAGTGCCTTTGTGAGTGTCGACAGAGCACCAAATGTTCTGGGCTCTTGTTGTGTCCACAGACACAGGTGAGCCTCGCATCTGCATGCTGGAAACGCCTGTGGTACCAGGAGAAGTCCCCATGAGAGGAGCGGAGTGCGAGCCAGCGGTGAAGGGCATGCCGTGGCATGGTGAGCTCCGGAGGGGCCTTCACTTGGTATTCCACAGTCGGCCTGCTGAAACTCCAGCCCCGGTACCAGTCAGAGAGCTTGCCACAGGCTCCACTCCACCACTTTCGCCTTGCCTCTTGGCTGAGCTGCTTGGCCACTGTGCGGACCCCACTGACTGTGGGTGTGGCCTCGAGACCATAGGCTGGGGCTGCAGTGGATGAGACTGCCCGCTTAGCCAAGCGGTCTGCTTCCTCATTGCCCTCTATCCCCATATGCCCAGGAGCCCATTTCAGGCCGACATTGTGCTGTCTGAGGAGCTCATGGCAGCGGTTGTAGGCCCAGTTTGAGGAGGCTGCTGCACTGCCCCGTATGCCCCAGATGACTGAGGTGTTGTCGAGGCAGAGCCAGATCTGAGGGTTGCTGCTGTCCTCTGTGACACAAGGTAGGAGCTTCACGGCGCACTCCAATGCCCGGCAGGCACCAACTGCCTCAGCGTCGAAGACATGTGACATAGGGCTCAGCGCAGCTGAGAAGCTGGCCAGCTGTTTATTTCCCTGATAGACTATGAAGCCATAGCCCACCTGCCTGCTGTTGTCAAGGTTCCGTTCTGATCCATCTGAGAAAACATATAGATCTGTTGAGGGTTGACTTCTCCACCATTCCTTGAATGCCTGAGCAGCACTCTTTTTGTCTACACCCTCTGTGGGGTCTGTCCCGCATCCCTCTGAGTAGTGTGGGATGGCAAGTGTGGGTCTATTGACTGCAGGTAGCAGCGCCCCCAACCGCTGGATCTTGGTCTTTGAGCGCTGCCGGGTTCCAGCCCCTCTTCCTCGTGTGATCATTGGAGGTGCTATCCGTGAAGCCAGTGGGTGCTTCTCATCCACCACCTGAAGCCTTGTCGCGAATCGAATTTTGGCCTCCTCCAGAGCTACCATTGCTGATGGGAGCCCAGCATCCCGGTATAGGGTAGCGATGGGCGTTGTACGGAAAACTGGGAGGACCCCTCTGGCTGCCATAGTAAGCACCTTCTCAACTGTCCCCACATGCCATCCCAGGCGGGAGCTAACCTCCCCACTCCTGCCCGTGTGCCTTGCTGGCTGCGTGCGGCCGCTGTACCAGGCCTCTGTGCCATAGAGCAGTGAGGGAACCACGCAGGTGGTGACCGCCTTCCGCAGAGCGTCTGCTGGGGGCCCGTCTCTGGTCTTTCCCAGACTCCGGATGTGCTGGGCCACGGCCCTTGCCTTCTTTGCCCGGGTGGAGACATGTGGTCTCTCAGAACTGGTTAATGTGTACACAGAGTTCATTTAATTGCAAAGAATTTGTTATAATTGTGAAGTTGATTAATTGATGCTCTCAGTGTTTTCATCTGTCATTCAAATCGTCAGATGATATATTTTGTTTTTAGCAAAACAGAGCATTCACAAGAGTGTTTTCTATTTCTGATTGATAATAGATTGTGAATGAAAAACAGCTGAAGAATAATGATCAATACATATATCTCTCAGTGAGCTTACAAGTGGTTGTGAAGTATTTTAAATTTTTATGATCAGTGATGATTTTGAACTTCTCAATATTTATAAGTTCAGACTTTCATTCTTCAAGACATTATATGATCACTAGAAACTCCTTGTCATAGATCTTGTAGTTGCATTCAACAAATGATATTTTTTTCAAAATGAAGGCATAGAGTTACAGAATATCTTCATTATTATATTGTATTAATGATTCATCTACTATATAATTTAAAACGTCTGTTTCAAGAATTGTATGTTTGTCTGAATTAAATGATTGCAGCATTGAAACATTTGTGAATATGTGCTTCAGCTTCTTGAATGCAGTATTCACTTCATCAATTCATTGAAATACAGTGTCCTTTCAAATCAAATTTGTCAGTGATCATACAATATCTGAGAAATTTTTGATAAATCTTCAATAAAAATTGGCAAACTCTAAAAAGCTTCTAATCTCTTTTACTGAGACTGATGCTTCTCAGTTGAGGATTGCTTCCACCTTCTTAAAATCCATGCATACACCTCTTTCAGCTTCAATGATAAATTCTAAATAGATTGTAAATTTGATTTCAAAGTTACATTTATCAATATTCACTTGCAGTTCTGCTTCTCATAGACGGTCAAGCATCTATCATACATGCTTACAATACTCAGTGAGTGATTCATCAGTAAAAATCAGAATATCATCCATGTACACTGAAGTAATCTCATCAAGCAAGTCTCATAGAGCTCAGTTGATATATTTCTGGAACATACTCAGAGCATTTGCTAATCCAAAGAGAGTCACTGTTCATTTGTATAACTCATAACATGTACAAAAAGCAGTTAGCCATTCATCACCCTCATTGATCCTTATCTTGTAGAAGGCCGCGGAGATGTCAAGTTTTATGAATCATTTTGCTTTTCCTATTCATTTGAGTGTTTCATTAATGAGTGGGAGAAAATATCAGTCCTTTCATGTAATCTTGTTAAATTCTCAATAATCAACACAGAATTATAAGCCTTTTTCTGATTTCTTTACAAATAGTACAGATGCTGCAGCGGGTGAATTGTTAATGCAAATGAAGTCTTTATTCAATAATTCATTGAATGTTTTTTATAAAATGAGGAGCTAATTATGTGATATGCTGTAAAGAGAACTTCACAGTGATTGTGTATTCTTATCATTCTTTTTGATAAGTTCAATCATATGATCTATACCACATTCTCAGTGAAAGAGGAGCTTTTCAGCTGCTTTCTCATCAAACACATCTGTGAAATTGTTTCTCGCAAAGTTTCTTGAGATACTTGAATTCTAACTTTTCTAACATCTTTTTGATATTCATCATATTAGCAGTGAACACTTAGATGTTCTTCTTTTTGTATATTTGATGAGTTAATAACTTGAATGCCTCTACTGATATTTGAGTGAGATCAGCAGTTCTATCAACATCTCTCTTATAGACACAGTCATCTTCTGAGAAAATAAAACAGTGATTGCATGCATTCAATAAGGTTTCAAATTCTATAAGTTATGACAGACTAAGTATTAGATTGTACTTAGGATTCTGTACTTCATATGCATAAACATTCTTTTTCTTATGCTCTCTTACGTTGACATTAAATCTTATCATGTTGTAGAAAACGGAATCTTTGAGGCTGTTGAATCCACTGAGTTTACACAGTTCAGAGAAAAGAATACACTGAAGTTTATACTTTTCAATTAGTTGAGTATTTATAAGAGTGTAATGAAGAAAACCACTGTCTACTATTGCTTGTATATTGACTAAGCTATTTATAATGACAGAGACTATGATTGTGTTCACTTGCATTTTCTGCTCAAACCTCCAGCTAGCTTCTTACTCTTTGAGCTCTCATCCATGTTTTAGAGTGAGAGCTCTTCTTTTCCCTGTTTCTGTTTATCCATGGGCGACACAGCATTCACGCGCGTGGGAGGCTTACTCAGAGCAATTGCATTTGAGTATTGATTTGCAAAATGCTCTGACTTGTCACAGTATATGCAAACTTTTTTAATGATTCAATCAGTAACTTTTTATCTGAAGAGGTTAGGTATTTTTGATCATTTTGTACTCATGTGAAGAGTTCAATTCATGATGTCTATGGGGGCTGTTGATGCAGTTGTAAGCATGAAGTTCTGCTTATGATTGTTACATCTTTCTTGAACAGCATTAAAGCGTGCGAGGTTGTTGTTGAGTTGGCGTAAGTGGGTGCAGTAGTCATGGTAATGCATGAGCATGAGATGCAAGATGCAGAGCTTGAGCAGTTCAAAGTTAATATATTGATTTAAAAGATTGATTTTGACAACATCATTTCAGTTTTATTCTTCTGCTTCATAAATCTTACTATTGAAATCAAGTAAGTAGTTTGTTAAAAGGGTATTCCTCTGATGATTTCTGTTCAGCCACTGCATTGCACACACTTGCAGTGAAGAATTCAAGAATAGAACATCTAGTTAACAGAGGGCTTCTTCAGAGGTACACATTTTATATACACACAATTCAATTCAAAGTTGGAACTTCACTAAAGCATCTTCTTCTAGCTGACTATGAACATAGTAGGCTTGTGAGAGCAGAGAGTCTATCACAGATTCATTCTCTTCAAACTTGACTTTTATCTTTCATTTTCAAATTAAATAAATTGAGAGCTTTTCTGTGAACTGTCAGGAAGAGGGAGGTGTTCTTTTCTTTCATATACAGAAGGTATTGACACTTGCGTATTTTTTGATGTATTTATATTTAGATGATTTAATTGTCATTGAAGCTCTGCTATCTGCAAGAATTGCTGCTGAAGAAAGTTACAAAGTTTAGCATTATCTTCAGTGAATCTTCAGTTCTCATTCATGAAGAGATGTTTGTAATTCATCTCATTTTCATATAAGGTCATGGTTCTTGATTCTGATAATTTGAAGATCAGGAGATTCAATTCTTATTCTTCAGAGAAAATACTTTATAAGTATTCTGATCTCTTCATAGACATATGATTGTGGAGTTCATAAACACTTAGACTTTTTCACAGCACTATTACAATGATACAGCTTCATAGAACTTTAGAATTTGCAGATGTTATCACAACAACACAGCTTATAACTTATTCTTAACTTGAGCATCTGAATACAATTGTAAACATAGAGTACTCAAGCTGATACAGATGAATCAATTCATAATGTAACAGACATACATTGATTAATAATCTAATACTATTCTAAATACAAATTATGAATTGATTAAGAAAAGAAAGAGAAAAGAGATCAGAAGAAAAGGTCATATGAAGAGGGTTTTTATAAAGAGAAGATTGAGGTAGAAGAATATTAGAAGCCATCTCACAGTGAAGCAGAGAGCAGAAGAACATTGAAGGTTACACAGAAGAATTGTTAGAACTACACAAGTGTGAAACGTGAGGAATTATATGTATGTATGTATGTATGTATAGGTTTAACGTCCCGGAGAAAACACGGGCAGCGCCCGTGTTTCAGAAGCCTCCTGAAGGGCATGAAGATGTGCTACATTGAAAAGATTTCTATGTACACAGAGAGAGAGAAAAAACAGAATTCAGATAATAACTCTTGAGAAGATTCTTACACTATAGCCTCATCATCAATGGCCATAAACTCATTACAAAGGATTTTTCCAAACTGCACATTCACTTCTAACTCAATGTATGGCCATTGATGATGAGGCTATAGTGTAATTCTCTGAGAAGACTGCCGCTGCTGTGTTTAAAAGGCTTTATAGTGAGCAGAGAGGGATACCTCTTTCAGTTGATTAGAAAGCTGTCTATGCTTCTAATATCAGAAGAAAAATAGATAAGATAAGTGAAAGAAAGAGAGAGAAAATATGTGTTCTGAAATGAAAAGAATAAAAATGAAAAATGAAGGAAAGACTGTGTCATTGTAATGCACTCGTTTATTATTTCCTTATTATTATATTATCTTTGTTTATATCTTCGTCTATTCTTACCTCTTTCCATTATACTCTCGCTACCACTATTTCTGTATGTATATATATATGGATGCATGTATTTCGCACATCTTCTTTCTCTTTCTTTTCCTCTTCAGCGATTAGCTACAACTACAACTACAACTTCAACTATACTACTACTATAATTATTATTATCTTCCACTACACTATATACTATCTTCTACTATTCACTCTTCACACTGTCATCACCCCTCACAGTCATCTGCAACATCTTGCAGTCATATGACCTGGCACAGACCTGGGGAAAAAGAGGAGAGAGCACTGAAAAAGGTTGTGAAAGGAAAAGAGCAGAGAATGACAGAGAGAGCAAAGAAAAGAAGGAAGAAGAAGCATTTGAGCCGATAGAGACAAGGGCAAACGAGAGGAAAACAAAGCAGAGTACGCGTAGATACAATGCCGGCAGTCAAAACCATATCAGCTGAGTCAGACACGTAGACTGTACTGATTACATCACAGCTAATTGAGACAGATGAGCCTAGTTGTGCTATCTGTACTGTCTGCATAGACTGTGTTGTCCCTGGCAGTTGCACTAGCTACTGTAGGTGTACTCAGCAGACCGGTCTCATGAAACTACTGCAGAGGTTGTTAGATGATGTGCAGCCAGCCGGCTGTATTACCTTATGCAGTACTGTGTATAAAACTGCATGCAGTTCAGCAGTTCTATAAAGTTTGTAGAGGTTAGAGACTTTAGATAGACAATAACTGTTATCTGATTATGTGACTGTGCTACTAATCTCTTGAATCAGTGAAGAAGATGCTTTTGTAAATGTTAATAAAGCATCAAATGTTTTAACTTTTTATTATATTTACAGATACAGATGAGCCTCACATCTGTTTGCTAGAAACATTTGTGATATCAGAAGAAGTCTTCATAAGGGAAGTGAAGTGTGAATCAGTGGTGAAGAGCATGCTGTGATATGGTGAGCTCTGGAGAAGCCTTTACTTGATATTTCACAGTCAGCCTGCTGAAACTCCAGCCTCAGTATTAGTCAGAAAATTTATCACAGACTTCATTTCATCACTTTTATTTTGTCTTTTGACTGAGCTGCTTGATCACTGTGCAGACCCCACTGACTGTGAATGTGATCTTAAGTTCATAGACTGAAATTGCAATAAATGAGATTGCTCATTTAATCAGATGACCTGCTTCCTTATTGCCCTCTATTCTTATATACTTAGAAGCTCATTTCAGACCGATATTGTGCTATCTGAGAAGCTCATGACAATGGTTGTAGACTCAGTTTGAAGAGGCTGCTGCACTGCTCTGTATGTCTCAGATAATTGAGATGTTGTTAAAGCAGAGTCAGATCTGAAAATTAATGCTGTCATTTGTGACACAAGGTAAAAGCTTCACAGCATACTCTAATGCTCAGCAGACATCAACTGCTTCAGTGTTAAAGACATGTGATATAGAGCTCAGCACAGTTGGAAAAGCTGATCAGTTGTTTATTTCTCTGATAAATTATAAAATTATAGCTTATCTGTCTGCTGTTATCAAGATTTTATTCTAATTCATCTGAAAAATATATAGATTTATTGAGGGTTAACTTCTTCATCATTTTTTGAATGTATAAACAGTATTTTTTTTATCTACACTCTCTGTGAGACCTGTCCCACATCTTTTTAAGTAGTGTGGGATGATAAGTATAGGTCTATTGACTGCAAATAGCAGCATTCTCAACCACTAAATCTTGATTTTTAAACACTGTCAGATTCCAGCCCCTCTTTCTCATGTGATCATTGAAGATATTATTTATGAAGTTAGTGAGTGCTTCTCATCCATCATCTGAAGCCTTATCATAAATTGCATTTTGACCTCCTTCAGAGCCATCATTGCTGATAGGAGTTCAACATCCTGATATAAAGTTGCAATGAATGTTGTATGAAAAACTGAGAGGACCTTTCTGACTGTTATAGTAAACACCTTCTCAACTGTCCTCACATGTCATCTCAGATAAGAGTTAACCTCCCCACTTCTGACTGTGTGTCTGCTGACTGTATGCAGCCGCCGTACTAGACCTTTATGTTATAGAGCAGTGAGGAAACCACACAGATGATGATCACTTTTCACAAAGTGTTTGCTGAGAGCTCATTTTTGATCTTTTTCAGACTTTAAATGTGTTAAGCCACAGCTCTTACCTTCTTTGTCTGAATGGAGATATGTGATCTTCAAATGAGCCTTCTGTTGAAATGTACATTCAGTCAGCAAAGTGCTGACTTCTGTCCAGCTGAGATAGTAACAAAGTGAATAGTGAGATTCTTAAACACAATTACTGCTGATATCTTATTGTGTCACTTTCTTGTAAGATGGATCATCTTAAGTTTCTCTGATGCAAAAGTCACCTTGTTTATCTCCCTCCATCTTAGAATACTTTGTATATTCTGGCTGAGAAGAGTGGCATTGTTGTCAAGTAAGTGGGTCGCCCATCAGATGTTCAGATCATCCACATAGTCAAAGCACAATTTCAAATTTTACCACAGCAACTCTGTCAGATACAGAAGAAACAATATTGATGATAAAAAATATCTCTGTAATGTGTCACATTGCATTTGATGTGTTGCTATAATGATCCCCTTCAGTCAGACTTGAGCTCTGCATTCAGTGAGGAAACTGTCAATGAGCTGTAGCAGCTCATATGTATGACGGGTTAGCACCCGTTAGTGGTTAACTTACGCAACCAACCCCTTCTGCCTCACGCTCCGCGCCCGCGTAGTTCCTCACGCTCCACGCTCGCGTAGTCGCGTAGTTCTAACGATTCTTCCGCGTAACCCTCAATGTTCTTCCGCTCAGTGCTCCACTGCGGGGCGGCTTCTGATATTCTTCCGCCCCGATCTCCCCTCTATAAGAACCCCCTTCGTACAACCTTTCCTTCTGATCTCTTTTCTCTTTCTTTCCTTAATCAATTCGTAATCTGTATTTAGGATAGTGCTAGATCGTTAATCGATGTACGCCCGTTACAGCTGGTTTCATATGGCACAGTGCCGAGAGCGACTTGTTTTACTGAATCCGGACCAAGGTTTTCTGTTGCGGACATTGTATGCGAGCCGCATATCCAACTTGAGCCATTGAGCCATCAATGGCAGAACCGCTGAAATTGGCCACAGCGAGGGATCCATTTTGTTGAATCAGAATGTTAGAGCATTCAGTATCTCCATGAATCACATCGTTCGAATGCATATGCTGTAGTGCTTCAGTGATTTGGATTAGCCATCTCCTCCAGCCAAAATCACAACCAGCAAAGCAGAAGAGATAAGTAAAAATCAAAAAAACACTACTAACTTGATTTGCTGTTTAGAGCAATGCGACAGTGGAAGGTCATTGGATATCAGGCTTCATGGACAAAACACAAACAAGAGCCCACTGAGCCACCCCTGATACTTCTGGCTATGGTATTCTGCTGTAGCGAAGTTGGAATGGCGCCCGGCAGGTTTGTATATTGATGAGTTTTCTCATTTGGCTGTAGGTCGACAACCTGCGAAAAGAAGTCAACGCCAGCGAGCTCCAGTTGCTTTCCATCCCACTGCTTGGAAGCCATGTTCCCAAAAACGTGTCTCCACCATTACATGGAAGCCCAGGTTCAGGTTGATTCAAATATAATAAGAATACGACAGAAAAAAATCGACACAGGCAGGATTCGAACCTACGCGCCCGAAGGCATGAGATGGTCTAAGCTTGGCCAATGCAGACTAACCACATTTGGCGAATTCGAGTCTCACGTATTAACCACTCTACCACTGTGCCGTGATTGCGGTATGGCTGGCAACCCCGCGGCCGCATTAATCTATGGAGTGTTGGGCCTAAGGTCATGTACAGTAACTCCCCCCACCTCGTTTCCGGCTTATTTTAAGGATAAGCAATAAAAGTCCCCGCTGCGTCACGGTCCTCTCGATTCTTTGGTATTGTTCAGGTTTTTGTCCCTTTCCACGATGCACCTGTCAACTATAGTTTCTGGGGTTTGAGTTTGGTTTTTTTCTCTTTTTTCGAGTTATCCTTCAATCGTTTTTCCTTTGTCGCCTTGGGTTTTTCGTGCTCTTGGAAAACGTCTCTGCGCAGTTGGACTACAACTTTATATGCTCGGCCCTTTTCAACATGGAAACGATCTTGAGAATGCCTCAAGACCCTGCGATGACGAGGACTGATAGTGTTGCCACCTTTGTGTCTAGTGACGGATCTAATCACTCTCGAAGCACTTATCGAACCGCTTCCAGCCATCAACCCGTTTTGATTACTCTCGAAAAAGCCAACCCGGAAGATGGAGTTGATGGGAGAGAATCAACAGAAACATATGCGTCCACAATATTGTCAGAAACGGAAGAGGACACAAACAATCAGCCACCAATCGAACTTGTAGCGGATAGATATGAGGATTTCCCATCAAATCCTATCCCCTCCTCTCCACCAATTTTTGGAGAGTTGTTCCCATCTGCAAGGCGTCTACTTATAAGGCACGATGATACTACGATCGATGGAAACATGAACCTACGTATCGACACCACTGCGGTGCAGCCAGGAGGGCGTCAATGTACCATCATACTCTTTCATCTTCGCATGCACGATTTGCGAAACAGGAAATTCTCGCTTCGGCGGTATTGCAGGGATTCCGGAAGAGAGGTCTGCCATTCGGTCAGGAAGTTCCATTACCCATCTGCGGAAATGCTCGGTGCTCTGCAACGACCATTGACGAGCGCTTTCTCCACTCTACGTTCCAAATCAGATTCAACCCACCCCACAACTAATGGGCTGTGGAGGCAGAACTCAGGGTATAACAAGCAGGGGACGGAGTGTACGGAGTGTCCTGAGAATGACAATCGCAGGAGATGTTCCACGGAATCCTTATCCCGCTCCAAAGGCCCCGAACCGACAAATATTATCCAACTCGAATTCTCCAATTATGCACATGTCGACGTTAAACGAAGAGGCACCACGGGCTCCAAACATTACGATTTCGAATATTGGAGCACGAGATATCAATGGAAGAAAACCACACGAAAGGGCGGAGATTCTAAGGAAATCTCGTTTGACCTCTATCCTGCAGCGAAGTCAAAGCCAGTTGCACACATTTTAACCGAGCCTCTGACTCCACTTGAAGCTCTGGAAGAAAGGAGCAAAGGCGGCTGGGTTCCGCCCTGCTCTCTGTGGATCAGCGACGCTTCCTTATATGAAAGTATGAAAGATGTTGCTGAGTAAGTAGTTTTTTCTGGTCCATTCAACAGCTTCCTGGGATAAGATTACCTGACGTATGATAGTGCCATCGTTGCCACTGGTCTCATTGCATTGGTGGACGACAGCATCAAGCGCCATTGGAACAACAAAAACACAACACATTCCTGCAGTCCCATGACTTCATCGTTTATGAGGAGTGTGGACTCCGTGGCATCTAACAAAATTATCGAAAAAGTTTTCCACCGTCGTGGCTCGACTGGATCTCGACACAACTCATTCCGCCAGATGTTTGCTCATGCTTAAGGGGAAAAAATCTCTCTTCGAGCTATATGAGGATTTTTATTGATACCACCATTGTATTCATTGCTGTATTATCTTTTTCTCATGTATTTGTTATGAGTTAATTTTTTTTCATTTTATATGATTATTGACGTGGAGCTCTTAGCTTGGTACCAGCCCATCATGAAGTTCCCTATTTTACAGCTAGAAGTGAGATTTTTGGCCATGATGGAGTCGAGCATATCAAGGTCGGTTTGTTCCCCGTTGTCTGGTTAGGAAAGGCTTTCTGTGGTATATTGATGAGGCTAGGTTCATGTACGTGGAATGGCGCATTTCCTGCAAACCGTCACTTTTCTTTTTCTTTTTCTTTTTTCCCTTGCAAATCCATTTAGTGTGCAGGCTACGATCATTGTCCAGCGCAGACAGACGGCGTTAACAAGGGGCCAAGGACACTGTACGGCGCATATCCAACCCCATGCGCTGGACCAAAGGCGCCAGGAGCTGCCGGGATCGCTGGAATGGGCAGCATTTGGAGATGAACAGGCCCCTTCAATGATGAAACATGGCTGGAATTCTATGTTTTCTTTTTACGAAGTTCATGCGGATTGTTTGTCCTATTTATGGAGGTAGCTTGAGCTGTGTCTATATCTTGCATATTGCAACGAATTTTGTAATTATTCGCTCCTATTTTGAATATTATGGGCTGTCAATAATTTGGAAAGGCTATGGAGGAACATTGAGGCTATTCACAAAGCGTCCTACAGTATCCGCGTTGAAATTTTCAATATTCGCCTTTCTCAATCAAGGCTACTATTATTTTGATCACCAAATCTCGAATTGTGTACGCTCCAACATTAGCTCTAGCCTCACCCCACAATCTAGCCCCATACAACTTCTATGAATTCATGGTTTTCCTCTCTTTCTCCTCTGGAGCCACACTTCCATCAATCATCTCCATTTTTGCGCGTTCTCTGTGGGGTGTCGTGCTGACAATGCAAGTATGAGTGCCCAACCTCCACTCCAGCGAGAGAGAAAAGAAAGAAAGCACCGAATCATGGCTGCAAGAAAGCCCGGAACGGCCATGGAGGCCATCGACAGCGAGCAATGGGCTAATCTCCATCCCAACCCCCGCCATCTGGTGCCGCGTTTTTGCTGCACGTCGGCCTTGCTGGAAAGCACGTTAAATCCCCGTTATTTGACCTTTCTCCTGCAAATACCCACAATATACCTAACTACCCCTCCATCGAGAGACTTACACTGTTCAATTTTTCCTCAGTTTCCATTCCACATCCGTCCAGCAGGCAGGCGCTGGAGAACTGAAGCCCTGGTAGAATTTTTATTCCCTCACAGACAAGTCCACCAGTCCGCCATCTCGGTTGGAGTCGAACCTTTTTCTTTCTTTTTCTTTTTCTTTTTCTTTTTTTTTTGGGGGGGCCACCTTACCATCCCTCCTTCGGCGCTTTCCTGCCTCACCATTTCCTCCGGTGGTCGTGCCCTTGAAGGGTTCATCTCTCTAATTTTGATTTTTTGATGAGCTGGCAGGTCTTTGCTGGGTTCGTCGATTGACTGGCGCTGCCCAACCATCTGATTTAGCAGCCAGTCTCTTTCAAGAACAGCAATATTCGTGTGTTCGATACTATCCCCTTTACAACGCGTGAACGGAGCTGAGAGGCCCCATCCCTAGCTATTTCAAGCGCACCCATGACAACCCAGACTTTGGTGCATTCGGAAAGCCCCTCCTCATAGCTTCATATCTTGGGTTTGGAGAGGTCTGGCTTGTTGTCCATCTGCCATCCACTTACAAATCCCGTCATTTAGCATCTCCCCTTTGGGAGAGCTGCTTTGCTCTATCGCCGGCGCGCATAAGTTAAGCAGCCGCCTAGTTCCTGAAGTTCAATCCGGAATCGAATGGAAAGTGCAGGGAGCGGGCCGTTCCATCAGCCTCCCCCTAGGATCAATGGCGTCTCTCCATGTCACTCAACTTGGCTTGATGATTGCCAGAGGTGTGTGGGATGGAAGATGTGGAAGTTAACTGAAAACACCCGTCACCTTGACTCAATCTTGCATAAGTCTATCCTATCCGGACTGACTGGTTAGGCTCCATCACGGCACTTGCAGTAAAAAATGAACTTTATAGGAGTTCATTGGTGTGGTTTGCCATCATTCCTCTCCGCACGCATTTCTCTATATTATGAATCTCAACTCTCGCTCTTTCTTCGACAATAAAAATTTTTCTCTCTTCCCGTTTAGAAAACGCCTTTTGCTTCACTCCAATCAAATATATTATAATATTTGTTTCTTCTTCAAATTGGTACACTTTCCTTCTGCTTGTGCTTGTTCTATTCAATCTCTCAAGCCTCTACGTTATCGCTTACCGTTATTATCATATTTTATAGTGAGGGATTTCTCTGCTACCTCCATATCCTCTTTTCAGAGACAAGAATTCAGTTATGGCTAGCCTTACCACCGCCAATTCTGCTCCCCGCACCAATGGCGTTCAACGTATTACATGGCAGGAGAAACTTCAAGGTCCGAGACGTCCTTGAAAATGGAAAGTCCCGTATTGTCAAGTACTAAAATGCTCTGAAGAACACTGCAGGATAACCCAAATTCAGGCCCCAGTTTTCAATCTTATGTCAGACCGTCGAGGTAGTACCCCCTACTATCCCTTGCCTCTAGTAATCTTTTGTCTAAGAAAAAAAAAAATTGCGCTACACCGTGGGTTTTTCGGAAATTTATTTTTATAACATTTCTCAATGTCCAATTTCCCCGAATAAAACGAGAAGCAAAAAAGTCAAGGGAAAACACGAATACAACAAACTCTATGCGGCATCTCTAAAAGTCAATAATCAGCTACTGACCTTTTCATTTCTATGTTTCCTTATTCACCAGGCGGCCGTACGGCATGGTCTAGCACCGTCACAATTCAGGGCAGATGCTTCGCTGCCCGCTATTTCTATGACGGCCAAAACACCAACAATGCCAAAGAGGATGCTGCAGAAGTCGCTCTCACAGCACTCCGTTCCCAGGGCGGTAATCCCACCACCTCATTCGCGGGGCAGTTGTACGCACAGAACTCAGTTGCCAATCAGCCCGCCCGAAGGAACTAACCAGGGGGCATAGAACTCGTTGCCGCTGTTTTCGTCCGGCTCAGGATGGGGCACGAAGTTTTAGTGTGCCATGTTATTTTTTTGTCACCAGTGTTTGGAGGATATTTTGGGATGTATTCTTTTTTATCTTGCTCGCCTTGCATTCGTTTCATTCGTTCAAAACCTCTTGTTCAAATTGCGGCCCTGGAACCCTTTTTTAATATCAATATCTTGCTTTACACCCTTTTTCTTTTCAGGTATACCTTTTACTCTTATTTTGGTCGAATTTGATACGCCTTACTTCCCTCTTGTTCAAATTGCGGCCCTGGAACCCTTTTTTAATATCAATATCTTGCTTTACACCCTTTTTCTTTTCAGGTATACCTTTTACTCTTATTTTGGTCGAATTTGATACGCCTTACTTCCGAAAGCCAACCATGTATTTTTCTTTTCTTTTAAAAGGGCTAGTGTGCTTTCTCTCCCTTCCGCTTTTCCTCTTTACTCATATGTCGACAATGCCATTTCACCCTTTGATCTTGTCGCTCCTATACCGTTTATTTTATTTATGTTGTGTTCTCATGTTCAGCTTCAAACAAGGCAAAATACCATGTACGTTGAAAATGGGTATGGTTTGTTGTTTATGAAACCAGCAAGTACCGTTCTCAGTCCTGGCTCTGTCTCTGTTTGTCGTCGGTCTTTCGTCCATTGCTCCTCAATTGTACCTAATCGTGACCAACGTACTCCCCAAGTTGGAAACCCAAGGATGAGACCTTTGTTTGTTGCCAGCAACAGCGAATGGCGAAGGAAATTCCCTGATGTGACAGTGTGTAGGAAATTTTCTTCCTATCCGGCCATTGCATTACCACAACTGTCACCACATTCTCCCTACCCCTTTTGGACCCCCACCTCTCAAAAAAAAAAAAAAAAAATTGTACGTACATACGCATGTAGGCAATTAACCAGAAGCCCGTTCGCACTTGCTGCGCCAAGGTTATTCAGGCGTTGTTTCACAAATTTCACTTACTTTATTCTGTTTTGTTTCCTGCCCATGTGTGTTTAAGTTCCGTTACCTCTGTAAGCCAGGCGCATCTTCTTTTCTTTGGTGAATTTTATCCGTTTTATGCAAGTTCTTACCGATTGAAACGATACCCTCGACGCTATGTTTCGACACTTCATGTTCCCCTTGTTTACTAAGTCATATGGCACATTTATTTTCCGCTCCTAGATATGTATATACAAAACATTCGGTACAGAATACGGATATGTAATCGAGTCTCTCGCACTCATGCCTAGGAGGTCATGTCGAACGCCAAACACACAACACTTGGAGATAAACACCCCTAATATCAAACGCAACCGGAAAATGGCCGCAGACATTCGTCACGAAACAGGTCGAGTCATGAAACAGTTTCCCAACAGTGTAACACCCCTGTCGACACAATGTCATTTCTACATGAATCCGGAAGCAGTTGGGTGCCCGATCCATCCATCAACTCAGCTCTATCCGACTCGAGCCGAGAGGGGTGCATGGGCCAATCAACCCAGATATAGAGAAACTTTCACGTTTCACAAATTTCCACGGCGGCGAGTACTGTGGTTATATATCCAGCCTAGGAGACGGAGACACGGAGGAAAGGAGGCCCCGCAGGACGGAAGCGGGAACAGCTTTGGACCGAACGTGTGACATGCAAGGCGAGTATGCATATAAAGGGGTTTGGGACTGATATCAAACTCTGACCCCACACTTCCGTCGCTCTTTCGCCTGGACTTTTTGCACGGCGGAACATATGCGGAATTCGCCGAGGAAACAGATATGTGCGGAGGAGAATCAACACGCGACAGTGTGGGATATGTCCTTATACGTGGGATTTCTATCCATAATATTTACACAGATAGTTGGTTTCTTTGTTCTGAACCAGGTGTTTTATGGTTGAATTATTTGACGTCTGGCTTTTGACCCCGCGTATGCTGACCAGCATCCTCAAGCCTGCTGCGCCTGGGAATTCCCGTTTTTTTTTTCGGAAAATTCATCCAGCTCGATTTTGGTGATATAATGACCGGGGACGACTACTAGGCCGATGTAGCGACTAATCATATCAGCCTTGACGATTCCCGTAGCTGTATAATCGTCTTCTCTGGTGAGATTCGCAGGTTCATGTTCTGGGATAGCGGGGTAGCGGTATTCGTGGGTTGTGGATAGGATTATGTTTCGATCCTGCTGGGGGATTGATATGCGTTAGATATCTATTTATTTGGGGTATTGGCTCTTTTAATTAATTATTTCTGTACGGGAAAAGTATTTGGTTCGTTGCAGGGAATTTTCCCCAGGTGACCTTACATTGTCTGTGCATTTGAAAGTGCCCACAAATAGCCTTGCGTCCGTTGTATGAATCCTGAGTGTTTTCCCCAGTAGAGATTCGAGGTATTTGACTGCTTGGAAGTTCTCCATGGTGTGATTTGAGCCGTTTTGGAACAATATTAAATGAGGAGAGCAATATTAAATGACGAATGTTTGACAATCCGCTGATGTAGGAGGTTGTGAGATCACGTGTTGGGGCTCATTGTTAGTGGGTACAACGGCTAGAAATGTGGGATGGTTGATCTTCTCATTGTGCGATCGCTAGCTAACTATATATAGGGGTAATCACATGCGGTGGAGGGCTGCCTGGGCAACTAGTGCCCAACACCCCCCCACGCGCCAACGTGCGTGATATATTCCTACGAATCTTCCATGCTAGCTATCTCAACTTGGATCATCCCAAAATCATGCTACATACAGAAATTTAATCATTCTCACTGTTATCAGCAAAAAGTTCTAGTAAATCAATGAAATGTTTAAATGTCACTGAGTTCAGAGATTTGATTAATCCATCTGCTACTATATCTTCAATAAAAACATGTTTAATAGAAATAATGCTTTTATTCAATTGTGTGTGAGAATAGTGAAAGTGAGTGTTGATATGCTTACTGCATGCTGTGATTGTGGCAACAGTAATTAAATTGATTGAATCTTTATTATTGTAATGCACTCATTTATTATTTCCTTATTATATTATGTTTGCTTATTCTTACCTCTTTCCATTATGTTCTCACTATCACTATTTCTATATGTCTCTCTTTATATTATAAAAAAACCAACTTTTTCCGTGAAAAAAATACTATAACGTGACCTCACATGATATCACATGCACTCCATCAAATTCATGAATGGATTGAATAGCTGGCTCTGCAGCCAGTACAGCTCTGATATTAATCTTCATTATTTTCTTTACAGATGTTTTCTACTATATTTACATTTTTTATACTCTTCTCTACATTTATTACAATCTATATATGTTCATTAATGTACTCATTTCATGTGCCTTTGCTCAGTGTGTAGGGATTCTCATCCTCTCAATGCATTTGAACAGTCTCAATTCAATGCATTATTTCATACATGCTCTACATGCTGTCAAACTCAGTATTGTATATGTAAGACACATTTAATTTAAACCTATTATCTATCATTGAGGGATGTAGCTACTTTTGTGCTCAATTCACAATGAGTTAAATTATAACATTATAATATATACTGTGAAGATTATCTGTTTCATTTATTTCACATTGTTATTTATATTTTCAAGAACTGCATTGATTGCTGAGGTCTTAATCATGAATATATCTGTGATATTAAACATTGTCATTTGACAGCTGCTACTGCAGTTCCTACAGCAGATGAGTTTATTGATTGTGTATATATGAATTCATTGAATCAGCTGACTTTCAATGATTTCAACACTCAAATCAACTCAATTATCTTTAAATCAATTGTTACTTTTTTAATCATTTACAATTGTTAATTTGTTCTCTACAGCTTTCACTTCTACATTTATTATCAATCATTTAATTTTGATTAAATAAATATCTACTGCTCTATCTGCAGAGTTAAACATTGAATTGATGAATGTGTATATGAATTATTAAAGACTCTTTCAATGTTTTTCATATATTGTATAAGAGGTGCTGTGAGACGGTTATATGTCAGAGAATCTTCATCAAAGTTACATGAATTGTTTAATGATAATACATCTAATATAAAACATTTTTACACACATATTCAGAACTACAATGATATTTACATTTTTCAAATATAAACAGAATCCACACTTTGATTGCTTGATTATTGATGATTCAATATTATTTCAAATACAAAGAGAACTTTATCATCTGCAAACACTGTTAGAATCTGAATCAGATGAGAATGTCTGTTTTACATAAATGTAAATTCACAACCCACAATTTGATGCAGGTATTGTAAATAACGTGAATTTTATCATACATTCTAATAAATTTAATCATATCTGTATTATATTGTTTATTGTTTGTTTATTTGCTTTTCTACATTTTTTTTTTTTATATTGTTGACTGCTAATATTTCTATGATTAACTCTTTTATTCAGCTTTATCAATTTGCATGAGAGATATTATAAAACAGCTCTGCTGTATGTGTTGATTTAAACCCTGTTGTACAATTGAAGACAGACAATGATCACTGCTGTGAAAATCTGTTTATTGTTTCAGAGATTGTAATTATTATACAGAACATTTTCAGAAACACTCATCATGTTTATATCATTTTTCTAACACTACAACAACTCAGTGCTAATTTGAGTTTTATATGTATTAACTCCCATAATTCATTATATCTTTCACTGCATTACATTTTACTTTTTTTTTTTTTTGAAAATCATAGTTGATATATTAATATGAATATGCTTGCAAACCTTTCATCTGTCTGCAACAGCTCTGATGATGATGTTGATGATGCTGTTGAAAATGAAGATGAATGTGACAGTTATAATCTGACTCTATATATATGATATACATATCATCTTTTTCAAAAAAATGATGTTGATGCTTCTTTTCAGATTGAATATCTGTTTCAGCAGTTATTATTATTATTATTCTTCCATTATAGATGTATGCAGTCAGTGACTATGACATCTACCTGAAATATTCCAGGATTTTTCAACTTAAGAATAAGCTAATATACAAAGTCAATTTAATACATGCAATAGCAGAATTCCAGCCCAGAATCAAACAACTATTCGAACTATTCAAGTTAAGAAAGAATGTCAAAAAAATGACAACAGATCAATACATTCAATTCAAAATAAATGAAATAAAGAGTATAATTTCGATTTGCGTCGACCCGGCCGCTTCGGGCCCGCCGCCACCCGCCGCGCCGCGCCTGCCCCGTTGCGGTCTGGCCGCCCTCCCGATCCGGCATGGCCTCACCCTTTCGGGTCTGGCGCCGTCCGTTCCGGGTTTAGACTCCCACTCCCTCTCGCCGCGTCGGTGGGCGGCCGTGACGTCGCGGGCGTCGGGCCCGCCTGACGCCTATATAAACCTCCTCCGGCTCCCTCTTTCTTCCACGCCCTCCCTCTCTCTTTCCTTTTCAACTTTCTCATTTTTCTTTCCTCTCTACGCTCGCCGGCCTAGGCTGCCCCTTCCCCCGGGCGGCGTTCCCCGGATGGCGCCACCTTGCGTTTCTTCTTCCTTCTCCCTTCTTCCTTTCTCACCCGCTTCATTGGCTCGCTGCTGACCTCCGACGATGCCAGTGCTGCCGCCGTCACATCGCTTCGCTCCGCTCCAGCGTCCGGGCCTGGCCCTGGGCCTGCACAGAGGAACACCTGCCTGTGTTGTGCTGAGTGCTGATTCTTTTCAGCTGATGGCCTAGCGGACCGGCAGCCAAACACCGGCGCTGCGAGGCCCGTTTACCATCCGTTTCGTCGCTTGTCCCTTCTCGCGAAAAAATCACCGGCAAGAGGTCTCTTGAGACCTCCGTCTCATCCCCGAACCCGCAACCCGTGATGGAAAAAAAACGCCTTGGATACTCGCTCCACCTCCATGCTCGGTTTGCGAAGGATCGCCGTGCGTTTCATTCCCCTCGCTTGGGCCGGCGGCCAATGGCGAAAATCCCCCCCCCAACGGACGCAGGCAGCGTGCACCAAGCCCGTCTTACGTGGCACCCGGTGCGTATGCACCTCGGCCTGTTTTCCTGCATGTGGAAGCCTCGTCCGTTGTGGGCCCCACCATTCCCACCACCCATCCCACCGACTCGGCGAGAATCGGAGAGGGACGGTTGGGGGGCTCTTCGCAGCGTAAGGGAGGTCGCCCCCATCGCAGCTATCTCCGCGGCGACGTGGAGCTGCGCCTCCTTGCCGTTTCGATTGCTCCAGCCCCGGCGACGATTGTGATACTCGTTTGGTCCGAACCGGGGTGATCTTGGGATGGTTCGCATCTCCGGCCTCGCCAGGGAAACCTGGCGAATTCACAAGAGGAGAGGGGTAATTTCTGCAACAGTGGCTTTCTATCCGGTAGTCGAATTTCGAGATCCCTGCGCGACTCAGCCGCTCCTGGTCGTCGCATGCAACGACGGTTGGCGCATGGGACGGGGAAAAGAAAAAAGGATCAAGAATGCAGGGATAGAAGGGCGGATCTGGTGGGGGCCGCGCTCCCTCTGGCCGTTTCTCCAGAGGCAGATTCGAATTTTTTTCTGCGCGCGAATTTGGCCGTCTCGTACACTCCATAGTCTGCCTTGCCGTGGGGGCGATAACCGTATCGGGATGGTTACCTCGATCCGTGGCGAGGCACCAACTGCCCAGCTGACGTGGCCTTGATGGAGAATACGTATAGCGCAAAATTACACCAGGGAACCATTGACGAGCGAGCTCCTTGACTCTCTATCCTTACACTTTTCTCTCCAAGGGTGTGAATGGTTCCGCTCGAGCGGGGGTCGGGAGACGAGAGAAGAAGATGGGAGAGCTACTACTTGGTTTCGGCGTCGCCGATTCGTCCTTGCCGTGCTTGTAGCTGGGATAGCTGGGGAAACCGGATTCTTGTTTCTTGGCCCTTCGCCGATGAGGAGAAATGTACATGGAGTCTATATAAGGGGGCCCTGCTTTCCCGGTCTGTTTTGGATGTGAGAGAACGAACAATATGCGCTTTGGAGTTTAACCCTCGCCAGCTACAATTTCCCTTCCCTAATAACCATGGCCGTGGATATGAACTTTATCATCCCGTACTGCCCACTTCCCCCCAAGCCTCCCAAGCCTCTCCAGCCTCTCCAGCCTCTTCCCACCAAACCCTCCATTCGTGAGCACCATCTTCCCCAGCCCACTGCTATGCCCTCAGCACAATCCATCACCCCTGAACCACTGTTCACCCATCGACCTCCCTGGCGGCCCCCTCTTCCCTTCTGTAGAGATAGCCTAAGTGGCCTGGACAGCCAGATCGGCGTTCGACCGTCGAACGCTCCGTTGAACGAGTTCGATGCTGAGCTGCAACGTCTGGACGTCGTGGAGGTGGTTGACATGAGCAGTCGCAGTTCCACCGACCGGGATGATGTTGAGTCGTCCAGGGCCCGTGTCGCCGGCGCGATCCAAGGTAGGCGCCCTTCATTCGAAGTGAAGATCTGCTGGGAGATCTGCTGATCGAAGGCGCAATGTGTTTTCTCCAGGCTCAACCGCACCGGACGCCAGGCCCCGCCGGGAAGCCTCAAGCGATAGACCCTCACAGAAGGCCGATCGATCATCACCTCAGAAACTCACCCCTCCTCTCTCTGATCGCGATCACGATCCGGCGCTGGACGAGTGTGAACCGAAAGCCTCACGTCCTCCGCCTGGCCTGGCGGGTTTCTCTGACCGACACCCGTGCAGTTTAGCGAAGTTACCGAGGTCAGTAGGCTGCCAGGGTAAGTCAGCTCCCGCATCTTTCTTTTGATTTGTCTGTGGAGCTCTGCCTTTCTGCTAACGCCGTCTTCGGCAGAGCAACCGATCCTCGTGGACTTGGAGAGCGATGGAGAGAATCCTCCGAACGATGATGAATCCAGGAGGAGAATCGGTCTCGATGTGCGCGCCGGTGCCACGGGCGGAGGGATTATGGGTACATCTTCCAGCCCGGGAGCCAGATCGGAGCCTGGATCTCCCGCCAGCCCTGAAAAGCGCGCTGGAAAAGAGCGCAGGCCGATGGGGCGGGGACGCGTGCGACGCACGGATGTTCGAGTCGAGATTCCTTCCCCGCCAGACGCTCTCCAGGAGAGAGAGGGCCGAGGCGACAGGAGCGACCCCAGCGACCCCAGCGACCCCTGCGACTTCAGTGACTTCAATCACTCCAGCGACTGCAGCAGCGGCGGCGACGACGACGACGACGACGACGACGGGGCGTATCGGGAAAGTGACGATGATGACCATGTCGCCAGGCGGCCGCGCAAGCGGCGGAAACTCTGGACGCGGCGGTCCTCCAGGTCCGTCGTCACTTCTGCCGCTTGCACGGGAGATCCCTCTCCGGCCGCTGTGGTAGACGATAAGCCAGGGAAACGGAATCCGACGACGAAGCACGGTGAAAACCCGGCCGGTGATTCTTCCAGTGTGTCCACTGTCTCACTAGATGATGCGGTGACAAACCGCTCGGGCGACGACATCCCGGTCTCCGGCTTTCTTTCAAGCTCCGTGGTCGGGTCCAGAGTGTGCTACACTATAACGTTCTGTCACGAGGAGGCCGGCCGGCTCCTGTCGGCGACTGCAAGCGGTCTGTCGAGCCCCGGCCGAGAAGGGCGGCCGTCTGTCGCGACCGGTAGACGTGTGCCATTTAACTCAGAGGATGACGCGCTGCTGAAGGAACTCAAGGAGGACGGCGAGCCATGGGATGAGATCGTCAAGCGCTTCCCGGGCAGATCCAAGGCGACTCTGCAGGTGCGGTACTCCACCAAGCTGAAGCATCGCACCCCGCCGCCAACTCGCAAGTCGAAGTCGAAGTCGAGGCCGAGAAAACATGGATGCCGTTGAGCGAGAATATCCCAACGGCTGCTACAAAGAGACTGCCACAGCTATGCACGTACCCTCCACTTACGGAAATCTCCCCTTGCCATGGGATGAAGTGGCCACTTCCGGTGCGTCCCACGCCAGTGTCTCTCCACAAAGTAGGGAGTAGGGGTGGCTGGTTGAAAAGGCAGTGGGTCCTGGGATCCGCGCGCGAGGGGGCAAGTCAATGGGAGATCGCGCAGGGCGCGGTGGACGGGCGCGGTGGACGCGGGATTGTAAAGCCGATTGGTTAGGATCTTGGTCTGTTGTAACATGTCAATATCAATTTCGGTTCTGATTTGTTCCGTACTTTGCCTGTCTTGATTGTTTTCTCGTTTGCTTTGGCTCTCTTTGTTTGATCTTTGCCTGCTTAGCATATTTGATTCCGGTCCACGAGCTCCATTGACATCGCCTATCACATTCCAGCCGAAGGTCTATCTTGCCTACGCCCATGGTATGGTACTTTGTGCGTGTTCCCTTTGTTTGTCCCTTTGTTTGCTTAGCATATTTGAATCCGGCCCATGCTCCATTGACATCGCCTATCACGTTCTAGCCCAGGGTCTATCTTGCCTACGTCCCATGGTACAGTATTTACTTCGTGTGTGTTCCTTTGTTTGTGTCTTGTTTGTTGTCTCCCGCTTTTGTTTTGCTTCAAATCATTTTTATCCGCGTATTTTGTCTAACTCTGGAGAGAAGTATAAAGACCTCCCTGATTCTGAATATTGATATTTCTATTCTTAAACTGTAATAACCATGCTCCACAATTCAACTGGAAATTCGCATCACAGAAGCCCTATCCACCCATCACAATGCCAATGCCAACTATGGCATGCGAAGATCTGCGGCGACCTCCTCCTCGAACGCCAAAGGCGACAATACATCTCTGCATAACGAAATCTTTGAGATCCGTAGGCAGGTGCCCGAATGATTGAAATATTGAAGCAAATGGCGGCGATACTCGAGATGATAACACCAGGGAGTAAAGAGCATTATGATGCCGATCTACAGGCCTCTGCGAGAGAAGATCGGGATGCAGCGCGTAGCATTTGAGTGCCGGTAAGCATTATTTCCAAATCCAGTGGGCTTTACGACTGACCGTTCCAGCAGGGTACATCGAAATTGACAAGGAACTGCGAATCAAAACGAACGACTGCCCTGTGGTGCTCATAGGATATTATTGCGGTGGCATTTTCTCAGAGTGTACATTAAAAAGCTTCTGGAAACCAACAATGCCTTTGGGCTGCGGTCACCTCTAGATATTTAGTGTTCAAACTTATTAGCTGCGGTGTAACGAATTGCAATGTTTCCACTCCTCCAAACATAGAATATATGCATTGAACTTCTATAAATGATACTTATTTGCCAGAACAGAGCAATCATTAATCCTATTCAGTTTCAATCAGAGCTATTGTATCGTCATACGCCTTAATAATAGGATCATATAGTCTCTGTGGGACTTGCGGCGTTCCAACAATAAGTCCTTCCTTCCCATAAGGAAACAGTACACCTCGTATGGTCCTGCAAAGATGCTTGACGCGCTCGAAATCCGGCGGAAACTCCTGCAAAAGGTACTCAAATCCGCCAGCTTCCATGTTACCTCGTTTATAAATTGCAATTTTCTTATAAGTTCCGGTATACCATTCTCTCAGCATGCTGTCTTTGGGCGGGTCCTGTCCGTGTCCCTGTAGCTCATTTAATTTTTCCCAACCGTGACGGGCACATTGCCAGATAAGCACGTAGAAAAACGACTCAAGATCATGTCGATAGGTGTGGTCGATATTAAGCAACACCTCGATCGCCATGAACTCCATCGTGCCAGTCTGGTGCCGCGCGCCACTACGCCCGCTCCCGACTTCCTTGGCAAGATCCAGATCAATTAGCATGCCCGAGTGGCCATTTGTCTTGTCTGGATCGGTTATTATTATGTTGTTCTCTGAAATATCCCGATGAAGGATGTTCCCATCCAGGTAAAGAGACCGGTGCGCCTTAATTGCATCGCGAAGCGCCGTGAGCAGCTCCAGGCGTGACTTGTACCTGTGGATCGGACGGCCAGCGGGCGAGATCACGAGACACCGGAGGACACGGTTGTCGTAAAGTTCCTCGCCATTCCTGTCGAAGAGGCTCGGTTTGTGCGCCGACTGAATGGAGAAAGCTAGTTCGTTCTCCTCCTGGGTGTCCTTTGATGGTTGATTGATGGAACGCGATCGTTTGGACGCCTGCATCACCTTATCCGGGGATCTGCGTTTCCTGGAAGATGACTTTCGACGGATATCTAAGCGACGCGGCTCGATGAGCGGCTGAGATTGATGAAACGAGGAGGCTGCGCTGGGGGGTGCGCTTTTGAAGTCGTGACGCTTGTCGTCGAACGTCAGGCCGCAGCGCATGTCGGCGATGCTGGTGATGGTACTGTGACCGATGATCCTTGCGACTCCTTGGACATTCTTTTGACCTGCTAGCTCGAGGAGTTCCACCTCCGGCCGCCGCTTGTCTGACACCCACGAGAATTTGGCTACGCCTTGTCCATCGTTTGTGAGAAAACACGTGGTCCCGCGACACACGATGGCACGTTGAAAGGAAAGTATTTCACCCAGCCGCAGCACTTTTTCGTCTAACGTTCCAGGCCCTTTGACGGTTATTGATTTGTTGCCGTCTTCATCCCTAGCAATAAAACTATCCAGTCCCAGTTCCTCATCACTCATCATGGTGTACCCGACAAGCACCTGAAAGAACCGTCTCGAGTCCTCGTAGACGTCGATGACGCCGGAGCTATAGGGACCCGAACGGTCGAACACCCACGCCTCCATCTCGGTCCCGCAGACGGCGAACGCGTGGACGAACCGCCGGGTGGGCTGGGCGGCAAAGACCTCGCGCACGTAGCGGCTCATCTGAAGCAGAGTGTCCTTGGTCTTGATCTCCTCCGTGGATTTTTTGAGCTCGCCAACTACCAGGATGTCTCTCCAGTCGTGTTTGTTTCGCGAGGGGCTCCCACCCCTAGCTCGCAAAAGGAGGTCGACTTGCCGTTCCGCCTTCGAACCAGTAAGATCCGCTTTGCTCGCCGTGGTGTAGTAGGTGCCGCGTGATTCTGAGAGAAGGTCTTCTTGAAGACGTAACCACCAGGCGAGGACATTGTCCTGTGTAGGAGGATCGGGAAACTGGGCCCAATTACCGTCGCTGTCTGGGGCCAGCACGCGTTGGCAGATGGCATCCGCTTTGCTGCTCCAGTTCTTCTCCTCAAAATATTTCTCAAAGAAGCCCTTGACGTCTCGAAAGGTGCAGCCACGTATCTCCTCGAAGATTCTCGGATTCACCAACTCAAGCGTCTGCTCGGAACCTTTCTGCGATGACGAGGTGGATTTGACCGGCGTGCCGTCAAAGGAGGGGGGGACGCTCGCCGGAGGAGTTGTTCGAGGGGCGTTGTCAATGAGGGTAAATACAGCTTTCCAGACATCGAAGTTCCAGGTTTCGACGTTCTGGGATTCAGTCGGAGGCCTTTGAATAACCAGGTTCACCAGCGGCCGGTAGTCGCCGTACTTGAAGTTTTCTTGTGCCTTTCGGAGACGCTCGACTAAGTGTGCTAGATCAGACACCATATCCCCGTTACTCACTCGCGAGCGAAGGCTGTAAGCTGCATCCTCTCCCTGTAAAGCAGAGAGGAGTTTTGAAATCGCATTTCGATAGAGTTGGTCAAGGCTCTCATCAGCGCCATCATAAATTAGACGCGACTCATATATTCTTTCGGCTTCCTGAAGCGCGCCTCGTAAGCGATCAACTAAGTTGGTTAGAGGATGGTTCTTGATAATGTTGCGATCTTCTTGTGAAAGTCCCGCCATTTTGACGGGATAAAAGACCGTTGAGTTGGTGTGAGATTAACTAGGAGTTGTAAGGGGAGAAAAATTAGGTTGGTATGCTAATATTATGTGATGGGAAGCAAACAGGGGAACAAAAATGCAGAATTGTTAGGAAGTTATGATGTATGATACCTGCGAGAGAAGATAGCTCGCTGGGAACAGATGCTGATATATATAATCAAAGGGAGGATTATGGTAGCGGATAGAACCGCCGAGCAAGGAACCAGGTGAAGATTAATCCTATTTGTTCGCGACGGAATAGTAATAAGCGCGAACAAAACAGGGGGATTGATAAGAGTATTTTGAGGAAGGCCGGCTATTCCCATTTAGGATTAAAACTGGCCAACCAACCCGTCGTGTGGGAGATGTGGTAAGAGCGTGCTGGCTGTCAGAGAAGACGCATCAGCTATTAGTAATCACTGTATTTAGGCCTCGCTCTTTTTCGTACTGTCTAAAAACAAGGCTAGTATTAACCTATTAAAATGAAATATCATGTGTTGCGACTAGGATGGAATGGTACTTTGGCGACTTGGGTCAAACTGGATTACAGTATTTTGTACAATTGTTTCCTAGTGATGAGGGATTGCAAAGAGGGATTTAGTGATTTTTGTATCCGGGGGACAAGCACATGTCGAATGATTTGTTTTTTACGTTTCCAAATCGAAACTGCTGTCAAAAAAAACGTTGCGAAAGGTGGTGTGCATGTGACTCTTGCCCCATGGGTGGGGCAAGGAGAACAGCAATAAAATCTGCTCTTCGTACTCTCCCGAGGTTGGGCAGCAACATTTACTATGTTATTGAATGGCCGTTAAGTGATATATTTTACTTGACTTCCTATCAGTTCATTGCGACCGATAACCAGCTTCGACGTGGGTATCCCATCGCCGATGTTATGAGTTTTGTCACTCCCCAGTCTCACGTTTCCAAATTCATTGATCTCATTATTTCAAGTCAGGACTCCTACAAGCGCAAACGGCCTTTCATCTGGTCTTGTCAGATTCACGAACCCCAGGTAACTTCAACCGCCGTATTCACCCTACTTGTTACTCAGTACTCAGATAGAGTAGCCCCAAGCGGCGACTCGGATTGTCTAGATCTACTCCCAATAGAGCAGGGTCGAGAAAGAGGAATTCTTGA